GTAAAAATCAAAAATTGTAGTAATTTCCGGTGAAACAGGAAGTGGCTGAAAAGAATTGAGTACATCAATCAATTCTAATTTATGTCATATACATATACACATTTGGTATGTTAGCCAAATCTCGTTTTCTCTATCTGAAAAAATAAAAAGTTATAGGGGTGAGCCACTTTTGAGACGCACCCGGTAGACATCCAAACAAACCTAATTTATTTAAAAATAAATTTTGGGTATATTTTTTTGGTAAATTTATGCCAAAAAAATGTTTTAAATAGATGTCCATTTACAAAAATACATTGTTTATACATTCACTTTTAAAATTTTTTGGCTTGAAAAAAAATTTGGAAACTAAAAGCATTTCGTATTTCAGTTTCAGTAAGTATTAAATTTAAAAAATAGGTACCCTCTACCCTCTGTCTCTATAATCTGTACGGTTTTTATAAATACTAGATTTTTGCTTTCTGATTTTTTCTGACGATTCTTCATCCTCAAGAAATATTAGAAGAGCCAAACTTCGCCAGACCGTTTTTCTGGTAAATACCACACAAAATATTTGACTTCAACTGACCCAAAGTGAAAAGCGGTAGTATTTTAATGCACAGTATTTAATGTGGTAGGATTTCCTAACTGCGTCGAGACGCATGCGTCTGACGTGTGCGTTTTTAGATGCGTTGGACACGCGGCGGCAAACGCACCAGGTTGTGTTTTTCTATCAGCGTTTCATATTAAAATAATGTTCTGGAAAAAAAATATTTTAGTTGCTATGCAAATTTGTTGTACCAAATCTTGATACCGTATGATCGAATAAAAACGGCGTCAGCGATGGTCATGAAATGACGATCGATGACATTTCCCATATAATTTTACATATAAAATGACAGCGATCTTCATTTCATAGCCATCGCTGACGCCGTTTTTATTCGATCCCACGGTATTTTAAAGCGTGTGTAGTTTTGAACATGGAGAATATTGTAAATTTATTATTGTTACAAGAAGAGGAGGATGAAGAAGCAATGATACTTTTTCACGTAGGAATAATAAAGGAAAAAAGAAACCCCGAAAAAGAATTATTTAAAAGAAGGGAAACTGAGGGTTATGCAAATTTACTAATAATAGGTCATTTTCGATACGACGAACATACATTTAGACAATTCTTTCGATTAAGAAAAGTTTGTTTTTATTATAAAATATTAATAAAAAAAAGAACACATTCCGTATACTTTTCACTATGAAAACGCAAAGCATATGCGTCTAGACTCCTCTCGAGGGCAGTCATGCGATAACCGCATGCGATTGCCGGACACTGAAGCGTCAGACGCTCACATAGGAAATCAGTTCTACATAATTTCACTGAACCAGTAGGTCTGTTCGTTTTCCTGTTATTATCGATTCTGAATCGTCCTAGAACTCTCCAGCGCATGCGCAAATGAAATAATGTCTTCATATTTCCTTCTGCGCATACGCATCACAATTCTAGGACGGTTCAGAATCGGTAATAACAGGAAAACGAAAAAAGCTAGTACTTCGCGTTTATCGCATGCGTCGAACGCATACGTTTCGACGCAGTTAGGAAATCCTACCTGTTACTTTACAACAATATTCACCGTCAAACCGGCCGTACTACTCGTTGGCAAAAACGGCCGCTAAAGTAAACCGCTTTTTAACGTTAAAATACCGCTTTGTAGGAAACCAGCTTAATCGAAAATTAACGTCATATACGCTGAGCGTCTAAAAGCGCTTAGCGTTTTCTAAGTTACAGTATTCGGGCCCTGTACTATTATTTTGCAAGAGCTACTTAAAATAAATAGACTAAAATGTTATATGTTATACTTCTCTGCGAAGCGCAAATCATTTTGTTTGGAAAATACACAGTGTTCGTTTAAAAACCGCAACTTTGGGAATATCACACTAATGGATTCAATGCAAATATCATTATAAAAACCATTGTCTAGCTATTCTATATTTTGATAGACGAGATATGAGGATGTCCTAAAATGGGCATTACTTTCAATTTCGCACTAATTGAAAGTATGAAGCAAATCAAAGTATGATAATTTTGATTACTAAATGGGAAGTTTTACGATAAGATGTTAATGTTTGCAAAAACAGCAATCTTTTATCTTCAATAACGAAGATATCTGACGAGGGCAGCAAAAATGGGACATCAGCCTGTACATACACCTCTCAATTTGAGATATAATTCGAAACTTGTATATGTTCAAATTTGTTCAAAACTAATTCGATTTTATTAAGGAGAAGTGATTTGATTTATTTTGTTATATTTTTCTAGAAGGTTTTTCTTTCAATATATAGAAAAATAGAGAACGAAAAAGCAGTATTGCAGAATTTTATGTTAACGTTTCTTTCTTGCTGCTGAGGTTAATCTGGAAGGGGCCTACTTTTTTTACGCTGAGTCAGAACCGCGATCCTCGTCCATATCATTCTCAATGGCCCACCGACTTGATAGAGTCTAAATCGACTCATACTGACGAGATATCCGATTTTATCCGGCCTCGAACGTACGTGAATGACCAGTGTGTGTCAATAGTTGGTTAGGTTGGTTGGAACAACAGCACGACAGAGTTTCCAGACGGTCACCCGTCCATCCACTCTCATTGTCTAACGTTGCTTAACTTCTACTGATAATCGATTGGGAACCAGTGTTTCAACGTAGCTGGACAACGGCCATGGGTTATCCATAGAGAATGAGTATATATCATAGAGAAAGTAATAAAACATTATTTTATTATCTTTCTCTATGTTATGTACAGGGTGGCGCCTCTCATACGCCGCGAAGGCTCAAAAGAGAACGACAGTTTGTATTGAAATGAAATTTTGTGGGCATATGTAGGTTAATCGAGAGCACTTTTTAAAAATATAGAAAGTTTTACAGTGTGTCCACAAAAAAAGTTATATATCAAAGTTGTTTTTTGTAATGGAACACTCTATATATTAATTGATTTTCGGATTCTGGGAGAAAAATAAAGGTGAACTTTATAAGAAAAGTATATGACTAAAATGTAAGGTTTTTGACATATTTAACATTTTCTAGAAATAAACTCGGAAATAAAGAACAATTTTTAAATTACAATAAAACCTACCTAAATTGGAATTTACCCGGTATAGCCTAATATGTATTTAAACTAACTATTGTACTTTAAATCAAATTTAAACTTGATCCAAAAAGTTATACAGGGTGAGACAAAATTAATATTGAGCATTGGTCACCTTTAAAAGCCAGTGGCGTAACAACAGACTCACGGGCCTGTGTGCAAAAATTTTACCGGGCCCCCTATTACACTTACATATTTCAATACTTATATACTAATCTGAATAATACGCACTCATATTTTAGGTTAGTTAGAAATAACATTATCAAATTAATTTTTATATAGTATTATTTATTACTGCCACACAGAATATGTAACCCAAAACATATAAAATATCAAATAAATAAAAACAAAACAAAAAACAACAACAAAACTAACTAAATTAAAATAAACAATGTAAATAGGAACATGAACATGTTAAAATTCTTTTTTCCTTGCTTCAGCATGGGCGAAAGTTGACACAATATTACCAATGCCTATTGTACAAATAACTTCATTTTCTATTGAAATAATTGCCAAAGCTGATAACCGTTTTTCGTCCATGGTATTTCTTAAATAATTTTTGACAAGCTTTAATTTGCAGTAGATCTTTCAGCCGAGGCCACAGAAACAGGCATGGTGAGAAAAATATGACACGCTGTTAAAATCTCGCTGAAACTAGAAGACGATGAAAGGTTTTTAATTAAAATAAATTCAGTGAGTTCAAAAATGCAATTGATTTCATATAAATTATTTCGGAAACATTGCCTGAAGGAGTGTAATTGAAAAGAAATCGTATAGGCAATATCATCGGGGTATTTAAGGTATAGAACTTGGTCCGTTTCCTATATATCCTCATCAGAAACAGAAGGATTCTGCTTGATTCGCGATAGCATGTGATCAGATATAGAAATTAATGTTAATAAATGCTTCGCACACACGGCACATCGATAGTTACGCCACTGTTAAAAGCATGCATATATTTTAAATCGAACACCCAGTATATTATTCCGATGTTCAATGAAGAATTGATGTCTCTTTAAAATACTATTCAGGTTGCCTATCCCTCAAACAAATTTTTTCCTAGATATTTGAGCAGATCTTTATTTATTTGATATTTGATGAATATTATTTGATAAAATCTAGGTGGTTGTGATATGCTGATATGTCTGACGTTACTTCAACATAGCTGCCTGATTAGTCCAACTTCAAGAACTAGTTATCATTTTCACAAAAAAAATCAGAAATTTGCCGAAAATGCAAACTTATCCTACATCAGAGAGAATTGCTATGACTCAGTTGGTGAATGCAGTGTGCATTCACCAAATAATAGAATACTTAAATGCACCTGATTTTATATAGCCTGTTTTTATCTGTTAAAGAGAGTGTTTAAAAAACTCGACCAACTATTGTCGACAACATGAGAGAAATTACTGTTTACTGTAGCTGCTTTTCGAGGTAGAACTAACTCCACATATGCCTTTTAAAGTTAAAAGATCCTTTTCAAAATCAATCATTTTATGCAGTTAACAGGAAAGAATGCATTTTGAGCATTTGATTTTGTTCGGTTTATTTTAACGTTGAGTGAACTATTTCTGGGTAATTTATGTCTTCCAAAATAAATAATCGGTTTTTCTTTAAATTAAACGTGTTACAAATTTTTTTGATACAAAGAGTATAAAAGTTAATAGATACAGTAATGTTACATGTCACTAAATATCAAAACTATTATCTGTGGTCTGTGGTCACATGTGAAGTTGGCAACAATAAAATAACTCTCCACCACAGAGACATGTATTCCGCCACAGATCCGTAATCCTTGACATACTCCCCACCTTGAAAGGACATTTTCCTTTCAACATCCACTTTCATCATCGAAACATAGATGGAGGGAATGTATCTTGAAGTGACTTCTTATTTTGCTTGATTTGGCAGAGGACACAGCTTCACACATGAACGTTTGATTGTACCTGTGCTGGTTTTCACTGTAGCTACACGAACAGTTCCATCTTTCCCTGGGTAGACTTCTATAACTCTGCCTAAGGACCATTTTAAAGGGGGTTGGTTTTCTTCTTTAATGACCACCAAGTCATTAATCTTAATGGGGTTCACTTTTTGCTGCCATTTGGACCGCTGTTGGAGCTCGGAAATATATTCTAATGACCACCGGGACCAAAAATGTTGTTGTAGCTGCTGGATTCGTTGATATGTTGATAATCGGTTTTCAGGTATCTCTACGAGATCTCGTTCAGGTAATGACGTTAATGGTCGGCCGATTAAAAAGTGAGAGGGAGTAAGAGGTGTTAAATCTGAGGGTTCGTTGGATAAAGGGCTCAAAGGGCGAGAATTGAGAACAGCCTCAATCTGAACTAATAGCGTGTAAAATTGTTCAAAAGTTAGTAATGCATTACCCGCTACGCGCTTTAAATGACATTTGACAGATTTAATTCCTGCCTCCCATAAGCCTCCAAAGTGAGGTGAGCGAGATGGAATGAAAGACCAGCTAACTCCTTCATTTTCTATATGTTCAGACAAAGATTTATTATTTTCTTGTAAGAAATTATATAAACGTTGCATTTCAAAATTAGCACCCACAAAATTTGTGCCGTTGTCTGAAAACATTTGAATCGGTTTTCCACGTCGAGCAATAAAGCGTTTAAATGATGCTAAAAATGCTTCCTTAGTTAGATCAGAAAAAGTTCGATATGTATGGCCTTAGTCACAAAACAAACAAATAAAGCTATGTAAGCCTTTGTAATCTTGCAGCCACGTCCTTGCCTGTCCTTTACTGAAAATGGCCCCGCATAATCTACTCCTGTTCTATAGAATGCTGGGGCAGGTGTAATTCTATTTTTTGGTAAATTTCCCATTAGAGGAACACTTGATTTCGGGTGTGTTCTAAAACATTTAACGCATTCTCGATATATTTTTCTTGCTAAATTACGTCCTCCTAGGGGCCAATATGATTGACAAATTGATGCTAAAAGGTGTTGAGGTCCGCAGTGTAATAAACGCCGGTGTTCCCTATCAAATAGTAATTTAGAAAATATATGTTTCGAGCTTAAGATAATTGGGAATTTTCGGTTGAAGTCCAGATCTGCATTACCTAATCTACCACCCACTCGCATTATCTTGTCCTTGTCAAAGAATGGCTGAATATGGGATAATCTTCCTCTTTTAATTTCACCTTGTTGAAGCTGAAATATTTCTTCCGCAAATGATTCATGCTGAGCAAATCTTACTAGATATAAATGAGCATTTGCAATTTCTGTGTGCTTTAAGGCTCCCTTGCTTCTTTCTCCTGTTTTAGCTTTACAATTTGTAATAAATCGTAAACAGTATGCTAAAACACGTTCCAAATGCGATAGATTAGAATAATTATTAAAGTCGATTATTGGTTCACTGATAAATACCGTTTCCATCAATGTAACCTTACGTAATTCTGGTAACTCTACATTGATTTCAAGAGTATGCGGCCATATGTCCTCAGTTGATTTCAACCAGTCTGGACCAAACCAGTAAAGATTAGAAAATGGTAATTCTTTGGGTCTTACACCACGTGACACCAAATCGGCTGGATTATGACTGGATGGAACATGTCGCCAGTCGCTTACGTTTGTGATTGTCTGAAGTTCTGATACTCGGTTAGCTACAAACACTTGTAGTTGATTTGGACTCATATTAAGCCAACCCAAAACTATTGTAGAATCACACCAATATACTATTCTACTTGGTACTAGTTTGGTTGCTTCTAATATTTTTTTTATTAGGCGTGATAGCAGTAAAGCACCAATTAATTCCAAACGTGGAATCGTCTGAACCTTCAATGGAGCTATTTTTGATTTAGCACAAATCAATCTTGTTTGTATTTTTCCTTCTTCATTTTGCGATCTTAAGTACACGCAGGCTCCGTATGCGTAAGACGATGCATCACTGAATCCATGAATTTCAATGTTGATTGCGTGTTTACACGTTATCTGTCTAGGAATTTTGATATTATTCAGATTACTTAATTCGTTTCTAAAGTTTAGCCATCTCGTATGTAAGGGTTGTGACAAAGATTCATCCCAGTCAAGTTTTTCTATCCAAATATCTCTTAGGATAATTTTAGCCACAATTATACATGGACTTAGTAAACCCATTGGATCAAAAATCTGAGCTATTTCTGACAAGACAGTTCGTTTTGTAATATGTTTATTAAAACTATTTCCAATCTTATAAAGAAAACAGTCTTCCTTTCCATTCCACGTCACGCCTAATGTTTTGGTTAGTTCGTTTACACCTAGATCAAGTGTATCTGCTTCATTTCTTTCTTTCAGTGATTGAAGTATTGTATTATTATTAGATATCCATTTACGAAGACGAAAACCTGCTGTATTAAGGACCTTTGATATCTCTGTTACTATGTTAATAGCCTCTTCAATTGTATCAGCACCACTCAACAAATCGTCAACATAAAAGTGGTTTTGTATTACATTTGCTATTGTGGGATTAGTTTTTTCTATTTCCACCCCTAACTGATATAAACATCTAATGGCTAAATATGGCGCTGCAGATGTGCCATAGGTTACTGTGTCTAATTCATAAATTTCGAGTGGCTCATCAGGTGTTTCACGCCACAAAATTCTTTGTAATGGTTTCTGTTGTGGGTCTACTCGACACATCCTATACATTTTCTCTATATAGCACTAATTACATAGTTGTACGTTCGATACTGCAGCAGGAGTGAGAATAAATCTGACTGGATTGTAGGTCCAACAAGTTGCAAATCGTTAAAAGAATATCCACTACTACTTGGACATGAAGCATCAAATACTACCCGTAACTTGGTAGTCAAACTTGATTCTTTTATAACGCCATGATGGGGCATGTAATAACTAAAAGTTGCATTATCTGGATGTTCTATCTTGGACATATGTTTCATATTTTTATACTCGTTAATAAAATTGATATAACGTTTCTTGAATTCAGGATCTCGTTTAAATCTTCGTTCTAGAGATAAAAACCTTGGTTTTGCTATATCGTATTTATCGCCTAGGACTTCAGGACCTTGTTTTAGAGGAATAGTTACTACAAAGCGTCCTTCACTGTCACGTTTGAAAGTCCTTACAAATTCTTCTTCACACAATTTTTCTTCGTTTGACAGTGGTTTGGAGTGTCGAAACTCTTCTAATTCGCAGAAACGAGTGAGCTGCTTGTCAATGTCATTAGCTTTAGAAAAATTACGTATTGTCGTGGTACAAGGATTTGACTGCATACGTCCTGCAATAACCCAACCTAATTTACCCTTTTGTAATAATAATCCATTATTTAACTTGATTTGTCCAACACACATAAGGTTCCAGAAACAGTCAGCTCCTAAAAGCACATCAACTCTCTCTGGCTTATAAAAATGAGGATCTGCCAATTTAATATTGTCTGGAATGTTCAAATTTTTGATATTAATTTTAAAATTAGGCAAGGTTTCTGTAATGTTTCTTATAACTAGAAAAGAATTTTTAAATGAAAAGTTGTTTACCTTAGAATGTACTTGTATAGAAATCTTTCCTGACACATTAGATTGAGCTTCACTCAAACCACTTACTGTTATCTTGGTTGGTATTACATCAAACTGTAACTTATTACAAAAGTCTTCGGTTATAAAACTACTTTGAGAACCTGAGTCTAAAAGTGCCCGTGCTACATGACATTTCCCATTTTTATCAAAAATCTTTAGTAATGCTGTTGAAAGAAGTACCTGATCTCCATTAAAATTAATATGTGATGATAAATTAACTGTCTGTTCGTTTTCTGAACTGGATACTCGTTCTTCATGTAATAAGGTATTATGTCGAGCATTACAGGTTTTACAGGAACTTGCATAGCACATTTTACTTGTATGACCCAACCTTAAACAGTTAAGACACAAGTGATTCTTCATTGCTTGTGTTCGTCTTTGTTCGATTGATAACCTTACAAATGCCTCACAATTTTGAATGTAATGGTCCTTTTTGCAATATACACAGTACGGTTTTGATGCAACAAAGGCTTTTGTTTTATTGTCACCCTTTGACCTTGGAATGACTCGTTTAGAATTCTTACTTTGTTCCAATGTTTCCAACATGTCTGCTCGATGCTTCAAGAATGTGGTTAAATTGTCTAAAGTTGGATTTACATAACCAGATTTTGCTTCCTCCCAATGCTTTAATGTCTCATTATCTAGTTTTATAGAAATTAAATATATTACCAATGTATCCCATGTGTTTGTAGGTTCGTCTAAAATGGTGAGGGCTCTTAAATGCTTAGATACAATGTCAATAAGTTTTCTTAAAGCTTGAGATGATTCTTCATGAATTAGATTGAGATTAAACAAGGCTTTAACATGATTTTGCTTTAAGATACGACTATTATTAAAACGATTACAAATTAATTCCCAAGCAGGTTTATAACTTAAAGCAGAAAATGCCAAACTAGCAATAATCTCTCTTACACGCGGACCCAAAAATGCTCTAAGGTAATGGAATTTCTGTATATCAGATAAATTAACATTTGTATGAATTAGTGACTCGTACGTGTCTCTAAATTCAAGCCAAGTATCGTAATCACCATCGTAAGTAGGAATTTCAATGGCTGGGAGTTTGAGGTTATTTAAATTTTGACATAAGGCCACATTATCAGAACCCGTTTCTGATCTTTGAGAAGAAAGATTATCATTGTCTTGTTCAATATTAGTCGTTTTACTTTTCTGCAAGAAATACCTTGCTCGTGCTAATGTTTTATTGAAATCTGATTCAAATGCTGTGCGTTCATCTAGTTCTACATCAAAATTTGTGGTAATTTCTTCTATTTGCAATTGTACCTCATCAAGTTTCTCAATTAAATTGATAAATCGATCTTTACGCTGTGATAGTTCTGTAAGTATTATATCGTCGGTTATATTAGCATTTATAAACTTACCCTCTAACTCGTTTAGATAATTGTTTAGGATTGTTATCTGAGCCTTAAAGGCTGCTCGTCTCCGTACTAATCTCTCAATTTCTGTCATATCGATAATAAGCTGTTTGTTTTTAATCGTATTTGTTTAAAACTGGTTTAAACCTAATTCGCTATAAAGACAATAAATTCCACAAAGCTACAGTTCAAAATGATTATGATCTCACTAAAAGTAATGAGGCGAATTAAACGCAAAAAATGGACTCACTTTTGAGATCTTGTCGGCTTTCGAAAACGCAATTAGGGGCTTCTTGTGACCATCCGGATACTAGGACCACATGTTCGCTTCTTTTAACGTTGAGTGAACTATTTCTGTTAAAATTATAGAGCCAAAATTAATAATCGGGCATATCTTTACCAGAGTTAACTTTAGAAACGTGGTTTTTTCTAATTGAGCGACTGTGCGTGGCGAAAATTGTCAAGACAAAACCTGAAATTTGAGTTTGAAAATTCAAACAGCTGTCAATTTTAAATTTGAGTTTGAAAAGTTAGTTAGGTTATATTAGATGCCGGTTTAATATATCCTTTTCCTAAGTTGATATTATAAAAATGTTTTATTATGTGGTTCTTTTTAGTGCATACACGACCGAAGAAACATATAAGCTGCTAAAATAAATCTTCCCTAGAACTGTTGTACAAAAAAGATAGAAGTTCCAGCAACAAATTTATCACCAGTTCAACCTTTGATTTGATGTAAACAGTAATTGTTTCTTGATGAGAAATGCGAATGAAATAGTTTATGGTGTGATTGTGTTAGTGTTTTATTAATAGTTTTGTTGATGCAGTTTAAAGGTTCATAGTTTTTCATTAAAACATTTGAAATTGACATGTTTACATGCAGTTTAGTGTGATACCATTTTAATAAACATTAAAATCTTTCGAACTAGTAGTGGTTTTATGGCGATTGACAGATTGAATAACGAAAATTAAGAGTATTTTATCAGGAATAACTTAATCATAAATGGAAACTGAAGACGAACGTTACCATTGCACCCTTTGATCGGTGTTATCTATTCCATAACTTTTTATAGCTGAAACTAGAGAGTAGGTATATTGAGCTGAAACGTTTCCTGTGTTCAATAGCGTTTTTTCTAGCGTTGAATTGTAAGTTTTAATGTCATTAGCAAAGTTTTGCAAATTGTCACTGTTTCGTAGACAATTAAATTCAAGATATATTATATTCAATGTCACCTAATAATTGTAAAGGTTTTTCTATTGATATTCACTTTATTAATATAAGGTAGGTTTGTAAATAAAATATTAATGAATAAATAATGTACTCAGTTTATTTCAAAAGCACAAAAATACAGAGTTGTGAATATGTATATACGCTGACTTATTTCATCATATAAATATTTATTTAGCAATATTAATACATTACAACTTTTGTTTCTATTAACTAATTCCACTAAATTTAATAAATAAAATATACAATATATAAATTTAATATACAATTTAGCACTTAGATATTAAATATCTATATGTACTATGCCAAAAAATAAAACAGGAACATCATATTATATCAAGAACACAAAAAATTACAATTTAAAAAAAATGCATTCTAAAAAAATACCTAGCTACAATATACCTACATATTAATTTAAAGAGCTTATTCATATTCATAAAAACTATTCTAAATGGTTTATATACACAATCAAAAGTATCAACCACAATACAATAATTTTCAAATTATTTCTTATTATTCCTCAATGAAAAAGCGTCTTGCGACGGCTAGTCAAAAATCTAAATAATTTTTATAATAAATTTACAATCTGACATATGAAACTATTTTTCAAATTTGTGAACATAGTAACTCTACTGTCTGTAACATCAACTGGCACATTAGTAATATCACGAAGAATTTCATTCTCATTCTCAAAGTTAGGTTCTGAAGTTTGATTTTCAACATGATTAATAGGCAGACCTTTTACTTTTTTTGAATTAGAAACTTTTTCAGTTGCTTCACTCCTTACACATGGTGGTTTCCTCTTTCTTTTATTACTAGAGAAATATGAAGGCAGGTTAGGAAAAATTCTTGGAATTGAACCCTCCTTTAATAATGGTCTACCCCGCTCAATTCTACTGATAGTTCCGTCAGTTAATTTGATCTCATAATGAGTCAAAATATCTTCATCTAGAAAATGTAGTTCACAAACAGCATCTTTGCTGCTAAGTGTCTTGTCTGATCTGGGTATCGCCTTTTGCCACTGCTGTAGCAAGCTAGGATCCTAATAAAAGATATATAATTGTTAAATAAAATAAAAAAAAAACATTTTTCACTATTAAAGCTGTTATTTTGAGAATACGATCTTGAAGTATAAATATTTAATATTCACTTTCAATAGCACTGTTCAAACTGTGGTTAATATAGGTACATGTCAACAGGTAATTTTAGCACCTAGTAAGTATTAAATTATTTTAATTTTATAACAAGGCCTCCTAGGTTATGTTATACACATGTTGATTTTAGGCTATATTTCCTATTAATTTGGTTTATAATTTAATCTGTACACTGACAGTATATAATTTTAATGTTTTTCTTAACATCTATCCATAATTTTTATAAATAAATAGTCATACTACTTACATTAGGAGCTTTGAAAAGGCTTGGGTTTCTTTCACCCCGTTCTTTATTTGCCTTGTTTTTATTGGGATTCCCACTTGTACAGCCAGGTACAAAGCAATTTCTACCACGACTCATTGTTGTACTGCTAAAAATTCAGTAAATTAACTATAAATTTTATTAAAAACACAATTAAATCGTATACTAACAATGAAAATGTAGTATCCCAGTCGATCGCAGTGCCTCTGCTGTCAAACCGAGGAAGCTGCTTAAAAGTGGGGACAGAAATTTCAAATTTGCCCATTGCCGATAAATCTCCTTTTTTAAGCCCTCCATAATTCATTTAAAACTTCCCAATATGGCGGACTTCAGTATGGGAGGCTTAAAAAACGAAAATCTCTAAACTGGAATCGACTGTACTTCAAATCGTTCATATTGATAATCTGTGGTAAATCCAATTGAACTCTGACACCTGACACTTGGCTGACATTGACGTTTACTGTTATTATTTTCATTATTTTTGAGTTTTTATTCACAAATTCTTGATTTTGTTCTTTTATTTAACCTGCAGTACTAATTATATAGTTATAAATAATCTTTTCACCGATCAAGAATTGACGAATAGGCTGGAAGATATTCAAAATGTGTAAAACGCTTAAAAACGTATTAGAAAACATTGACTCGTTCACAAATTCGTGAAAATAAATTAGTCAGATGTTTGTAAAAAGGTCTCTAATTAATTTGAGAAGTTTCCTCGTAATTTTCAGGTTTGTAATATATGTACTATATGATAATAAATACATTAAAACTCTTATATTTCAGGAAACAGCGCCGGCATTACAGATTAAGTTGTAAATCAGTTTTAAAATATAAAAAGAAAGGTTTAAAACAGGTTTAAAAAGTTGAGTTAGTAGAGAAGACCTAAATAAGGTAATGTTGGTAATGGGACCAAACATCAAATAACACTTGAAATATATAATTATGTACAATAATTAATTGTAAGTAGTTTTTATGAATCTGTTTGATATCTATTGCATTGTTTTTATATTTCTTGAAATATATATATATTTTTTACTTAACAGGATAAACAAAGAATAATAAAAAAATATAGTTAGTCACTAAAAGCACTTAAGGTTTGTAATAGAGGTAGTTAGAATATCAAACACCAAACCAAACCAAAATTATGTTTTATTTTACTGGTATTCCTCACATTTGAAGGGAAAATCATTTCATAAATAAGCAGGACATTGTATAGTACACTCTATATTAATAATTGTTTATCCTATACTTGTTAGTTAATGCATCACTTACTAGGTATAAAATTTTAGTACTGATTAACTTATAGTTGTGGTTGTGATATATTCTGATGTGTTTCTGGCAATTTAAAATAAGTCAATATTTAAACAAACATTTCTGGCTTTCCTGACAGGAGTGTGGACACAAATTTAATAAAAGGTATAATGTGGATAATGTTCTGATTATTACAGTTTGCATGGATGTTTTTTGTATGTTGTTATTTAATAAAGTATATTTAATGAGTTTTTGAGTATTTCTTTTCCTTCAGAGGATTGTGTTCTAATCTTTATATATTATAAATTTTCATAAATTATATCTACAAAATTTATTACCTTACATAACTATTTAAATAAGATGTTTGAAAATATATCGCTGTTTTGCACACATCAATTCAATTTGTGATTAACTGTACTGAAATAAAACAAATTAAGTGAAATGGGGTGATCTATCAACTATAACATGAAAAAGCATGATCCTATTTCCAAGTCTTCTATTAATTTCACTTATTAAACAACTATAATTATTCAATAATCTTGATAATTCTAGGAACTCTCAGATATCGTCAAAACATGAAAACAAAAATTTACTTCCTATAGTTCTTACGTCCCTTTAACTGAAATATAAGAAATAGGGGTGTTAATATTCTCACTGAGAAAGTTTATAAAATACCTTTAAGTAAAATCTCTTCGGATCTGGTAAAATGCCTTTTATTCTTATTAAATAATTTCAATAATCTATGTTTTTATTTATGACAACCATCTAATAACCTAACTTTAACGTCAACTTGACAATCCTGAAAAAATATTATTGTTAACCAAAGAGTAAATCAATTTCTGAATTCACTAACGCCAACTTATTTTTCATTAAAAAAAAATTACCAATTTTCGTAACTAGGTCGGCCATATTGAGGAACTTTTAAAAGAATAGTACTATACAGTTCAAAATGATTATGATCTCACTACGGTAATGAAGGTTAAAAGGACAAAAAGGGACTCACTTGATTCTTGTCGGCTTTTCTGACCAATTTCCTTGCTTCTTGAGACCATCCGGCTCGAAGGACCAATGTTCGGTTTATTTTAACGTTGAGTGAACTATTTCTGGGTAATTTATGTCTTCCAAAATAAATAATCGGTTTTTCTTTAAATTAAACGTGTTACAAATTTTTTTGATACAAAGAGTATAAAAGTTAATAGATACAGTAATGTTACATGTCACTAAATATCAAAACTATTATCTGTGGTCTGTGGTCACATGTGAAGTTGGCAACAATAAAATAACTCTCCACCACAGAGACATGTATTCCGCCACAGATCCGTAATCCTTGACAGATTTCATCTAGCTAATTTTTGTCATATAATTAATTATAGGTTTATATTATCTAGTTTTAATTGTGTAATAATTAAAATATGTTAAACGTGTATCTTTTTATTACCGTTGAGTATTTTAGTCTACAGTCTTTAATTTTTGTTAAATTAACAAAAGGTATATCACGGCCACCTAGATTTTTTCAAATAATAAGACTTACTGACGCAAAATCATAAAAATTAAAATATCTAGGAAAATATTTGTCTGAGGGGTAGGCAACCTTAATAATATTTCGAAGATATGTAAATTATCCATTGAACAACCGGAATAATATACTGTTCCATTGAAAATAAAAGAGTAACTTGCTTTTAAAAGTGAGTAATGGTCAACAAGTGAGCAAGGTCAACTAAAATTTAGGTAGCTGTTGTCGAAATTTAAAATTTACTCTTAATTTTCACAAAATGTGAAATATGTCAAAATTCTTAGATTTTAGGTATATGATTCTTTAATAAAACTCACCTTTATTGTTTTCCTAGAATCCGAAAATTAATTAATATATAGTTCTATTAGAAAAAACACAATTTTGATGTGTAACTTTTTTTGGGGACACCCTGTATAATTCTATATATTCTGTTTTTTTTTTAATTTTCTTGGGATTTAGGTTCGGGAAAACTCTGATTAAGTTTTCATTTGGGTTTTCATATTTTTATTTCATTTTTAAAGGAAATAACCAAACGTTTCGGCCAACATTACATCTATATATTTTTATAAAATGCTTTCACTTAACTTACATATGCTGGCAAAAATTAATTTCGATATAAACTACCTTCCTTGGAGCTTCTTTGAATCCGCGGCGTATGAGAGGCGCCACCCTGTATATGGGAGTTAGTAATTTAAAAATTGGATCCCAGATGAATACGTAAATAAAACACAAAACTTATTATTTGAAGTTTTCTTGTCATCTCACAGTTTTACATCGTCTTTATAACGTACATATGTATACAACAGCGTGTCTCAAAATAATAATGAGAAAAAGGACAGAACTATCCTAGTTATATTCTATTATAATGACTACGATATTTAATGTCTATTAAGAAAAATTTGATAAACTTCATAAACTTGAATGCAAACTATTATAAAACTTTTTGATAGTGCAACGACATCAATAAATCTATTCATATAGTAAGCTTAAAATTTTATAGTGTTAAAAAATGAAATCCTGAAAATATATATTATTTGAAATTGCTTTATTAAAATTGTTTATAATCGGTTACTGATAATTTTTTTTTCTAGAAGTCAAAATGAATATTACTATTATTTAAAAATTTAAAAAAATATTTAATAAAATTTAAAATTATGACTAATGCCAACGAAAAAAAAATCAATACTTTGATTTTTAAGTTTATCAAATTTTTTTTTATAGAGCAAATTAAAATAATAATGACGTCGAAATAAATCGGCATTTTCTTTAGTACTATTCAACAAATTTAACATTCAATGAAATTTCTAACAATTTTTTATCTATATACTTTCTTATCCGAATTCATTAACCTTTATTTTATTATTATGATATAAAAAGCAATATATATTTTTTTATTAAATTTAGTTTTTTATATGGGATATGTAAATGGTGATAAGGTGTGAGTATGTATGAGAAATTTTTCATACAAATTATAATTTTATAGAAAGCTTTAGAAAAAAGCAAATTGTCAAAAACTCACATGATACAGCAGATATACACAATTCAAAAAAATCCTGTACTTTTTTTCTGTATTATCTTTTAATTAAACTTCATTTCGAAATTTCATAGTGCAACCGTTCACACATACATATGTCATGTAAGTCTGTTTCTTTTTTAACATATTTTAAAAGAAAATATACACGGTGTTTTTAAAATATTTTTTTTATCATATTTAGTATACTTGTTATGTATGTTTATATCAAGTTATTTTGTCACCTTGTATACTTTTTTGAATAGTACAATTTCAGATGATTATATACAAGCAATAAAGAGATAATGATGCTAACATGATTTGATTTAACTGCATATCTTTAATGGTATTTATTATAAATTTATAATATTATTGTTATTGATTTTTTTACTTGTTTTGGGTTACCCAAATGTGGATATATTTAAAAAAACGGTAAATTTGTCTAAGGGTAAAAGATTTTATAATTTTTTATTAAGAGCATTCCATAAGTTTTTTACATTTTCCTATGCTTTGATTATTTATCTATTTTTCTTATTGTATGTCTGTTCCTAATATTTTTTAATCATATAATTATTTTTTTATAAACAAACTTATTTTTTCATTGGCAACAACATACATATATTTAATATGTTTGTTGTTAATATGTTTGATTTAATGTATTTTTTCTTTATTTCATTACAACTTATTCGACTATTTTGACAAAACTATTAAAGATAAGCAGCTATTTAACAGAGTACAAGAATAATAACTAATGAAATTTTATTACAGATGATTATATAAACATAACTTAATCATAGATAAAACAATATTTACAATATTTGTTATTTATATCCGAACTTATAATAAAATACGACTTAACAGAGACTTATTTTAGTTAACTTTATGCATCATTTACTTTGTTTAATATTATTATTATAGTATCTTTTTTGTATTGTGCTTATTTTATTTATATCTGCTTTACTTAATTTTTATCAAACGTCTATATGTAAACTATGTTTTTAATTCAATTTAGATCAAACTATTTATGCTAATAAATATGTGTAAAATCGTCCCAATAGAATATACTTTAATTAAGATATTTTAAGCATCAGAACTTCCTTATATAAAAAGAAATATTTTTGGGACACTCTCTATACAGTTCTATTAACCAACTAATGAAAATTAATTTTCATATTAGAAGTAATGTCTAGAAAGTTGCAGATAATAATCTACTAGAACGATTTTAGTAATGCTGGTGTACAAGTAGGTTTAATTTACTAACACCAGAGTGCCACGCTACCCCTATTAGTTTAAATTTAATTCGATATTTTGAAAGAAGAAAATAAGGGTTAGTATTATTTGTTATAACTGCGAGACTTAGAAATTAAATATATTAGCATTAATTATACAGAGTGGTCCGAATTGTATTCGAGAAACTTCGGCAGCATATTCTGAAGATAAAAATAAGTAAAAAAGTTCGTATAAATGCATATGCCAAAAGGCTATTATTTTCTAAATAATTTTTGAACTAATGTCTGGATATTTGTATGAAAATTGGTGTTTGGGTGTTTTTGGCATGACAAATTTAATTTCGATGTCAATATACCTCCTACTTAAAGAGGGCGCTACCTACATATTTTTTAACTGTGTTGAAGAGTAATAATTTTTCGTTCATACTGATTGAAAAAAATATAGTATATCTCTGAAATTTTTTACGTAAAAAAGGTGTCTTGGTAAAAATCGCCTCAAGCAATCATTACCTTATCTCAAGATATTTAGAATGGAAATAGTCAATATATGTCATTATTGACAAAAAATAAACAATGCTAGTAGATATGGTTATTTGACTGAAATGATAAATTTGGGAACCTTTTATTTTTTTAAAATTAATCAGTAATTTTGCTACGAAAAAATCATGATAAAAGAGTTTCTGTTGAACCTTTATTAGCACAAAAAAAAATGAAATTAATTATTTCAGTCGAGGAACTATCTAGTCATCATGTTTCATTTATGTAAATGTTGACATGTATTGATTATTTCGGTCCAAATATCGCGAGAAGCATTACTCGTGGTGATTTTAACCAAGATACTTTTTTTACGTAAAAAACGGCTCTTCAAAGCAGTTAAAAAATAAGCAGGTGGTGCCCATTGCAGATAAGAGTCTTCACATCAAAATCAAATTTTCCATGTCAAAAAACTTCCGGACACCAAATTTCGTCCAAATATCGACGTTAGTTCAGACATTATTTGGAAAAATTCGAAATAAAAATGAATCTTCTCTGTATCTCCGAAACTAAGTATTTTTGGACATACATTTATACAAACTTTTTTATCGGTAGAATATGCTGCCGAAGTTCCCCGAATACAATTCGGACCACCGTGTATATTTTTAAAAAATTAAGTAGGTAAAAAGTTTTCAGATTCATTTCAGAGATTTTTTCAAAGATAAAAATAATACCTTTAAATTGCTGACCTGGATATTATATATTTGAATCTTCCAATTGGCGTTAATTATAATGTTAATTAGCGCTGATCAATATTGTTGTGATGAAGATAATCAGATTAAATAATTTAAATAACCAGAGTTGGACTTGAAATTATTTTAAATAGTAATTAAATAGTTTTGTTTTTGTTAAGGTACCCAAAACAAAAAAAAATAAAGTGTGGCATATCGTTGTACTCAGAAGACCGAGTTCTTTCAAAATCTGAAATAAAAAATGCAGGTCCGTATTAAAAAAAATTAAATTGGCCTCTGTATCTTTCAAATTATGAACTAATTTGACAATATAAAAATATTATCAGATAGCCTTAATAAAGTTGCTATGAGAATGTGCAATTAGTTTTTTCATTTTCTAAAAAGTAATGACAGGAAAAAATAAAATTGGTTTTCAAAAAAATCTATTTTATGTTCAGTATTATATTAAAATGATGCTGCAATATAGCCAATTTCTATTTAAAGTAAAGAAGCTCTTCAGATCTTTTCTTTCATGACTTCTTGTATTTCATTTGTTCCTATAATTTTGTCTGTGCTCGTTTCTAGCGTTTCTCTTCTTCTTTTTAAAATTGCTTTATTACGTTTTTTTTCTTTGGTAAGAAATAACCAAGCTCGGTTGTGGATCGGTAATACATGTCTGAACCATTTTTACTAGTTCTCCAATTTTTGTTTGTTATTCTTAATGTCACAGTATTACTGAATCTGCACAGAGTAAGAAGTAATCCAAATATGGTATTGGTTTACAAAGTATATTTGAAGATGTAATGTATTTTGAATGTAAGTCGCAACGACGCTATTAAAACCAGTTCAGAAACTGTTTATAAATATTTTTGACGTTTATTGTGTTAAAAGAGTCTAAATATTTGATTCAATTATGGGATGCTGTGCACAATGGAGTTAATAAATTTATGCATTCTGTTGTTCTAAACTCTTATTTTCCTTGTTTTCTAAACGTATAAACAAGTGGCAGTGTTTACGATCTAAATACACACAATAGGCTATGATATGAATTCAATAAAAAATTGTACATATTCATTTTTTAAAAGGCTTTTAAATAACTTAGTTCGAAGATTGTTGATCAACATATGTGTCAAAATTTGTGCCTGTCTCCTAAATACCTGTAAAGGCACTGGACTTCCAGTATTAAATCTGAAAAATGATGAAGAAAATTTCCTCTCATCACTAACTTACTTACTTATTAGTGACACCTACTTGAAAATCATTTTAGTCAGTCCAACGAGTCAGAGGAGATTTCGAGACACTATCCAAAAAATAACCTGTAAATTGAAATGACAGACACAACTGTCGCTGTCATGGTCGCTGTCTCTCGTTGGAAAGACTATACTCCAAATTTTGACACAAATGTATACGCGCACGTATTTTGTATGGTATTGATAATGAGTGAAATGGTATTACGAAATTAGGGTTTTTTAGGTGAATTTTAGGTTTTCATTTATTTTTCTTTATTCTTAGGATTTATAGATTTAAGAGATCATAATATTTGCAAAAAGTTTAGTCTTCATCTAATAGTTTCATAGAACAGTTTAGTAATAATAAATAGTTTGGTCTCGACTTTCGTTAAATTTATGCGTATATAACGATCTCTAGTCTAATCTGCATATAAGTTGAAAAAAGTAATAATAGTATAAGATATTGGTTTTGAAACTTCATTGCTTTTAATACAAATTCAACATTTCGTCTATTATAAAAAATAATCAAGCTTTCAATGTTATATTTGAATACGATTTTAATCATAATAATGAAATATGATCATAATAATTTAGACATAAGTTAAGAATGACGTATTCAATTATTTTTGGCCACTTCCTGTTTAACTGGAAATTACTACAACTTATGATTTTTAAATGGCACCCTCGGTATATTTCTGCTTTATTCGATAGAAAATGACACTCTGAATAGAATGACATTTCATGTGTCAACTTTTGACATTTTCGTATAAGGTTTATTTGAAATTGTAACATGCGGTTCATAACGACAATTTGACTCGAAATACCTACCAAGTATTGTGGTGGTACCAAATTATTGGTACAAAATGGTTTTTCAAAATATGCTAATGAACAACCCTTGTACCATTTGAAAAAATTGAAATGATTAAAAATACGATTTGGAAATCTTTTAACCGGCCAGGATAAGACACGAAAACATTAGATGATCAAAATTATTTTTCTAAGGCTCCTGGATTGAAAAAAAAAATGTCAAAAGTTGCCATATGATAGGTCATTCTATTCAGAGTGTCATTTTCTATCGAATAAATTAAAAAAAACCGAGGATGCCATTCAAAAATCAAAAGTTGTAGTCATTTCCGGTGAAACAGGAAGTGGCCAACAATTGAATTCGCCAATCAATCCCAATTTATGTCATATACTAACTTACCAAATTTCGTTTTTTTTATCTGAAAAAATAAAAAAAAGTTATAGGGGTGAGTCACTTTTGAGACGCATCCGATATAACTAAACTGGTCAAACTTCTGTAACACTAAATATAGAAAACAAATAAGTTAATAATAAATGTTACTGTTGTTTCTGATTTAATCTACTTAGGTAGCAAACAAATGTATTACTAATATGTGTTACGAAGTAAAACGGTGTCATAATAGGCGTAGAAATAACATTAAAACTATAATATAAAAAATATGGCAAGTTTCCAATAAAATGTTTTCATTGTTACGAACTTTAGCTATAGACAATATGAGTATACATGTTGTTAGTTTGTTTATTACTCGCGGCAAGAGCTTTATGGTTGAAATATGGCAACCTCGGCCCACTCGTCGATAGACGACGCGACGGGACGAGTCGGCAGAAAACCCATTGCATGCGTTCTCAATAGACAGTGTTGCCATTCTCTGTTCCCTTATAAGTAACTGTCCAGTTAACAACTGTATAATCCACTATGAAGTTTTTAGTATACATATAAATATATAAAAGCAATGCAAGTCCAAATACAATCATTTATACAGTTATAACTGTACATCTTCTAAAAATATTAGTTGTATGAATAATATAAATGTCTTAAATTATTAATAAACTGTCACATTTTAATTAATATAAATTAGTATGGTTTTATATTCTCTTTAGTTGTTATTTACTTCAAATATCTTGTTAGTAATAGGACTGTTGTTAAAGTAAAATATCCAGAAGTTTTCATTTATTTAATTTTTAAAGTTTATATTTTTAAAAGTTATACAGGGTTGGATTACCATTAATCTATGAATTAATATCTGTCCTGTCTGAAAGACATATTGTGTTTGCGTGAAAATTCGATAAACCATTATAAGCACTTAGTAATAATAATGACATGGTAATGGAAATCTTAATATTAAATTATAAATTATAATTATTATTGTATGATGTTGGACGACTTTACGAAACAAAGTACTTATACAGGGTGATAAAAAACAAGTTTTAAACTCTTTTTTTTTCATCACCCTGTATATAACTTTTGTACAGGGTAAAATTTTCGTAAAAGGTAATTTTATTTTTTTCTAAAACACACACAGACGATTTTATTAATTTTAAACTAAGTAGGATTTTAATTACATTTTTGAAACTATCTAAAACTACGCACATTCATAATGATCGAACTATTCTTGTTTTACCCCGTATAAAAAAAGTTGATGATCTATACGATACAGCGATACAGTTGTATTTATTTATAATTTTATATTTTAAGTTAGATTAGGAAGGTGATATTTTTGACAAAATTGATGGACTGAGTATGCCGCCTCATTCCTCTTGTTTATTATTGTCAATTATCTAACACCCAATTGACCGTTATCATAAAATTCAAAATAACTCTAGTTTTGCACTATAACTTTGTTGAATATTCAGAAATATTATTTACCAACCAATTCTGTAATTCTCTGCGTATCAGCCTAATATTAAGTGGTCTTAGTAAAATTTCAGAACCCCCCACAGGTTATCAGTATTACAGTCGAGTCTTTTAGTAAGGTAATTTTATTAGTTACTATACAGGGTGAGTCTTAAATAAGTGCAAATATTTTCAGGGCTGGTAGATCTCGATAAAAGCAAACTATACAGGGAAATTTAAAAAAAAATGCACGATTTTCAACATCTTTTTTAGCGAAAAAAACCTCATAGACGTGTTCCTGGGGTCGAAATATACCACCCCTGAAAATATTTGCACTTATTTAAGACTCACCCTGTATATAGTAGTATACAGGGTTGTTCACAACATACGACACGGAGTATTGCAGCTAAACGATTAGATTTTTACAAATTGTAAGTTTTGGGTTCGTTGAAGAACTATTAGAGCTACAATCTAAAAATATTTTTACAAGATACAGAGTGTCCCAAATAAGTAAAAAATATTATAGTTGTATTTTTTTAAATGGAATACTCTGTTTATTTTTCTATTTTTAACAACCCTGTATAAGTATAGTAGTAACTACTGACATGAAGTGAAACAGTAGTATGCTAAATATACTAAATATTTCACACTTGAAGAAATGTATAGAATATTAATTTGTTGGTATTAGGTCATTAATCATTATTACATTACATATCCTGTGTAAAATGTTTTTTATTGAAAGATGTTTTTTATTGAAAAATTCACAACTAAAATACTTGTCGACGTTGCTCAAGCTAGTTTGATTGATCTTAACAATATCATATTATTATTATTATTATTTGCTGCATGACAGATTTATTTGAATTTGTATAATAACGCCAACCGAGTTTTAAACGTCACAATATTAACAGTAACTATATTTATAACACATTCACAATTAATTCTATTAATTATTAATTAAAATGTCTATATTATTATAGTATATATTTATACGATGCCTAATTACTTATTAAATTTATTTCTACTTAGGCAGTGAGTGATAGAAAATATACAGGGTGTCGTACAACTTATAGTATATAACTCTATACCATTGTTTTGTGAAACTAATGAATAAAAATAATCTAACAAATTGGTCTGAAAAGAATAAAAGAAATAAAAATAATTAAATAACAATTGAATATTAGTATCCTGCATGAGACTTTTTTTAAACTTAAACAACACCCGGTATATTTATACATAACGCTTTCGTAAATATATGACGTCGTGACATTTTTTCATAGTGTTCAATTCAATCGACTAAAACATGCACACATTTTTATTGCTGAGATCATAAAAAAACGTAACATTTATCGAGGAAGGAACATTTTATTTATACACATATTTACAGTTTATAGATTTTAACTTAAAGGCTTACTTTTGAGTATTGTTATTAAAAGATACAGAGTAAAATATTAGAAAAGTTAAGGTAGGTAAGTTAAAATCTGTAAACTTTCCTACGTAGGTCATGAATATATGTCGTCCTTTTCCGTATCCTGATGAAGTGCTGCCTCGACTAGGGCTATAGAAACGTCGTTTTCCGCTTCAATTTCCTCCAGTAAGGATATGCATGATTCAGACTAAATAGAGAGAAAAATTATTATTTTGTTTTTGATTAATTTTTTTTTCGAATACGTAGAAGAATGAGTTATAAAGAGAATTGGCCAATAGGTGGCCATACACGGAAAGGACCGACCTTCGAACCCGGCCTTTCACCAAAAATACCAGAGTTTTTTGGGAAAGGCAACCTGGATAGGCCGAATTGACAAGTTTCCAATATCTTAAACGACGACACAAGCTTAAATTTCGATATTTACAAATAGAAAAAGAAACAAAAAAATGCAGTGCTATATGGATATGAAATGGTGAAACGTTAATTTGACTTGTACAAATTAAATAAATCTTCCAAAACATAGTTTTTACAAACCTCTTTCTTTAGCATATCCAGCAATCTTTTCTTGTCCATTTTTAGATTGTCCACTTCTTCAGCTTGACGAGCGTTTCTTATTCCAGTCATTTCTAATAAGGCCAAATGGGCATCCTTTTCGCTTATAGCTGCTTCCAGGGCTTCTCTCCTTTTAAAGAACAATGGCAAATATTTATATAGGTAGGTATTCGCTTTGTGCTATTAGGTATTTGTAATGTTAGAGGTAATTTCAAAAATATAACATTGATTCAAAACAAAAAAAATATTTTACATGAGTATTAAATATATTTAGGTTGTTCTGCACTAGTAGATTTCAGTGAAACCGTAGTGTTAAAGTATAGTGTCAATACCAGTGCCAGTAAAGCAGAAGAACGTGTTTGAATTATAAGAAAATGTAATAAAGAAATTTGGGTGCAAAATGCGTACACAAATGGTGAACGTTCTACCATGAACATATATTTAGTGTTAACTATAAAATAATAGCAATTTTAATTGTTTTTAAAATCAGCATATGGCAATTATGTCCCTAGAGGTTATTAAAATTTGTTTATACCTTGGCAATGGTAATTTTATCGAACATGTTTCTAAAACGTTTGTAGTCTATCTTTACTTTCTATATCTATTATCTATGTTATATTCTAAACTTACTTCATGTGGGTTAGCTCTTCAATGTTTTTCTTCCTCTCTGCTATCAACTTTGCCAATTTTTCTTCTAGAAATGATGTTCGCCTCACGTAAGGTTTACAGTTGTGACAACGCATAGCTTGGGCAGATTGAAGAGACAATAATCGTTGTTCAAGTTTACCAACCTGTCAAAAATATTATGTTCTGAAAAAATGTATTAAAAAAATCGTAAATGACTTTAAGGAAGTAAGGATGTCAGGATAGAGTTCTCTTGAATTATAACAACACATACATAACATAATAAACAAATTTGGATGCAAAATACGTATACGAGTGACAAAAGTGACGTCTTATTTAAAACAAACCCTTTGGGTAATACCAGTATTTAAGTAAAGACCATTTATAGTAAAAATCTGACTACGCCATTAGGTTCTATGCAAAAAAATTATTTAAGAATCAATTTTTAATCATTCGTTAAGTTGAAGGATAAACAAACTACGAGTGAGGTTTTAATTGATTTTTTTTTGAATTTTATCCTGTTATTGTTTTATTAATGAAGTTATTTAAGTTATTAATTAAGTTTTTATTACAGTATGGTATAAGTTTAACGAATAAGTACGTAACGTTAGTAAAAACTGCAATCCGTGATCTTCAGCAACAACAGAGATATTCGGCAAGGAGAATTACTGAAATAATTCTAAGGCCGCTATTGTACTATACAATTATATATACAAATGTGCTACAAATTCGAGGTACGAGCATTGGTATTTCGGAAACCGTAATAGATACGAACATGGTTAAATTGGGACAAAGTTGTGCTTTGGGGTGTTCACCAAGATGCCATCAAAAAAGTTTCAAAAATTTCTCTTGATTGCCGAGTTATTTAGAAAAAAAAAACGATTTTTTGAAAATCAATTTAATTTTTTCCTGTCGTTACTTTTTAGAAAATTCTAAAACTAATCCTATATTCTCATGGTCACTTTAACAAGGCTACCTGATAGTATTTTTAGATTTTCAAATTAGCTGATAATTTGTGAAATAGAAATAGAAAAGCCAACTTAATTTCTTTAAATACGGACCTGCAGTTTTTATCTGATGTTTTGAAAGAATTCGGTCTCCTGAGTATAACGATATGCCACACTTAATATTTTTATTTGTCACTTAAACACAATTTATTTAAATTAATGTTAAGTCCAGACCTGGTTTTTTAAAAATATATAATTTATTTATCGTAACAATACTGACAAGCTGAGTCATTGTTAAGTTTGAAAAAAAGACCTGTAGTAAAACATGGAATATGGTAAATCAAATACAGTAAAATATTAAAAACTAATATATAAAATAAATAATAATATACATATAATATAAACAATTAAATAATTTCCCCGGAAGTTGGATTGGAAATGGTAGAGCAGTACCTATAATGGACTGCGAGATTCCTGGACCTGTCGCCAAGGAATATTTTCCTTTGAGGGGCACAAATCAGTTTTTTTTTTTCAAAAAACTTGAAAATTTAGAAACTTTTTTGTTAGCATGTTGGCGAACATCCCAAGGAACAATTTTGCCCCAATTTAACCATGTTCGTATCTATTACGGTTTCGGAGATACCAATGCTCGTATCCCGAATTTGTAGCATCCTCTATACTCTCTATTATATTTTATAAAGATAATTTTATGAAATATCTTTCGGAAGATCTTTGACAAAGAAAGTTTATAGTCTAATACCGGCCTAATTACCAAAAATCACCTGATTATCAAAGAGTAATATCTCTTTAGAATACCTATAGATTAATTAAAAATGAACACTTTAATATTTCTTTCATTTTAAAGCCTTAAATAATCAGTTTTTTTTAAATACCAGAAAGCAATATATCTATAAACTTTTGAGGTATTTTCATAAAAATATTTTAAATAGCTGTTGAAATCTGTTTTGTAACATTTTAAAGCAGATGTACAGTTTTGTAACATTTTACTGCCCCCCCCCCAGACATTACTAATAAAAATAAAATACAAATCAGTACCTTTTCTAGTATTATTTTTCTTTTCTTTTCTTCCTCCTGTAGCACCTGCTCCCTTTCCGTAGAAATACAGATGGTTTCTCTAAGCCCATCCTCAAGTTGCAATATCCTTTTATCCTTCTCCTCTATGATATCTTCTAATTCTTTTAATCGCTCTAAATAATCTTCTTTTACCCTTTCATCCCTGTTTTCTACAATTATTACTCTATTCCTATCATCAGTATCTCTAATATTAGATATGATTTTATCACTTGATTTCACTGTACACTTGCAGTTCTCTAAAGTTCCATTGTTATTCTTCAGATCGTTCCGAATTTTTGTGATCATTAAATCTTTGGTTTCAATTTCGTTTTCTAGCTTTTTTATATGCAGTTCCTTTTGTTTTATCGTTGTTTCTGCTATTTCCAACAACTCGTTCAAATTCTTTACGGTATAATCAAAGTTTTCTATTTCATCTAGACGTAGTTCCTTCTCGTAAAGATCCTTCCTGGTTGAATTGAGAGGTAACTCAAATTCGTACATTTCATCTTCAGTTTTCTTCAGTTTGTTCCTTAATTCTACGACAGCTCTCTCATTCTAAACATCGATACGCAAAAGATAGAATAAAGGAAACACATACATTAACAACAAAACAAGCTTTTGTACGCGAAATTATAAAAAAACTAAATAAAAATCGTTTTTAATATGTCTTAAATAAAAAAAATCGAGGAATGAGGCAAAGACATATATGTATACAAAATTGTTTTTTTGAGTGTGTATTGAAACATGGATGTGTTGGAGTTAGAAAAAGCTCTTGAGGAATCCCGCAGGTCCAGCCTTTGTACAAACAACAGTAATATAAATAAGCAAAGGATTTGTTTGTTTATACGTACGTATCCAGAATAGATGCATAAAGAGTTAGAAAAGAGAAAATAATTTATGTTAGTTTGTTTAATTAGGATATTAATTAATATAAAACAATTACCTCTTGAGATTGTGCTTGCTGTTGTTTCAATTTTGCCTGAGCGTTTTTCAGTGCCCTAGAAAAAAAGGAAAATTACAATAAATTATAAGTGTGCAAAGGTATTATAATAATTTTTCTTAAAATAATATACAGGGTGATTCACGGCCATGGCACGTTAGACGTTTATCGAGAACCGGTGATTTTATTGAAATATTGGAATTTTGCATAAAGGCACCTGCTCTATCTGTCTAAATTATTATCAGCATTACATTGTTGCTGTTTCATACTAAAAGTGATGGCATCTTTGTTATTTTAAATGATTTTAAATGGAATACCCGGTATATTAAAATATTTTTCGAAACTATACTTCCATATCACATAATTTTTCTATTATATTAACTCTAAACTATATCAATCTCTAATAGTTTTCGAGATAAAAAATAAAACATGTGTAAAATTGACAAAAACATGATCTTGAAAAGGTCGGTTAAATCATAAATTTGGCATATTGAAAGCTGAAATTTGGTTTATAGATCAAGGAAAAAGATGACATATCCGATCTGTCTAAATAAACTGATTGGATATCAAACATGGATGTCAGAAAAAAATAATTATTTCCGTTTGTTATAAAATCGTTCAAATTATAGTTCAGTTATTGGGGAATTTTGCTTGGAAAAAAGTCCGGAAGTTTTGAAACCTTGCAGGTTTATAGGTTTTGGGATCCCTAACTAAAATCCATAAAATGCACATTTTCAGACTTGCTGCCGGCTCCGCCATCTTGCCAAGATGGCGCCCAAAATCGGTATTTTGTAAATATCTCGAAAACTATGCGTTTTCCGCAAAAATCTGAAGATAGCAAAATTAAAGAGAATTTAGAAAGAATTTTCTATAAAAAAGGTTCTATGAAAATTTTCGCTAAAGTCAACCGTTTAGGCACAAAATCCCTGGAAATTTTACAATTTTGCGTAAAATATGATACGTATAGTCGATTTTTCGAAATCAAATGTCGATTAGGGTTCACTAAAACTAGTTTTAGTTTAGTTTCTTCAATTTTGTCATGAAACAAACAGATGGATCATTAATTCGCTCATTAATTTATGAGTAATTAATTTTAATTATTGAAAATGTGTATTTGTTTCCACACCACCCAAGAGGTAAAGTACATGGCGCGTTTATTTTAACGTGGTCTCCCCGGAGGCCTACTGCACTAGGTTAAATTAAACACTTTAACTTATTTGCACAAGCCGGACGACGGACCTAGCTCATTGATATAAAAGTCGATCGTGTCTGCTGTACTGCTGTGCTGAGCTCATCAGGGTGGTCTCTCAATTCGTCCAACTCTTCATTTTCAGGCGCCAGAGGGATATCTACAGGCAAGTCCAGCTCCTCTTCATCAGATTCGTCAAGTGACACTTCAGTGAGGTTTGGTTTGGTTTGGTTGTTACAGGATTTCCCATTGTAGCATGCACAAATCATTGAACATTTTAATCCTGCTTTTCTGCATTCGCAAGCTTTACCACGGTTGTTGGTTTTGCATTTACAGGATAAATGCCAATGAGGATTTTGGAGCTGGATCTGTCAACGTTGTGACTGGAGTAATGCCTGTTTTGTTTTCTTCCAACCCCATTCTTCGGCATCTTTGGTACAACCAGACCTATGCTGAACCTGGTGGTAAGTTCGCAATGAATGATGTCCAGCACGACAATTAATTATTCATAAATTAATGAGCGAATTAATGAGACGCCACTGTTTCATGACAAAATTGAAGAAACTAAACTAAAACTAGTTTTAGTGAACCCTAATTGACATTTGATTTCGGAAAATCGACTATACATATCATACTTTACGCAAAATTGTAAAATTTCCAGGGGATTTTTGCCTAAACGGTTGACTTTAGCGAAAATTTTCATAGAACCTTTTTATGGGAAATTATCTTTAATTTTGCTCTCTTCAAATTTTTTGCGAAAAACACATAGGTTTCGAGATATTTACAAAATACCAATTTTGGGCGCCATCTTGGCAAGATGGCGGCGGCAAGTCTGGGAATGTGCATTTTATGGATTTTAGTTAAGGACCCCAAAACCTATAAATCTGCAAAGTTTCAAAACTTCCGGACTTTTTTCCAAGCAGGCTTCTTTTTTGATCCCCAATGACTGAACTATTACTGTTATTTTGAATTCAAACCTATGCACAGTGGTTCCCCTTAATTAGCTGCGCGGTCATAACTGTTATATATCTAGATATAGCTTGACTGCACCTTTTTTAATAGAAATTGATAACAAATGCTAAATAAATGTATATAAAAAACTTAATGTAATATGCGTATTAAAAAAATTGGGCCCAGTTCGTGTGATTTGCATTTTAAGTTCTAACTATTCGGAAAGGTATACAGATTATGTTTGCACATATGTACAGGGTGGGTCAAATTCGATGCTTTTAAATGGAAACACCCTTTTCTGTAGGAGATAGACAAAAACTAATATCGGTGTCTGGAGCTTAATTTTTGTCAAAAACATGATGGCGAAAACCGCATATCGATATCTGTTACCGTTTCGGAGTTACGGGGTGTTTTTCAAAAATATGCATTTTTAACAAATCGCTGTAACTCTTTCGCTATGGAAAATTTTGTATTTTTATGAAAACATTTCCAAAGCACCTTTTTACGTAGAATTTAATGGTTTAAGTATAATTTTTCTAAAATTAATATTTTAAGAATTATCAACTAAAAATTTGATTTTTTATATGGGATACCCTGTATATTTTTAATTTATTGAAAATAATTTAAAATTACCTTTCCAAAAATATAACATACTTGATATTTTGCTCGATTCCTCTTCGAGATATAGAGTATATAAACATTCGCCCGCTTTAAATAAGTAGGCTTTGAACGGCACCGGCTGTAATGCAAAAAAATTCTAGCTGTGAGCATCAATTAAAACGAAAATAATATTTGCTATGAGAGATGCAGAATTTTATAACAACTTAAAATATATTTAACCAACATCAACACATTTAAACTATATCTAATAACAATAAAAATAAATAGCAAACCAAGACATGAGATTTTGCTACAGATGTTCGACATATCGACCGTCTTCTGTTATGGACAGACGGGGCAGTTTTTGAACATTTCTCGCGTAATTCATTAACTCAGTGGGGTTGAAAGATACCCTCTCATAACTGCTAAGTATGTCTAATTCTTGTCTAGATTATACGGAAGAATAAGGAACCTTTATTCTTTCGCAAATATATCAATAGGATTAGATCTATGGGCACTAAGTCAGGCGGCCTCGACGGCCAACGGCTGGGATCTTGGTTAGATATTCAAATATTCTTGAAATTGGCTGCAAAATTTGCTAATAACTTCAGCGTTCAGAGCCGGTGCGTCGTCTTGCTAGACAAATATGTTTTCGAGTTCCATTAGAGGTATATCATCAATAAGGGGTCCAAAGCCTACTAGTTAAAAGTGGCGAACTTTTAAAAATTCTGTATTTCGAAGGGGATTATAGCAAAATATCAAGTGTGCTATATTTTTGGAAAGGTAATTTTAAATTCTTTTCAGTTAATTAAAAATATAGAAGGTGTCCCAAATAAAAAATCAATTTTTCTGTTGATAACTCTTAAATTATTAATTTTAAAAAAATTATACTTAAACCATTAAATTCTAGGTAAAAAGGTGCTTTGGAAATGTTTTCATAGAAATACAAAATTTTCCATAGCAAAAAAGTTACAGCGATTTGTTAAAAATGCACAGTTTTGAAAAACACCCGATAACTCCCAAACGGTAACAGATATTGATGTACGGTTTTCACCATCATGTTTTTGATGAAAATTGAGCTCCAGACACCGATATTAGTTTTCGTCTATCTCCTATAGAAAAGGATGTTTCCGTTTAAAAGCGTCGAATTTGACCCACCCTGTACATGTTTTTTTTTCATATTAAAGAGGTCAAATTTATTTTAAATGTTGAAAAAATAAAAGAGACAGTTGTTTCATTTTATAAATACAATTCTATTGTCAATTGATATATAGTGTGTCCACGAAATAAGTTGGCACGAAGAGGAAAAAATAAGTTACTTTTATTTTAAGACAAAAAGTCAATCTTTAACCACCCGGTATAAAATCCGGCGGCAATTCGCGGCAGCCAGTGGCAATTAATTTATATGCAATATACTTTAAGCAACAAGTATTTTCATGCCGTTTAAGAGGATTTGAAAGGGAAAGTATAGTATTTTTAATACCCATTTAGAATAACACCATCCTTATTTATTATTAATAAATCAGTTGAAACAAAAAATTACCAACAAAAAGGAACGTCGATAACTAATTTGTTAGATGTCACGTTTTTGAAGTTACGTCAAATTTTGATTTCATGTATGTCATAACGCAAAATAAGATATAAAAATGCGATATTCTGATGAATCCAAAAAAACTTATGCTTAATGTAGTAAACTATTTTCAAAACGATTTAGGATCTCGATTTAAGGCAATTCAAAAAGCGTCCGAAGCACTAAAAGTTCCAGTTTTTCATGCGGGTTCAGATCGTTCAAGAAGCCGCATACGTTAAGTTACTAAAACGGCTGGTACCTCTAAATAGGTATTAAAAATACTATAGTTAAAAGTCTTAAAGAGTGACAAGCAAAAATGTAAAAATACTATTTTTGTTACCTTCAAATAAATTGTCATAAACTAATATTACTTATGTTTAATTAAGTGCAAAAAAGAAAAAACAGTTCTTTTTACCTTCTTTTCGAACGTCCATTACAGAAAAGGCAAAAGCTTTTATCAATTTTAATAAAATAAGTAATTAATTGGCGTTATCTGAAAACTGTTTATGTCAGCTTGATACCAGTAGCAAAAAATGTGACATTTCTAATAAAAAAGCGCTACACTAGGCTCACTTGATTTTGTTATTTATTATGTATCGTTTACAGGGGAATATAAGAAAAGTGTTAGCAACAGTTTCATGCAAACATTTTGAAAGTAATATTTCTAAGTAATGACCTATCTGGGAACCACTGTGCTATGTAGTATATTATTTAAAAAATCGAAACCCAAATAAAATTGCTTCTTATATTATTTATTTGGGTTTCTTTCTTGCTAAGTCTGATGATGTTCATATGTGCAAAACACGTGCCACAATTTAAATTTTTATAATAAATGTCGAAATCGAGACTTTGAGTCATTTTGTTTCTTTTGGAACTATAGCCTAGAAATTTTTTTTGGCAGTTTGTTGATTAAAATTGGAGCAATTTTTGATAATAGAATGGTATGCTACTATAAGTTTACATTAACTTATAGTAGCATATTATTCATTTTTTCACAACTTGCTGAATGAAAGATTTGTACATTATATTTTATGTGTGAGGAATTATTTTTTAAAATGTTTTTCATTTTCTTTATTTATCTTCTGTACTTAATATTCATATTATATTTTGTTTAGGGGACCGGTCGACCATCCGGAAACACGATTTTGAGATAAAAATTTTTTGGATTTTCAAATAGATGCTCTAAATAGTAGTTTTCAACAAAAAAATTTGCTGTGTGGTTTTGAGTTTTTAGTTAGCTACCTAATCAAAGCAACCCAAAAACCTAACCAATCTAATAATATTTTTGCAAAATCACAGTTAATTATTAAAATATAAAAACCACAGCTTAACACCCTCCACAAAGAAAAGCTAACCAAATCAATCCAAATGCTAAGCAATGTAATAATATTTTTACAAAATCACAGTTAATTAATAAAATAAAACACCTTCTTGTAACAACTTGACATTAGTTTTACGCGCCTAAATAAGTTTTAAAATTGCTAAATTGTCATTTTTGGTAAGAATCATCACTGTAAAACATCTCGTTTTTGTTTCCGGATAGTCGACCGTATCCTTTGTTTAGTAATATATTTTTTTTTTAATTTAACTAAAATAACTTACTGTTGCATTTCCATAATTTGTTTTTCTTTCTGATTCTGCTCCTCTTGACTCATTTGTACCAACTGTAACAACCTTTCCATCTCCGTCGCAGATCGTTTAGCTTCTTCCTGTGCTTGCTCCACCTTCTTTTCTGCTTCAGCCAATTTTTTATTAAGTTCTGTGGCTGCCGCTGCAGTACCTCCAGCCTAGTAATGTTCAAAATTGGTAATTAGTCATAATTTATTATTGTGCTTAAACCTCAGGTACCGGGCAAACTAAATTCTAAAACTTATTTACAAAGAGCAATTGGCAAAATATGTCATACTATATAATATACAATATATAATATATCTTGGGTCACTAGAAAGGAAAATGACAATTTCACTAAGGAGATGTGAAATTACTTAGGTGGCAGTTCGAAAACTCTCAAAGATATGGACAAGACAAAAACATATCAAAACACTTAAAAAGAGGTTTGTTCCCTGCCTGGTATTTCTTATACTAATGTATGGCTCCGAGTCCTGGACTATGAGACAGCCAGAAATAAAAAAAAAATTGACACTACTGAGATGTATTGCTGGCGACGAATGCTCAGAATTCACGTTACCGGCCGCTTTTGCAAACAAAGTCATTATGAGGGAAGCCTACTAGACACATTTAATTTACTTATTTGAGTTATTTCCACGTCCGATATTAAGATTGTCAAATTATAAAGGCGGCCTACTAGACACACTTAATTTGCATGTTTGGATTATTTATTAATTATCATTTTTTAACAATTAATAGCAAATAATGCCCTAATTTATTAACTTCTTTAAAACTCAAGTTCTGTTTATAATACAGTACATACCGTAATTACTTACGGTGCACATCTTTGTTACTTAATAATACACTTTTCATTTGGTTAATAAAAATTTGAATCTAATCTCCAGTTTCGTCTTTATTTAGAAACAAAATTGTAAACAAAATTGTTACCTACTTCAAAAGACATTCGCTTAAAAAACTTTGTGTGCACCTCGGCCGTATGATCAACTTTACGGCCTTGGTACACAAATAACTATTTTGGCAATAGATTTGTGTGTCTGGAAACGTTCTATCCTTTTTAATCTTTATATAATTAGCATTAATTTTTAACAAGTTGTATGTCAATTTTTAGTAAATGACCTCTAGAGATTCATCTCGTCAAAATTATAATCGATTGTCATTCTTCAGTGGTCTTTGACGCCGTTTTTATCAATTATCCGGTAGTTTTCATGCTAGAAATGACTTCATTATTATTAGCTTGTATAAAGTGTAATGTAAATATATCATGAACGCATTCAATTATATACTTATACCGGGTGCATCTCAAAACTGTATCACCCCCTGTAACTTTTTTATTTTTTCAGAAAAAAAAATTGGAATGTATATTATGACATAAAATAGGATTTATTGACGGTATTCAATTGTTTTTGGTCACTTCCTGTTTCACCGGAAATTACTATAACTTTTGATTTTTAAATGGGACCCTCGGTATACTTCTACCGTATTCGATAGAAAATGACACTCTGAATAGAATGACGTATCACATTTCAACTTTTGATATTGTCGCATATGGTTTATTTCAAATTGTAACATGCGGTTTAAAACGACAACTTGACTCGAATTACCAATGGTGGTACCAAATTATTCCTATAAAAAGCTTTTTCCAAATATGCTAATGAGCCACCTTCGTTCCATTTGAAAAAAAATGAGATATGACTAAAAATACGATTTGGGCCTTTTGTAACTTGCCAAGACAAGACACAAAAAACATAAAACGATCAAATCAATTTTTTCAAAGCTCCTTGACTAAAAATTAGTGTTTTAGCACAACCATGGCACTCTAGATTGAAATTTAAAATACGATTTTATTTAAAGCGAAAATTTATGTCATTTTCTATCGAATAAAGTAAAAAAATACGGAGGGTGCCAATTAAAAATCAAAAGTTGTAGCCATTTCCGGTAAAACAGGAAGTGACCAAAAACAATTTAATTCGTCAATAAATCCTAATTTATATCATATACTAACATACCAAATCTCGTTTTTTCTGAAAAAATAAAAAACTTATAAGAGCGAGTCACTATCGAGACGCACCCGCTAGATGCGTTATGTGTTCAAATATTAATAATATTAATAATAAATTTAATAAAATTAACCTTTTGCAATGAGGCTTGTAATTGGTCCATTTGTTGCTTTTGTTTCTGCAATTGTTTATCTAATTCGGCTAACTGTCTCTCCTTTTCCTCCACCTGTCTGTGTTTGCTCTCCACCGCCTTCCTCTGCTCCTCCACTTGCTTTCTTTGGTCGTCCAACCTCCTCTTTTCCTCCTCCAGCTGCTTCTTTTGAGGCCCAAGGTCCTCCGCTGGTCGTTGAGGACCAGCCATTTGTAGCTTCTTCGTAGCTTCGTGCAGTTCGAGCTGAAACAGTTTATATTTTGTTACAAAGGTTTTGTTGTTGATTTGGATCTGTTTCTTAAGATATTTGTTGGATTGACTTTGTTCGGTCTAAAGCTCGTAACTTTGATAGGGAAATGCTGGTATATCGTCGGTAAATATTTAGTAAGAGATAAATCTAGGTATATCCCAATAGTTTAGTGCAGGTCATGTTGATAATGCTGATGATATGTAAATAAACGTTAGTGTCAGAATTCTAAATCGATTTGTAAGAGCAAACTATTTTGATGCAATATTTACGCATTTTTACTTTATATATTATATATAATATCACAGCAGATTTTATATTGTATAAACATTCTAACAGCATCAGAATAGAAATAAAAATGAAATAGGAAGTTCGGTATATAATTTAACTAAATCAAACTCTATAATAAAATTATAATACTAAGGAAATGGAGTATAGGTAATATTAGTAAGACATCGGTGTAATCTTCTTTTTAATTTTGTTTTTGAATTAAAATTTTTATTACTACTGAATATTACTTAATTAATCAATGCCAATAAAAAAGATTACACAGGATGGAAAAGTTAAAATAAAAACACATTCAAATTAATAAATAATTTAACTACTAGGTACACTTCAGATTAAATAGTTTATTTTAAACAATACTCCCCTAAAAACCTAAAACCAAAAAAATATGTACTAAATTAAAAAATATATACTCAGATGCAAAAAAAAACGCTACGGAAAAATATTTCATCAAGTTTAAAGTGTTTAAAGTTTATTTTTTTTTTTTTTTAGCCATATTTCCTTGATTTTTTTTTAGCAAACTGTATATAAATATATCAACTTTAATTCGCAAACTCAGTTTATTATACTCACAACCAACTTTCGTATTTAAGTTATTATACAGGGTTAATCGAACAGTTGTTTTTACCCTATCTTTAAAACACCCTGTGCAATAATTTCGAGAGCAAATTTTCCTAAAACATTATTTTTCGGTCAGAATCATGTATATTTTATTTTTTGACTTATGGCGACACATGTCTTGGTTAATTATTAAGAGCAAAATGAACTCGCCAGAAACATTGAGCAATTTTTTCAATTATCGTTACTTTTTGATGTTATTCTTCATAACGACGAGATGGCTTTGGTGACTATTGTTATGCACGATTGAATAAGGCTCTTAGTGTTGAAGATTGTGTAAAAGTCACTGACCTTATTGAAGATGGTTAGGTTAGGTTAGTTAATACATTTATATACAGTTTGTTAAAAAAAAATCATGAAAATAGAAAAATAAAAAAAATATAACACTTTAAACTTGACCATTAAAATTTTCCGTTGCACACTTTCAAAAAATTAATCCAAACCTGATTTTTCTCCAACTCTTGTACCAACATCTCCAACTGAGATTGTAACCGCTCTTTTTCCGTGTTACAGTTCTTAACATCTCCTTGAGACTTCTCCAACTCTTTCCTTAACCTTTGCAGCTCTTTCTCGTCTGCTGCAGGTGGTTGTATACCCCTTTCTCTTTGGTACTGAGCCATCTGGTTAAGTTGCTGTTGAAGCTGCTTTTCCATAACCTGTAATATGGTATATTTTATGTAATATTGATGTGTATAGGCTTTGTGCATTACAGTTGATTTCAACAAATTCCGACCGCGGCGCCTCAAGAAATCAGAAATTATCAGTGTTCACGCCACCCTCATGTTGATCGCATTAAAATAATATTGAAATCGTGGTTTGGTCATAATATTTAAGTATTTTAGTTTTTTGCTAGTGCAGTTATTGAAACTATAAAACATTCAGGTATGAGGTTTGTGTGATGTAACGCTGTTTTGGGTATTAATAAATAAGTGAAAAAGAATTCGAACTAGACGTCACCGTCGTGTTGTGTTGTGACAATTTCAAATGTTTATAACATTGACGCGAAAAAAATGTTAAAGGACAGCTAAAAGTACAGCTAAAAGGACAGCTTAAAGGACAGCGTAATTAGGGCGTTGTTGGGCGCAATAACAAATAACTCAACTCTCCCGGATATTCAACTCTTCCAAATCAACATTTTATAGCTTCATAGTTTCTCACAGCCACCCATTTGACCAAAAGCAAAAATCGATTCCAGCAGTTCGACGAAACAAGTGAGTAAACAAAGTGCTCGTTACATAATTAAAAAATTAAATAGATATACTCATATAAAACATAATTTGCAATATTAATGGTATACTTTTTTTAATCAACTAGTGATTAAATGTTTTATGATCATCTAAAATTATAATTATGTGCCTTGAAAAAAATTCGGAATAACCCACAATTATACCCCACTAGCAAAACCGGTGATTAAAATTATGCTCGCCACCGTAGTTGAACTCATCTGAAAAGTTTTTTTTAACTGGAATAATAAATTATAATACAAATTGGGCCTTTTGAAGATATCAAAATATTTACTTTTTTATTTTTATTTTTAGAATTTTCACAAATTATACTTCCTAACACTTTTAGAACAATTAAATAATAACTTTTTCGTATACTCGCTATTTAAACCCGTGTATTTACATAGAGAGAGAATATCGTACATAACTAGTATATGCATATAGGTACTAGTTATGTACTCATATATATATATTTTTCCTTTCTTGGGTATGGTCTATATAGACTGGTGGTAGCAAGGCGGCTGCGGCTTCAAGAATAAAGTGCCTGAGAAAGCCTACCATGATGAGGCGAAACGTCGCATAATAAAAAAAAAATTTCCATTTTCAATTAATAAAAAAAAACCTCATACCCAAGAAAGGAAAAAATATATATATATATATATGGATATAATACTAAAGGTTTAAGAAAAAGAAAAAAAAATAAACTCTAGTTATGTACGATATTCTCTGATTATTACTATGATATTAATTAATTGGTTTTGAAGAAATCGAAGATTACTCTAAAATAGTACTAATAGTACTTTAAAATATTAGAAGTTAGATTTTTAACAGAGAAAGTGTAGTCAGTGGACCTAAAAGTATGATTAAATTTAATTTTATTGCAATTTAATTTACCATATTTCTGCTATTAGTCCAAAACATAGTCCAAAACGTCAAATATACTAAGTGACATTGAAAATAGAACACCCACTAAAAATTGTTTAATTTTAATAATCTTCTGTACATGAATGTAGGTTGACAAAAGGCGTAAATGATCAAAATTTGGAGTGAAAATATTGGCTCGTTACCTTGTCACGATGCGAACTGTTTACCGACGAATACGGTCTTTAGGGCTGTTTTCTTTTCGGCCTCATTGGGTTTTACCATTGACCCCTGAACATCGACGACAACGTCTAGAGTGGTGCAGAGCCCGACAAGAATGGGGCGCAGAATGGAATGCTATCGTTTTTGCGCAGGTGAGAAGATACCGTGGAGAAAGGCGGAATCCACAGTTTTTCATGGAGAGGCATGTAAACCAAGTTGTAGGAGTTATGGTATGGGGAGCAATCGCATATGGTAGCAGGTCACCTCTAGTATTTGTTCGAGGTAATATGACAGCCCAACGCTATATTGAGGAAATTGTGGAAGCTCATCTCTTACCATACTTACGAACGCTCCACGATCCTATATTTCAACAAGATAATGCCCGTCCCCATGTTGCTAGATTAACTGTGAACCACTTACATAATGCCCAAGTTAATATCCTACCCTGGCCATCAAGATTTCCAGATCTCTCACCAATTGAACATGTATGGGATATCATGGGTAGGAGACTGACAAACTTATCGCATCCTCCTCAGACACTAGAAGCTCTTCGGCATGAGATACAGTTAGCATGGGATGAAATACCGCGAGAAGACATAAATCATCTGACTAGTTCCACGCCCAGACGACTCAACGAATGTATACAACATCGAGGTGGTCCAACACATTATTAACAAGGATGAGTCTTCCGTGTTCCGTAAACCATTAGTTAGCAATTGCTCGGGAAGTGACCGAACGGTCTCTGACAGCTAAATGCCTTAAACGGCGATCTTGGCCCTCAGTGGTTAATCTTAGACGCCATGTACCTCTGGCACGATGTTCACGGTGTTGTTGAAAGTAAGCTCTACAACAACTGGCAACAGTACAAAAACTTTTATGGACCCTATCAGCAATCTTTCGAAATGATAATCCTGCCTCCCGCAAACCTACAATCCGACCCCTATGAAAATCACTGAGTTGTCTAAAATTTGCACGTCTACGTATTCTAGGCATTATAATAAACTCAGAAAAACACCTGAAACTACTCTGTAGCAGAATAAGTAACAAACTTTGCGAAAGCCGGGTCTATATTGGATGACTGGAATTTTAACACAAGCATGTATAGCACAAAAACTAGTGTGTTGACGGCGTTCAAATTATAATCATTTCTTATCCATACAATAATAAACATGCTTACAAACATTCATTAAAATTAAATAATATTTAGTGGGTGTTCTATTTTCAATGTCACTTAGTATATTTAGTCAGTTTGCACAAGTGAAGAACAACTAAAAGTTCTATCTTAATTCAATTAAAAGGACCTATATAATCCAGCACAATATTCTTTTTATTGATATATATTTTTTAAATTTAATTACCTGAATCCTTTTCTGCAGATCCTGAGCTGTCTTCTCAGCCTGGTCTGCTCTTTTCGTTTCCTGCTCGATAACGTTTCTCCATTGCTCCAATTCGGAATCACCTCTAGCTCCAGACTCATGCAATAACTTCTCAGCCTTCTCAGCTCTTTGCTTGTGAGTATCCCTCTCCTTCTGAGCTTGTTGTAGCTGCTGTTGCAACTTGGCAATTTCCCTATCCCTGTTCTCCAAAACTTCCTTCGCTCCTTTCTCCACATCTTGCGACATCTTTTTCTGTTCGTTTTTCAATCTGGCCACTTCTTGTTTGTGTTTCTCCAACTCTGCCTCGCTGTGGTTCAGTTCTTGCTGGAAGTTCATCAGCATGTCCTGTGATTTTTCTAATTGGATTACCAGTTGGTCTCGTTCCATGGTTAGCTGTTTGATGTCTGCATCGTATTTGATAATTTGTTTTTCTATAGATTCACCTGGATGAAAAAAGAACATATTAAAATAATGAGTCATAGAAACAGAAAGATAATGAAAAAAAGATATAAAAAACATACATAAAAGTTAGCCATTGCTGGTATGGAAGTAAAAGAACTCGTTGATACCTTTACGAAAAAAGAGATTTATTCCTCCAACCTATCTATTGGTGTTTCAGTAGTTACCTGGAGGAAGAAATTCTACGGAAAAACTACTGGAAATACTCCAAGCTAAAGAAAAAACACATAAATTTTTAAAACTTTAGATTCGAATAGCTGAAAAACAAACCAATTTAATCAGAAATGATTTATAGCTGCGTACAAGCTTAATTACTGGCCACTATCCACTTAAATATTGTTTAAAAATAACCAGACCTAATATAGAAGACATCAACATCAACATTACCAAATTAACCTAACCAAATTAATGTCCATTATTCCACCAATAATACCAATATTAAAATTGAGGAAGCTGGCATTAAAAATGTCGAAGATTTTTTATATCTCGGTTCTTAGCGGAGCAAAAGTACGTTGGTATCTCCGACTGCTCAAAGAAGGACTTGCTCCATAGAAACCAAAAGCGGAAACACTCCAAATAGGAATACACATCCTCCTCACAATAGTAACCACGAGACAGCCTGGCGCATATTCACCAACGGGCAAGCGAGAGAGAGAGAGAGAGAGAGCCTCTCACCTCTGCTCAGATAAGGAGAGAAAAAAACCAGGATGGAAAGCCGCCCAACACCGAGACGCAGACGAGCAAGCAGGGACCTATCACCAACTTTACCGCTATTGCTGGTGAAAACAATTATTAATTACAAGTGAAAATGGCGGGGCTGTCAAAGGATTACCTAGTGGTTTCACTGACGGCACTCACGGATCTAGACGAGGCGATAGTGGCCGAAGTACCAACTCTCCACAACCCAACGCTCCACAAGATGTGGGTCAGCTGCGTCTTGCGGAGATACATTTTCGGGTGGGCACGCTCCTCATGGATTGAGCATCTTAAGAATCTTTAAGAATAGGCAGGAGCCGAGACAGGTCGCAGTGGAGGCAGAAAACATCCCAAAAGAGGCGACCATCACGGTCTTTCTGCAGAAGAGCAAGAGGAAAGACACCACTTACATGCTAAGCCTTATCCAGACTCCAGTGGAAGGACATGGCGAATGGAGTTGGCGAGTTATCAACTCGAGGGAGGAAGTCAGAGGGAGGCCAAAGTCAGGTCTTCACAATACGAATTAACCTCAAAACCAAGAAGGTAATAGAGAAAGGGAGATATAATCTCTATTATAGATTCGGGACAATACCCGTATCAGGTCTAAAGAGAGACCAAGTTAAAGAGGTGTTGAAAATGGAGACAGACTCTCCAGCCTCCACCTCACGAGTACCTCAGCCGGAGACAAGCTTCTCGACTGTGAAGGGCACGGAGGGCGGAATTCCAACCGTAGAAGGGTGTATACCCTCGGAGGAAGAACATCTCTTCTTAGAGGAGGATGGGAAATACCCTGTCCACTGAGAAAGCACAGCAAACATTTGGTCGGTTGAAATCTGTATGGAATATGCACTAGCACTCCACATAAACCACATTGAGACTTTTTAACTTCAATATTGAACATGTATTGCAACTTTCATCAGTCGTTGCTTGACAAAGATTCTGAAGATATTTTGGTCTGAAACTATTATTTCTATACAATACTGACCTGCTTCATCATACTAACTAATCAGAAGTGTATATAGAAGTTAGTAAAAGAAAACTGGGATGGATAAGTCATACACTGAGAAAGCTAATCGAAAACATATCAAGAACCGATCAGCTTGAATGGAATTCTGAAAGAAAAAGAAAACCTGTCCGTCCAGCATAATCTTGGTCACAATCAGTACTTGAGGAATTTTAGAAAATCGATTTTTATATCGACCCTCTTGGAACAACCAGCTACCAAAAATAGAACCAGATGGGGAGCATTTTCCGAGGCTTTTTTCCGCGCACGATCAATTATTATAATAGAGGCTATATTAGATCGCTATATCGATATCGTTACTATTAGAATGCACCGGAATTAATAGAACTAATAACACCTCATGATATGCCATTGTTTAGCTCTAATTTGGAAGAGGATTTTGTATCTCAAAAATTAAGATAATCTACGTAAAAAAAGAAATAAAAAATAAAATATATGAGCCAAAAAGTATGTATGTAGGTAACAAATTACAAAATAAGGCTCTACAAAAAGAAGAAATATTATATTCCTATTAGAAATACAAATAAACAATTTTTAAAATCGTAAATTGCAAAAATACAAAGATGAAGAATCTACTTTGCAATTTAGACATTATTTAACAACATTTAAATATTGGATAAGGGGGCTAAAAAACAATTACAAATACTTTGGTAATAAATTTGAACATTCTAAACTAGAAGAATTTGAGAAGTTTTCTTTCTTACCTTGCCTTCCTTGTTTCTCCAACATCGACGCCATTTTATCTCTTTCTCTATTTGACTGTGCCAACTCCTGTTGCAACTTAATCAGCGTCTCCTGCGTCCGGTGATCCAGGGTCCTCCTCTGCGTGTCCATACCACTCCTAACTTGTTGCACCTCAGCCCTGAGAACGTCTCTCTCCTGCTCCAGCGTCTTCCAGTCCAATTTGTCTCTCTCCAAACGTTCATGCATCCTTGCAAGTTCCGTTGCCATTCTTTCAAACTCTATCTTGGTAGCCTCGTTGGTCTCGAGGGCTTTGGTAAGGTGGAGCTGCGATTTTTCAAGTTCCTGAGCGAGGCGACCTGCTTCTAATTCGGTAGCGTTCCTGGCCTGGAGAGCTTTTTCTAGTTTCTCTTTCAGTCTCTCGATTTCTAGGCGTTCATCGTTGCGGACCTTGTCAGCGGCAAGCGTTTGCCTTCGTTCAGTTTGAGCAACCTGAAAAATTATTATAAATATATTTTTTTGGTTTGAAGTACGATTGAAGAAGAAATGAAAGATCTTCTTTTAGTTTTCATATTTACTTGATAACACATACAATACAGTGGCGCCTCTCAAACGACAGTACCAAAATTTCATTTCGATATAAACAACCGTTCTCCTTGGAGCCTCCGCGTCGTATGAGGGACACCACTCCGGATAAAAAGTATTTAATACCTCCATTCTCAGCTTCTCATTATCTTTCTCCAACTTCTCCGCCTGTGCCTTCAACTTCTCATACCTATCTCTGTACTTCTCTAATTCGATTATAGCCCTCTCCAATTCCATCCTCTGCTTCTCTTGCGTTGCCTGAGCCTTACCCAAATCTTGCCTGGCCAAATCCAGCTGCATGGCTGTTTCGTGAAGCTTCGTTTCCAATTGCTGATTGGTGGATAGATTTCTTTGCAGCTCGTCTTTGAGTCGTTCCATCTCGGCTGTGCGTTCCTTTTCTTGCTCGAAGCCGTACTTGCTGCGAGTGCTCTCGACCAGGGCCAGTTCTTTACGGTTCTTGTCTAAATCTCCAAGGGTCTTGTCTAGCCTTTCTCGAAGGCGATCGACTTCAGCTCGAAGTCTGTCGTTTTCTTCTTTCGTTCGCACTTCATCTCGTTCATATCTAGAATTTTTTCAATATAGAGTAATTATCTTTACTTCATAGAGTTTTTATTAAATGCGACTTAATTTATTTGAATAAGAATACTTATTTAATACCTGATTAAAATTATCGCACCACTATTTATTTTTTAAGAAAATTAAAAAGAATATATCAATTAAAACATTTATTTATCTTTGCTCGTACGAAAAACAGAACTGGACAAAAACAAAACTTTATTTGAATGTTTAAGGTCAAATTATTCTGAATTATTGAAATTCCTTATTTTGCATTTTTCCTTATATGTACCCAACGCACACAGTTTCAGTAGTACTTCTTATCGTAACCACGTGTAAATTCTCTCTATTAAATATGGATAGAACGTCACGTTATCTGACTGAAAATGAAACTGTCTAAGCAATAACTTTAGGTGGAGAATGTAAGCTACTGTTATGTGGCTGGCGTTTTAGGCGTGCATCACACAACGGTTATAAAAACTGCGCAGCGGGAGGGAGACCGGAACATAAGAAGACCAGGACAAGGATGACACAGAGCTACTTCTCAAAGAGATGACAATTTTTTGCCGCCTCAATCTTCTAGGAAACAGAACATCTACCAGCCGTAGCTTAAACGATTTGAATAGGGCAGCACGCCATGTCAATATTTCAGATCGTACAGTTAGAAGACGCCTTCATGAAGCGAATTTAAGTAACAGAAGGCTCGCAACTGGACCTCTCCTCACCAGACAACACCGTGTCAGTCGTTTAAGATTTGCAAGACGATTCTCGGGATGGGATGTAAATGACTATAGGCGCGTCTTGTTTACTGACGAGACGAGAATTGGATAACTAGACGGTCGTTCTAGAGTCTGGAGAAGAGACTGTGAACGATTTGCCCAAGCATGCATATCTCCAAGAGATCCATTTGCTGGAGGAAGTCTTATGTTTTGGGGAGCCTACAATGCCTGTACTATCCTAGGTAGTAAGATTTAGTGCCTTTACCTAGACTTACCCTTAATGCACGCAGATATGTGTTGGAGATTCTTGAGGAACATGGTATAATAGCCAACGATATACAAGAACTGCAAAGCATCGTAGATTCCGTAGTCCACTATAGTGAGATGTTTGGACTGCATCTCAATGTCTCCAAGACCAAACTATTGGTCTTTTCTAAGACTTCAATAAATGCACACCTGCGTGTCAAGGGACAAACAATCGAATAAGTGACGCCAATAAAGTATTGAGGAGCTAACATCAATAGTCAGTGCGATCTGAAAAGAGAAATATTTTCAAGAATTGAGCTAGCGAGAAAAATCTTTGTGAGTACGAAATCATTTTTACAAGACGAGACCTCAGTGCGGAACTCAGAACTGGAATGGCCAGATGCTACGTCTTCTCTGTGTTACTATATGGATGTGAGAACTGGACACTAAATTCACAGACCGAAAAAAGAATAGAAGCCTTCTAAATGTATGTGTACAGACGGTTGCTGCGAATCTCATGGGTACAAACTATCATCAACGATGAAGTACTCCAGCGCATGCAGAAACAAAAAGAGATAGGTACTGAACACCATCAAGGAAAGAAAAATGCGATACCTGGGTCATGTGATGAGAGGTGATAGATACGAAATACTGCGCCTCATAATGGAGGGTAAAGTACAAGAAAAAAGATCAGTAGGAAGATGCCAGAACTCATGGCTAAAAGATTTAAGGAGATGGTTTGAACGCTCGTCTGCGGAAATCTTCCGGGCTGCACTTTCCAATAGAACAAGTCTGGGACATGTTAAAAAGGCGTATTCGGCAAAGGAACCCTCCTCCCCGAATATTAGCTGCACTGGAACTGGCTGCGCGTGAGGACTGGGAAAATATTCCACAAGAAACTTTTCAAAAGCACGATATTAATAATGCATTATGGTTGTTATTGGGGATATTGTTTTATTTTTGTATCGAAGTTGTAATTCCTAAAAATTGATTTTTTTCGTAAAAATGAATTTAGTTAGTTAAATTTCAATTTGTTGAATAGAATATGAGTCTTTTTTGCTAATAAACAATGCACAGTTAACAATGTTTGTTACTCTATTTTTTCTTTATTTCTCCAAAAAAAATCTCTAAAAGACAAGTGGTGCGATAATTTTGTCCAGGAGTTTAAATCAAATATCGAGATGTTATCTTGAGGAAGAGAAGAGAAGAATTCGTAAATGTGGACAGGAATGAAGTGCTTGTGCCGACTGTTGTATACACTGGTCTTAGAAAACTTAATATAAATAACCTAACCTTACTGTACAAAACTAAGATACCTAAAACCAGATCTAGACAGAAAAATGCTCGGTTGCAATAGTGTGGTATTAGGGTAAAATTTTATTTCTCAGTGAAACCCTTGCAACTGCAGAGATCGGCTTCCCATAATGAGACTCACTCACGGTTAAAAAAACACAAAATTCTACATACCTAGAATATCTATCTCTGCCCGGACCACCCGCTGTTTCTCTCAAATGGTCGTACTCGGCCACCACCTTCCTGAACTCGTTCTGCAGTTTTTCGTGTTTGTCCCGGTGTTTTTCCACTTCGATAGACAGCCTAGATATCTCCTCCTGAGCCTTGTCGTAGGCTGCCTGGGTTTTGGTGCATTGGGTCTGGGCTCGTTCGATTTCGTACTGCATTCGTTCGTTGTCGGCGAAGAGCTTTTCGCGTTCGCCTTGTAGTCTCCTGAGTTCGATTTGGGCTTTCTCGTATCTGTCTCTAACCTATAACAAATAAGTTGGTTTAGAGGTAACTTATTAGCTGAATAATGGTCAGTAATCCTCAACTATAAAAAATGATGGATAAACTCACAAGGGCAGAATAGTCTAAAACAGAGTAGAGGTAATATACCACCCCTTGAGAATAATATATGATTGGTAAAAACATGTTTGTTAAGTTGGAAGCGAGTGTCTTTCCTTTTTATACATGATGTTATACAGGTGTCCCAGAAATAAGTGCAGATATTTTAAAGGGTGGTAGATCTTGTCAAAAGAAGGAAAGAGGGGTTCTTCACGAAGTCTTTCAGCTTATTCGACTCCCTGTGTTGCTAGATAGTCAAAAGAAGTATAAGCTATAATTAGTAAAATCTGAAATTCCTGGAATGCGTTGTTGTGTGTCGTTCGTATAAGGTTTATTTGTCTGCTTTTGTCGATATTCCGATTAGTGAATTCCTATAAACATGTTGGTATTTTCTTTTATGATCTCAGTATAATTGACACGTGATCGCAGACTTAGTAATATGGTGAATTATTTTATTAATTAAATTTACTTCTGAATAAAGTTATTTTGCGGTATAACCGTGATTTTAGTAAACCTCATAAGAATAATTTTAAATTTTACCCTGTTTGATTCTCATTGAAAGGGTAAGTACAAACGAAATATTTAAAAGAATGTTTCTTTTATTGAAACTCCTTCGTAATATGGCAATGTTAAGAGTTAATTTTTAAGTATACAGGGTGAGTTTCCTACGATGTTCTCTATGGGCAACTCGGAAACTACTGGAGATAGAGAGTCGGTTAAATGGGGAAAGAATTGCAGTTTTGTGGGGTCATAAATATGCGCCTTTCAGATTTTTGAAAAAGTTCATGGCTTACTAGATATTTCGAAAAAAACAAATTTTGGCTATTTTAAAAATTGTCCCTAATTCCATTATAATCTATTTTAGACAAAAAGTGTTCAGATAAAAGTTGTAGATAATCACATTCCTAATGAGTTTGAGTTCTCCGATTTTTTCTAAAGCCTGTCATTTTTGACTTATGACACAAACATATGTTTTTTTTTAATGGAAACCATAGTTGGCCATGACTTCATAAAAAGCGCCATTTTTTAAGCTTTTCAGCGATATAAGCTATAATATGTTTCTTTCACAAAATTACTGAGTTATAGCCAATTTTTATCTTTCTTGACTAATTTCACTTAGTTAGCCATGGAAACAAGTTCAATCGTCGTTGCTCACAGAAATGTGAAATTGTCACATTCAATCTTTTTGAATTAAAATAAACAAAAATTGTAAATAAGAGTTTTTCAAATGAAGAAAAGCGTGTAGGATTATTGGTTCAACTTTTTTTGGCTATACAGTTTCGAGGACACGTTGACCAGTGAAAGTTATTTACGTTTTTTTAGAGAACGGTTTTCAATAGTTTTGTTATGATTTATTACTTATAAAAAGACAAAATATATTATTAATCTATATTATAACCACGGCATATAAATCACACGGCAGGCCAACTCTCTTTGGCGGGAACGCTACGCGCATACCGTCGCGCACGCCGCCATTAGGGTTTCCATCAACAGAAAGTAACCAGTGTCGTAGTTTCTTTCATCGACTGCGCACACTTTCGGCTGATTCGAGTCAGTAGCGTACGGATTAATTTATTTCGTTTATTTATTGAGTTATATTTTATAGTTGTTGTTTTATTTTTGTTTATTGTGTTATATATTTGGTTTTTCTAGTTTATTTTCGTTTCTTGTGTTATATAATTTATTTTTGTTTTTCTGAACATTTTTAAATCGTTAATTTTTACGTGTTTTTAAAATGCCTGGGCGAAGTTGTGCAGCAAAAACTGCCCGAGTAGAAGACTAAACTGCAATAAAAGTTTCTTTCTGTTTCCTAGAGATCCGATTAGGTATGTATATACATATGTGATTAATTATTTTAACATATTTTAGTTAAAAAAAAACAGTAGTATACATATTAGGACATTCAGCTAAATAGAAAGATCTAATTAAAAATATACAAGTTCAGCATCTATATTAAATGTTAACAAACTTATATACAGGGTGAGTCTTAAATAAGTGCAAATATTTTCAGGGCTGGCAGATCTCGATAAAAGAAACATATTTTCTCCTTACTTTTTCAGATAAATCCAAAATAACCGAGTTATTTAAGTTTAAAAAAAATGTTTTTATTTTTAAATGTTGAGTTGAGAGCCACCAGATTTTTTCTGTATTTGCATCCCTTTTAGTGCCGCAACCATAGAGTAAAGCCGTAACTATGGTAATATCAGAGATTAGGAAATTATACCGTGGGAAAATTTGCGGTGAACAAGCAGTTCTAAAAAGTTTTCGAAAAATATACAGGGATGTTAAAAGAAAATGCACGATTTTCAATATCTTTTTTTAGCAAAAAAAAACTCATAAACGTGTTCCTGGGGTCGAAATATACCACCCCTGAAAATATTTGCACTTATTCAAGACTCACCCTATATGTATATAAAATATTAGTAAGATTAAAATGTTAAATATTTAGTAAAATTTAATGTTGTATCTAGACATTCAACATTAAATTTAAAAATAATTATATTATTAATTTAAATAAAATTATAAAAATAAATAAAATGAGTATATCGAAAATAAGTTAACAATACATTTTTAGGGCAAGAACATGGGCAATTGCAGCTAACGGAGAAGACTTGAATGAAGATATAAATAAGGCCCACAAGTACAGGTTGTGTTCTGTTCACTTTGAATTTAAAATGTTTACCAATTCACTTTGTAACCGTATAAAATACAATGCGGTACCTACTTTGTTTCCTGCCATGAAAAAATAGAAGTTTCTCAAAAAAAATTGTGGATTTATTAATTTGTGAAATTTGAATATTAATAAATTTGCTATGCCCATTGATGGGCATAATTTGTAATGTAGCCTCTTTATATTGTTCAATAAATATTTTATTGGTATTTTTTAATTCTTGTTTGTAACTCCTGGCATGTTTTTGTTAGTTGCATGTTTTTTAATTTTAATTGTCTATTCTCTACAGTGAAATATTTAATTGATTTTTTCATTTTTACTTTTCGAGAAGTATGCGCGGTTAACGATTCATTTGTTTGGACAAAAGTATTTTAAATAAAATTCAGTTTCAGTCAATTACAGTATTTTTTAATACGGCCCTGTCGTATTTTCTGAGAAATTTTTTAATACGTTTTAATCCGGCCCTGACTAGGAAACCATAATGGCGCGGACAAGGTCAAATTTTATAGAAATTGTAAACAATGGAATCTGAGTAGAGTTGGCGTGCCGATTGTTTTATGTGCCGTGTTATAACGTTATTTTAGAGAATTTTCAAAAAATCCGCAATTGTTTTGAGTACCTACATAAATGCATCTTTTTAAAACTGAATTTCTAGCTATTCTCACAGAGCGACCGGTCGACTTAATTAAACTTCTCCTGTTCCGCCTCTTCGAGTGCCTCTCTTAATTCATAAGTTCTTCTGTAAACCTTGTTGTTGACCATACCGCATAAAAAAATCTAAAATGGATAGGTCAAGTGACCGAGGAGATCCATGCAATTTAGTCCACCTCTTTCTATCCCTGAGTCTAGATAATTATGATATAAATAATTTTTAACATTTCTTTCATTGTGTGTTTGTGGGGGGGTGGGGGGATTGGGGTTGGTGTGTCATAATGAAAGTCATGTTGGAACCACTCTATTAATGGGCGAGTATTAATAAATTTAACTTTTCTAACATATCTTGAAAACCTTTCTCTACAAAACGTAAGTAACGTTCACCGGTCAACGTATCCTCGAAACTGTATGGCCAAGAAAAGTTGAACCAATAATCCTACACGCTTTTCTTCATTTGAAAAACTCTTATTTACAATTTTTGTTTATATTAGTTCACAAAGATTGAATATGACAATTTCATATTTCTGAGAGCAACGACGATTGAACTTGTTTCCATGGCTAACTAAGTGAAATTAGTCAAGAAAGATGAGAATTGGCCATAACTCAGTAATTTTGTGAAAGAAACATATTATAGCTTATATCGCTGAAAAGCTTAAAAAATGACGCTGTTTATGAAGTCATGGCCAACTATGGTTTCCATTTAAAAAAGCATATGTTTGTGTCATATGTCAAAATGACAGGCTTTAGAAAAAATCGGAGAACACAATCTCATTAGGGATGTGAATATCTACAACTTTTATCTGAAAACTTTTTGTCTAAAATAGATTATAATGGAATTAGGGACAATTTTTAAAATAGCCAAAATTATTTTTTTCGAAATATCTAGTAAGCCATGAACTTTTTCAAAAATCTGAAAGGCGCTTATTTATGACCCCATAAAACTGCAATTCTTTCCCTATTTAACTGACTCTCTATATCCAGTAGTTTCCGAGATACCCATAGAGAACATCGTAGGAAACTCACCCTGTATGTAGTTAAAAATAAATATAGAAATGTGGTATGCGTAAACATAATTAATGTGGTTTATTTCTAGAATTGTTGTTAATAGACATTAATATGATTAGAATTAATACTCATAATTTTTTTTGTACAAATTTAAAATTACAGTGAATACAAATAAAATGTTGAATATTGATAATGTAGGAGGTGGCAACACTGCAATAGAAAATAACATCATAGAAAAATCTCAGGTGAATAAACAAGTGGCACTAAAAAATTTTTAAAATTTCCCGGAAAATGTGAAGAAATATATAAAAAAAAATTCGCAAAAAAACCTCATAGGCGTGTTTCTGGGACCAAAATATACTACCAGTTAAATACTAGCAGTTATCTGCACGTATTTCCGGGACACCCTGTATATAAATGGAAAAGAACACAGTAATAGCGCTTGCACACACACCGGCAAATCGGTACCGGAGCCGGCACCCGTTCCGACAGGTGTATTTAATTCTATTGTATTTGCCGGTCCACGACTATTTTGCCGGATCGGAGTATACAGGGCGACAATTTGAAAACGAACAGTATTTCAGACCTCTACAGACGATAGTATGAAAATTTGACGAAATACGCCAATTTACATATCAAGGGGGACAATTTTTGAGGCATTTGTTGTCGTGTTACTTTCAACCCTTTGACCCCCAGGGCACCTAACAATAAATTTTAAATGGCAACCCCTATTTCTTTTACCATTTTTGTGTTCCTTATAAAATTCTCAAAAAAATAATGCAGTTTATGTAGAATCCTATAAGAAACACAAAAATGGTTAAAGAAATAGGGGTTGCTATTTAAAATTTTAGGGGTAGGTGCCCTGGGGGTCAAGGGGTTGAAACTAACACGACAACAAATGCCTCAAAAATTGTCCCCCTTGATATGTAAATTGACGCGTTTAGCCAAATTTTCATACTATTATCGGTAGAGGCCATATTAAATACTGTTCGTTTTCAAATTTTCACCCTGTATGTGAAGGAGCTAATTTATTTACATTGCAATCGATTTCAGCTCCGACACCGGCACCAATTATGGCGGTGTGAAAGCGCTCTAAAGGAGGGATTATGCTTCAAGAAAAACAATAAGGGTACTTATACTACTTATCAGAGTTGTATCAGATATAATATACCGTGCTGACAACTGTTACTTTTGGGTCGGCATTACATGTGTTACATTTTTTTATAACGCGAAAACGTCAGTAATCGCGATAATTAAAAAACTCAACTTTTTAACACATAAGAGGCCATAACTCAAGAACCACTTCAGATATTGAAACTTTTTTTATTTTAAAGATCGGATATTTTACAATATGTTTACATAAGAAAAATTCGATAAGGTTGTTTTTTCCATTCAAAAATTGTAAACAATCCATCCATTTACTTTTAGAGCATAGCAATTTTCAGCAATCGAATATTTTTTTTATTGATAAAGATTTTCACATACTGTTATTTTCACATAAGTTCTTGAAAAAACTCCAATCTATTACTTCTAATAGATTTCGAGATATCGATTTTTGAGTTCTAATAGCGCGACCATTATCGAACACCAATCCACTCAATTCCACTTATTTTTCCAAAAATGCAAGTGTTTCTAGCTTGCATTTAAAAAAAATCAAGCTATAGGGAAAATTACAACGACTCGTTAATAAATAAACAAATTAAGTGTCACGAGATGTAATTAAATCGTAAAGCTGAACGCATGACGTACACCTTTCCCTAGAACTTTAAGTACTGACAGAGGTATTAGCTTTGTTCGGGTTCTTGTTATTACCGATTCTGAACCGTACTAGAACTGTGCAGCGCATGCGCAAATGAAATAATGTCTTCATATTTCCTTCTGCGCATACGCATCACAGTTCTAGGACGGTTCAGAATCGGTAATAAGAGAAACCCGAAGTAAGCTATTGATTGGGTCGACCGGTCAACTGTGACAAATCTGCTATATCCCCTTCCACGTCTCTTAGCGATGTGCACAGTTTCTCGGTTTATTTCATACGTTTGGCAACGTGTTTACTGTCCTCTCTTTGTTCAGTACATTATAAACGCATTGTACTCTTCTTACATACGGAAATCTCGACCCAAGACTAACTTTTGCCAGCCCTTAGTATTATACAAGTTCTAAATTTGACATTTTAAAATTTTTACAATATAGTACAATATAATATATCCTAAGTGCAAATATCATTTACGATAATTAAAAAGAGCGGATGATTAAAAGAAGTGATTAATTTACCACCAAAATTAAAATCGAAATATCAAATATTTATGACCGATAGTGAATCTGCTACTACTCTAGAAATTACTATCCAGAGAAAGTAATATCTTTAATAAATAGAAATGTTTAAATCATTATGTTCAAAGAAAGCTTACTCACCATCTCTGCGTCTATATTTGCCCTTTCAATTTCTTCCTTGTGCTTCTCTTCCAATTCTTTACTCCTACTGAGCTGCATAGATGCTCTGTCGTACATTTCCTGGATCCTCTGGATCTCTTCCTGGAGTTTACGCTGGTCGTCTCTGGACTTGGAAACAGCAATTTGTTGTTTCTCGATTTCCAGCTCCAGGCGTTCTTTGTCCGCCTGGACTGTGTCCAATTTGTTTTGCAGCCGGTAAACATCGCTTTGAGATCTAAAACAATAGCATATCGTTTTATTAGGAGTAAAATGATACTGTTTGTGGAGAGGCGGTAGACGTTTCCTCTAGCATAGATGGAAAACTATTTACTAAATTTTGTGTTGCAATAATAAAAATTTTACTACCTTATACAGAGTATCTAAAAATTTATTTTAAATAATTACTAGCTTTAAACGGCAATAACTTGTTTAATTTAAATGGAACACCCTGTATATTTCACGAGAATCAGATGCACAATTTAATGGTCTATTAAATAGATACCTTTTTTACCTACCTCTTCAAGTTTTCGTAGAAAATGCATTTTCTTATAATTTAGACCTCATTTATACCCATGGAATATTGACATTTTATATATTTTAGATTATTTTTAAAGATTTTCATTCATTTTTAGACAGTTAGAAAAGTTATTAAAAATAAAAACCTCATTGGCATTATACTTTTTAAGCTTCATTCAGAACCTCGCAATAAGTGGAATAAAGTAGTGGTTTCAATTACACTTTATAATTTTTAGTTTACGATCATTGACAATGTCTAAAAAACACAGCTTGCGGTAGTCAGTTGTATCCATAGATAAAGCCTAATGTTTAGCTTATAAAACAATCAACTTTTGATTTCTAACTACAAATTCTCTTGACGGATGATAATCAAAGGCCAAAATGGCATTCTTCGCAAATTTTGAAGTATAATTAGTGGAAAAGTCAAAAGTTTGTTACCTCTGTTTCTACAAATTGAAAATGACTACCAATAATTTTGACGTTCTGAATGCTTACATTGAAATAAGAGGAACAAACTTCTACGCTAATTGAAACCGCTAACTTATTCCACTAATTACAAGGTTCCGAATGAAGCTTTATATTTTTTAATAAATTTTATGTCTAGATTATTCTACTTAAAATTTGACTAAATTCTCAAAAAATATTTTCTTCTAATTAAAATATTTCCCGAGATATTTCCTTAAAATCTTAATAATCGAAGAGGAACCAACAAGCTGACTTAATCAAGTAAATACTAATAATATTACCCTTAATATAAAAAAAAAAAGTTTTCCATTTCTTGATAGGAACCAACCTAAACTTTTTGGGTAAATTTAATAAATGAAAAGGAGAAAATTGAATTTTGTTTAATTTTATTGAGTCGGGTTGCTATAAATACAAATATCTTATCCTGTACCTGTCGTATTTTTCCAGAATCTTTTCCAGCTCCTTATGAACGTTTTCTCTTTCGTCGATTGCTTTTTGGGAGGAGTAAATGGATTTTTCCAGTTTCTCCTTCAAAATGTCAATTTCAGTGATGGCATCGTCTCGTTCTATTTGTAATTTTTGCTGTAAAAGATATCGAGAACATAGTTAATTTACAGAAGAAAAACCACATAAAACATTTAAAATCATATTAGCAATTTATAACTTTCTTTATCTCTATACTAGTTAGGTTACTACCTACTACATGTTTAATTTCATTAATATGTAAATTAACATATCAACAAATGTAATGTAATAAACTTATCAACATATAATAAACGTATAAACATGTAAACGTATCAACAAAGTTTATATCATATCGAAAATAAATTAGTCTAATGTTAGATGTTAGTAAATCCAAAATAATTATTATGAATTATTTCCAGACATATAAAATTATATTAAAAAGTATCTATACCCCTGCAGTGAAGCTGGAGGAAACCCCTCTAGCAACGCTGAGAATATTGATAGACCTAGCAAAGCTGAGAACATTCCAGCGGACAAACTCCAAAGGGAACTACAGGAGAGGCAGCTGACACTTGCGTGAGATCAGTTTTCACAGGTTCACACAAGCTACCACCTCCTCTAGTAAGGATCGCGGTCCTACCTCTAGATCCGATAGGCTACAAAAGCTACCGTTTCCTCTAACCGGCCTAGGGTAACCAGGCAGACTAAACGACCCGATGAGAGTAAACCTTAGCGGAGCAGCAAGCAAGGCCGAAAAAACTCCTCAAAAGGAGAGTAAAGTAGCCAAGTGATTCAACAACCTGGTGAATCTTCACCAAAGGGCAAGAAACTGAGCGAGAACCTCTCACCTCTACTCCGGCAAGGAGAGGAAAAGCCTTCACCACGGGGGACGCGTCACCAGCTTTGTAGGAACTCTAATGTAAGGACATGGAGTTGGCGAGCCATAAACTCGAGGAAGGAGGGCCATGATCAGGTCCTCACAATAGGAATTGACCTCAAATCTAAGCAGGCAATAGACAATATTCCCTATAATAGATTTGGGACAACACCGGTATCAGGCCTAAGAAAAAAAACAAGTTATTTAACTTAGGTGGAGAAAATGGAGACAGATCCTCCAGCCACCACCTCAAGAGTACCTTAGCCGGAACAAGCTCCTCGACTGTGAATGGCATGGAGGGCCAAACCCCAACCGTGGAAGGATGTATACCCTCGTAGAAAGTAGTCCATTCCTTCGTATGAGTTATAACCCAAGAAAGGGGAACACAATAGGTCTTGAAGGTCGCGGTGATTAACCCCCTTTCACTCATTCTACATTCTACATGAATGAAATCATCATTGTTTCTTTTACTTCCTAAGTGGAGCATTCAGTGAAAACCTTTCATCTTTTGTTTATCATGTTTTGCATATCGTTGTGTGATTGTGCAAATAGGCACATATCATCGGCATATTCCAGATCAGTGAGACGTTTCGTGAGGATCCATTGTAAACCTCGTATGTTTTTGAGTGCCTCCTTCGTTATAGTGTCGAGGACAATATTAAACAGGAGAGGAGATATGCATCCTTGTCTGACTCCAGTTTTAATTTCAAAATAACTAAGTACTTGTTTCCGCGTTGTGTAGCTAGTGTGTCCGCGCTGTGTAGAACTGATCATGTTTATAAAGTGCTTGAATTATTGTATGATTTTTGTTAGAATTCTACATGATAGGGAAGACTAAATGGAAATTTTACAACTGTAGGTATACAAATATTGTATATAGATTCAGTTACATAGGTTAGTTAACAAATAAAATATATATTTCTAATATACCTGCAACATATGGGCTTTCTCCCAGCGTTCTTTCATCACATCCAGTTCTGTCTCCATTTCAGTCTTTTCCCTTTGAATTTTAGAGACTTGGTTCAATTGGAGATCAAGACGTTCCTTCAGTTTATCGCATTCATCTTGGAAATTATCTTTTTCTTTTTGCAACCTATTCGCTGTACTCTGAAACCAGAAAAAAATGTAAGTTTAGATCTACATAGTTTTATATTGAATATTATTTCCTAATTGTCAAGGGACCTACTGTAAAACTATATAAAAACTACGGAAATACCTGAAGTTTTTCGTATTTGTCTCTAAGCCGATCTGCTTCGTGCTGGGCTTGATCCTTTTCCTTCTGTATGCGAGCAGATTGGCCGAGAGCCTTGTCCAATTGCGATTGGATATTCTCTAAATCGTACCCTATTTTTTCTTTTTCTAATTGGATCTAAAACAATATCAAATATAATCAGATAACAGAATATCAAATTTATATAGATAAAAACCAAAGAACAAAAAAAAATCTAAAATGTCAATATAATTTTTTTTTTGTTCAACAGTATCAATACTTTCAAGCTTACTTAACTGTTGTTTACCTCCGAATAATTTCATAATTTTGAAATATAGTACCGTTGATTGAAGAAATAAGAAGATGCGTAACATTATGGGCAATTTCGTGGCATAAAACCTCTGCGAGATGTAGCTGGCGTTAAGGTTAGTCTGTTCGAGATTTAAGGCAGGCGGCCACTGCGAGCGAAACTAAACTAAGCTGAGAATATAGAAAGAAACGGTAACTAAACAAAAATAAGTTTCATCGGCCACTGGGAACGATTTTTGTTTAGCAGTCAGCTAAGTAAGCTGCATTTTCGTATTGTGTCTCTGCTATCATAGAATTAATCGCTGAGAAAAATTAGCTGAAACCTCTCACGAACTAAATCGAGCGAAACTAAACTGCGATTTGAATCTTCGTTCATATATTTTCGTTTAGTTTCGCTCAAGTGGCCGCTGATGCATTTAAAAGTATGGGAGCTGATTTTTACAAAACTTATCTTCGCTTGGCTTAGTTTAGTTTCGCTCGCAGTGGCCGCCCGCCTTTAGTTTAAATCTGCGCCGCTGCGCGCTGATAGCCGTTTACAGCACAGCGGATAAAGAATACTGTACCGTAGTTCTGTTTTCAGTTGACAGAGTGGTTGCTGGAGGCAGTGTTGCCAGAACTGCTGATAAATCCGTAGAGTTACGGATTTTGGGTACAATACGTTAATAATACAGACTGTCTATCATTAAACAATTTAATATAATATAATATTATGATTAAACAAGGAAAGCCACCAGAGTTGGCTTGGCAATGAAGATCGCTGTTATCTTATATGCAAAGTATATGTCAATAATCGTCATTTCCAAGCCAACTAAACGATTTTCTATCCGATCATACGACATATTCAGTACCTATAAAATAATTTTTATTTTTGTTGTTTATTCTATGTTTAACACGAATAAATTTTCAATACATAAACGGGAATTTTTCATCCAAAGTTTTTTCGTGAAACGTATTAAAATATTTTACATTTTAATATGGCAACACTATCGCTTTCAGTTCCACATCGTCTTCGGTATGGCTTCATTAGCCAAATTAGAAAAAATAAGTGTTTTATGCGTTGGCCGCAGAAGGATTGGTGTCTACACCGTACAGCACTTGAGACGTAAGGGGAAATCAAATCAGCTTTGTCACGAATTCGACCATTAGATTGCATATCTTCCTAATTCTTTCAATCAATGATACTACGCTTTAAATTTTTTTTTGATAAATTAAAGAAGCTTACACGTCTGGTTTCCCCAATGGACTTGTCTAGTTTCTCTTGGAGCTTGTCTAATTCTGTCTGTGCTTTGTCGTAGGCATTCTGGAGCTTGTCTTGTTGCAGTTGAGCCTTTCCCAAGGTCGCCGTAGTACGCTCCAATTCCTCCCTCACCTAGAATCACATCGAATAAACGTTAGAATGAACAATGAGTAAATATACTTATTATATACCTTCTCTAGTTCTGCGTAAGCTCGATCTTTGTCGGCGTGTAATTTGGTCGTAGATGCTTGTGCCTTAAAAATATTGAAGGTTAAACGCAACTATTAATATAGAGTTTTTATAATTAGGTTGTACCTTCTCTAGTTCTTCCCGAAGACTGTCTTGTTCCTGGTGAGAGTTTTCTAAACGGGCCTTGAGGCGGTATACTTCCCCCTGAAAAAATTGTTTAATATATCGTTATTGCGGTTACAAAACAGGAATGTTATGTCAACAATATTTGTAATATTTGGCAATAAATTTTAAAACACATACACTGCGTAATTTCAAGAAATAAGCCATAAGTTGGAATATAGAACTTTTCTGTTCTGTATGGTTTAGGAAGCGGAATCAGAATGTTGTTCTACACCTCATTAAACCCTTTGCACAAAGTGTTCTATTTCCGATGGCTTTACGGTTATTTATGGCGAAAACTAAACGAGATTCGAAAAATCTGATTGAGCATTTGCAGCTCAATTCGTGATACCAATCTATCTCCGTAAGCAGATCAGGACTACCTCGATTTCTACTTGACCTACAGGGCGATTTTTAGTAGCAAATACAATCAAACCAAAAATTCTTTAAAATATTAGGTTGTAATGCGTGTGAAAAATTAAAATGATTTAAAAAAGTTGATTGTGTCATCTCGGTCCGTCTGTCCGTCTGAGGACTTCATTCGAGTACCTAATTAAGAAAAATACTAATGATTTCGTCCCTTTAGAGGCATTGCTTCGAAACGTCGAGCGCGTCATCCTGTAGCTCTTCTCAATTATACCGAAATCGACCCATATTTTTCTTCAATATCAAATCATTAGTCCCACCCTGATGAAGATGTAAACGAAACGTCGTATCCACCTTTGAAAGATGGGACCGTGTGCAGCCTCACTCATATAGCCTACCAACCAAATTTGGTCGCGATCGGACGACATCAACTTTTGACGTTTCTTATTTCAATCTATCACAACAAACGTTGAGAGATGATTGCCTGATAGATACGTCATTGAATCGGACGATTTTTTCGCTAATAGTGACGGGGTTTCACAGTCAATAAAACGTCGTCAGAATATCATGAAAAGATGGGGCTCTTAGAGCTGTATCTACTTTCCGAGTTTCAGCCTGCTAGCTCGGGCCCTATGTGAGGAACCGAGTTACAATGCTCAAATTCCTTATTGGCTTACGGCTTTTTCAATCGTTACCACTTTTCATCTCGCTACCTTGTGTGTCACGGCTTTCAATTTTTAATCCCAGCGCGTAAAAAAGTTTAACTTCAATAACCGGTTTATTTAAGAGAGTCCGACCAAAAGCGTGAAGTGTTTAGAAAGATGTAACTAATTACAATTACTTTACAATTACAAATTAATTTACAATTTACTCGTTTTCTGTGTGGCCGTAGGCTAATTTTTTAAATGAAGTGAACCAAAAGTAAACGTTATGTTTCTTAATAAATTAGTTAATTGAACCAAGATGTCAGAATATGGACATATGAAAGCCATAAATATGACCTTTGAATAAGATTGAGAAAAAAAATAATTTTTCAGGTAGATTGACAATAGTCAGTAACTCTAACGAATGCGTTTCAAAAGTGTCTCTATAACTTTTTTATTTTTTCAGATAAAAAAACGAGATTTGGTATGTTAGTATATGACATACATTAGGATTGATTGACGTATTCAATTGTTTTCGGTCACTTCCTGTTTTACCGGAAATGACTACAACTTTTGATTTTTTATTGGCACCCTCGGTATTTTTTTACTTCATTTGATAGAAAATGACACTCATATGAATGACATATCATAAGTCAACTTTTGACATTTCCGCATATGGTTTGTTTGAAATTGTAACATGCGATTTCATAACGACAATTTGAAATACCAAGTGTGTGGTATCAAATAATGAAATGCCTTTACCAAATATGCTAATGAGCCACCCTCGTTCCATTTGAAAAAATTGAGATATGATTAAAAATACTCCTTGATTAAAAATTAGTGTTTTTAACATAGGCATGGCACTAGAATGATATTTGAAAATACTATTTTTTTACGTGATAATGTCAAAAGCTGACATATGGTACGTTATTCTATTTACAGTGTCCTTTTCTATCGAATAAAGTAAAACTATATAAAAGGATTTAAAAAAGGGTGTTTTTTAAAAATCAAAAATTATAGTCATTTACGGTGAAACAGGAAGTGACCCAAAACAATTGAATAGGTCAATCAATCCTAATTTATGTTATATATTAACATATCAAATTTCGTTTTTTTTATCTGAAAAAATAAAAAAAAAGTTATAGGGGTGAGCCACTTTTGAGGAACACCCGGTATAGTATCTTCCTACCATCTGGTTTTAGCCTATGGTGCCAAATTTAAATCAACCCTGTACAATATTTAATTTTAATGTCATCGGGTATTATAGGTGCCCTCGACGCTCTGTCTGCTGGCGCCGGTCGTCCAGTCACCAACCATCCCCAAACCCAATATACGTCCCTCCAGTCCACTCGTCGCCTATCGATTACGTTTCAGAAATTCCGGATCTCGTTATTTATAGAAAATGTAAAGAGCGCGCCATCGTCTTTCCCGTTGTAAATTATAAAAGAAAGCGAAAAGAAAACGGACGGATAGACTGTAGGACCCGCCATTTGAGCGAAAAGCTTTTTGTTTATCGATCGATCGTGATTTGTTGCCGATGTTGTTTGTTCGCTACATAGTTGAGTCTATTTAATATTTTAGACGTTCGTGATCTATAATTGACATGAGACGTTGGTAAAACGTCATTTAGATGTCTTTAATTGGGAGCTGTACGAACAATACCTACTAGTTTAAAAAATATAGGAAAGTATTAACAAAACAATCCCAATTTCTTTAGGCTTATAGGATTAATGTATTCAAGAATATTACAATGACAAAAACGCTGACCGATTAGCTAAGAAGGCAGCCATATTAAATATATTATTGCAACAACTCCCTCTTCTCGCCAGTCTCTCGCATACCTAATAAAATCAAAGATATCAGTCTAGAGGTTCAAGAATAAAATAAACAAAAGTAAATTTCAGTTATAGCAACTTAACAGTAACCCAATAAGAAAGCAACATTGATGTTTTACCGATATCGCAGTTGAATTGTAACTTGAATTTTAACGTAGATATCGTAGTCAGCTCAATGAACACCTCCGCAGAATTAAACTAACTAATATACCACACTCATTGGCGTAACTACAGGGAGGCCCGTGGGAGCCCCCCTCCCCCAGATATTGCTGGGCACCCCCCAGAGAAATCTTGAACATTGACTGAACGATCACTCTTGGCTAAATATTAATTTTTATTTGTTTTTGATCTAGTAAAAATGACTTTTTCCATTTTGGTTATTATTATTTTTGCATTGTTCAAAAAATGTATATTAGTTTTTATTTTTTTACAAAATTTGTAGGTATTTAAGTAATCCACTGGAACACGGGTTGATAACCATTGTCTATCAAATTTATTGATAGAGAAATTCATGTAACTTAACTTGTTAAGTTTTCTCAAATGGAACATCCTCTATATTTATAAATCATATAATCCGGCGTGCTATGAGCTTCTAAAAAATACTCTATATTTATTTTCACTATTTACAGCAACATTTAAAAATTTTAATTAAAAGATCATTTGTATTAGTAGACCATTATTGATAATAAAAGAAACAAAATAATTATTAAAAATATGCTGCTATCTGGTTATTAGTTCGTTTTTGGGGGGCCATTAATAAATTCTTTATTATATATCAGGTACTCATCACCGAACGTAACACCCTACCGCTATTTGTCAATCTTGAAAGCTATCTTACCGGAACTTTTAGATGATATTCCTTTAGCTAATTTACATGAAATATACTTTCAATAAGATTTGACTCCCGCTCACAATTATTGTGAAAATATTATAATATATTTTGAAACAATTATTTTTCAAATCAATGAATTCGAACCAATAGACCCCACACGATGTCCTCCGAGATTCCCGAATTTGTCTCTTCTCGAGTTCTGTATTTAGAGATTTTTGATAAATAAAATATAATATATCGTGGCAAGTACAATAATGTCGAAGACTGTTATCAGGTAAGATTTTAGGTATTTGCAAACACACATCCCGTTATATAAAAAAAGAAAAATATATTCAAAGATTCAGTAGTAACAGTTTAAAAGTAAAATGGTTTAGTGAGGAGTATGAAAAGTTTGTTTACAGCATTTTCGTGAAAGGTTCGTGAAAACCGCATCCTTCTATCTTCACTAGTAATGAAGATACGGTGTGATTTCAAACAAAATGGGACACCCTGTACATTCTTATAATACTTGATAACAAACTATAATAACATTGATGTTCGGTGCTATCTACAGCATATTAAAAAAATGGTATTTAAGATAAATACAAAAAACAACTTTTCAAAAAGTTTTAATGTCCTGTGATTTTAAAATACGCATTTGCGGACCCATGTTTATAGGACCTGTTTTCATATTTTTTTTAAAAAGAAAATACCCCTGAAATTTGGCCGTGCATTTTTCGAACATCCTTTATATATGCCGTGCGAATGTCCGACCTTACCGTCACATAGTAAATCTTGGGAGAGTCTGGCCTACTGTGGCCGATTTACAGTAGATTCTTCTAAGCAGTATTGTCAGACTCTTTCTTACATTAATTTGGCAGGTACCTCAGCTTAGATAATGCCCGTTGCTCAAGCAAGAATGTATAAGAGGTCCAATTGAGTTTAAGCTGTGTAGTCCTCGCTTCACCGATAAAAGTACAATAAATTTTAAGACAACAGTCTGTACGGAGAAAATGGTCATATGTCTTTTAAAAAGAAAGCAAAATATTTCCGAGGCTTTCAACTCTTGATTTGTTTTTCTTTGACTTGACAAGAATGTATAAGGCCAACATAGATCTATTTTTAGAGAAACGTACCTGCGACTTTTCCAATTTTTCCTGCAGAGCCTGCGCTTCAGATCTCGCTCTTTCGCTGTCAGCTTGCGTCACCCTCAATTCGGCTTGACACCTCCTCAAATCGGAGGAGGTCTTGTCAGCACGCTCGTGCATACGGTCTAATTCGTGCGAACTACTGTAGATATTGGTACCTGTATTGAAACAATATAGTAGATAGAGAGGATAAAGATTGAACGAGCCGTTTATTTGAACAAGTATTAAAAATTAATCATAAGATTTGATTCACCGTTTAGTATTTGGCTGGTTCAATTGAATCGTGGCGGATACGGATCCATAAAATAGCACGATGTATATATAAAATAATATGAGTATTTGAACGTGTCTTAGAAAAGAATCCTAAGGATTGAATCGGACCTAGAATACAGCTCGTTCAAATGAATCATGGCCATCATGGATCCATCAAATTTGAACAAACGGGTCGTAAGTATTGAATCGGATCCCAAAATGCGACTCGTTCGTTTCTACGGCTCGTTCGTTCAAAAAATTGTGAAAAATGATTCATGGTTTACAATACCGTTCACTCGGTTGAATCGTTGACAGAACGGATCCATAAAATTTGAACGAACGGGTCGTAAAAAATGCTCGTAAGAATTGAATAGGATCGCAATGAGATTCGTTCGTTCCTACGGTTCGTTCGTTCAACAATTGCAAGAATTGATTCATTGCTTACAACACAGTTTGTTTAAAAATATATTAATTATATAGAGAGTATCAAAATAAGTTTTAGACACAATTCACCTCTATACAAAAGTGGTTCGTTTGTCCGTTAGAGGGCATCAAACTTTAAAAAAAATATTCACATTTTTTCAGATATTTTAAGAACCGTTATTACGATTTGAATGAGATTTTGGGTGTCTATATCTATATTTTATTAAGTGTTTTAACATTTGACCTTTACAAAAATCAAGGATAAGTATGGGAAGGGTGAAATCCCCATCCCTACATAAATTTTAAAAAAAAGTACAAACATTTTTGAACCCAACCGACAACCGATTTTTTTTTCGTAAAATGGCCCTTTTAGTATTTACTACATTTTTTATCTCTTGTAAAAAATAAGGAGGAAATAAATTATTTTTCTAAAGCTGACTTCCAAAAATTGTTTTTTTGTTGTCATACTATGGAGGCGCATAAAATCTATTATGCTCTAATAATCTAATAGGCGAAAATATGGAATTTTATGTTAGTATCACAAGTTATATTTGACAATAAAGCTTCATAAAAAGCTTAAAAAATTCAGAAGTTTTAAAATTAATTAATATTCGGGTTGATTTTTGAATGATGCCCTCTAACGAACAAACGAAGCACTTCTGTATAAAGGTAAAATATGTGCAATTAACTTCTTTTGATTCAAAAAATACGTGGTTGTCCACGGAATATTTGAACGGAATATATATGTCCACGTAATGTTGGAACTCCCCGTATATTTTGTAGGTCTACTTTGGAAAAAAAATTGGAGAACTTATCTTGCCAAAGTTTTCAAAAACTATACGATGTGGAGTTTTTTTACAAGAGACAAAAAATATAGTAAATACTAGAGGGACCATTTTACGAAAAGAAAATGTCGTCGGTGGAGTTGGAAAATATTTATATTATGTGGGGGTGGTTACTTATACTGAAATGTATGTAGGGAGTGGGGGTAGTTTTTACCCTTCCCGTACTTTTTCTTTATTTTAGTAAAATTCAAATGTTAAAGCACGAAAATCTCATTCAAATCGGAAAAACGATTAAAGTTTGATGCCCTCTAACGGACAAACGAAGCACTTTTGTATAGAGGTAAATTGTGCCCATTTTGAACTTATTTTGATTCCAAAAATACGTAGTAGTTTTATATCCACGGAATATTGGGACACCCTGTATAATGACCTTGGGTACCCAAACTTTTGTAATTTAGGTAAAAGGAATGATATAAATATAGATAAGTAATTATTATTTTAGTATGTATTAATATTTTATGTTCTATTATTCCAAGTTTATGTATTAGTAATATAGTTTATTTTATTACTAATATCTCGACTAATACGTATATAAACTTGGTATGATAGAACATAAAATATTAATTATAATTATAATTTAAATACAAATATTATAGTTTATTTTAATTTAACGTCATCTTCGTAATTATGGAGAATGCGTGTTTATGCCGTAGGGCATCGATAGACTCAAAAAAAAGCCCTAAACATCAAGAATACTAAATAAAAAAATAAATAAAAAGCAATAAAAGGCAAGCGATGCGAATGTTATTAAAAAAATATCTATTTATAATGTCATACGTAAAATGTGTATTGTGTATGTAGTTTGTTCAAATGAACGAATCGTAAGAGTCGATTCAAAATGAGATTTTATCGTATGTTTTGATTCTCTAAACAGAATCATTAATGCCCATCACTAATAGTAGATATTTACGGTTATAATAATAAAAAAACACTTTTTGTGGGTGACTATAGTATCCTAAAAGGTTAAACTATCTTAATGCTATTTACCGAATCGAGTGGTTTTGCTTTGTGCCAGTTCTAAATCTTGACGCAGTCTCTCGTTTTCAAGCTCCAGCCTAGCGATACGCTGGCGAGCTGCGTCGTAGTCGTCACCGCGTCTTCCGAATTCCATAGCTTTATCCAGCTCAGCTTTAGATTTACCTACAAAAGCAAAGAAAAAATAAGGAAACATTAGTCAATCGATGTAAAACATTATTATCAGTTAAAAAAGTGTTAGTGGGCGCCCATAAATTACGTGACGGTATTAGGAGGGGGAGGGGATCAAGCCGAATCTCACTAAATCTCACGTCGGCGTCGGTGAGAGAGGGAGTTTCAGCAAATATCACTTAATTTTTGTCGGACAGAAAATAGTGTAAAAATGTGACAAAATCAAATTAATTTAAAGTAAAACATGTTTCTATATACAGGGTGAGTTTCCTACGATGTTCTCTATAAGAATCTGGGAAACTACTGGAGATAGAGTGTCGGTTAAATGGGGAAAGAATTGCAGGTTTGTGGGGTCATAAATATGAGCTTTTCAGATTTTTGAAAAAGTTCATGGCTTACTAGATATTTCGAAAAAAAAACATTTTTTGACTATTTTAAAAATTGTCCTTAATTCCATTACAATCTATTTTAGACAAAAAGCTTTCAGATAAAAGTTGTAGATAATCACATCCCTAATGAGTTTGTGTTCTCCGATTTTTTTCTAAAGCCTGTGATTTTAGACATATGCCACACAACATCTTTTTTTTTAAATGGAACCATAGTTGGCCATGACTTAATAAAAGGCCCCATTTTTTAAGATTTTCAGCGATTTAAGCTATATGTTTTTTCCCACAAAATTACTGAGTTATAGCCAATTCTTATCTTTCTTGACTAATTTCACTTAGTTAGCCATGGAAACAAGTTCAATCGTCGTTGCTCACAGAAATGTGAAACTGTCACATCCAAACTTTGAAAATTAAAATAAACAAAAATTGTAAATATGATTTTTTCAAATGAAGAAAAGCGTGTAGGATTATTGGTTCAACTCTTCTTGCCCATATTAGAATTTGAATTTAGAATGAGTGGGATGGGGGTTAATCACTTCGACCTTACAGATCCATTGTGTCCCCCTTTCTTGAATCATAACTCATCATACAGTCCCAGGGCTTTGACAAAAGCCAGTATCTGGGACGGTTTTATAGAGGGTAGTTCTCCATCTCCAATATCAGTCGTACCAAAATTCATGGCACGAATGGTTGTCGTCTCGGCGCACTCAGTGATGAGGTGTACTGGTGTTTCCCCATCTTTCCCACAGAATCTGCATTCGCCGTTTCTTCTTAGTTTCAATCTACTGAGGTGTCCATTGAGGAGACAGTGTCCTGTTAAAAACCCCGTGACAATCCGAAGATTGTTCTTACTCAGAAAGATCTGTGATTTTTCTTGATCATAAGCCCTCAGAAACTTCTTCGAGTGTCTTAGACCATTGCAAGATTTCCATTCCAGGTTGCGGATGGAATCTTCCAAGTTCTTGAATTCCGCCTTGAGTTGGCTACCACTTGGAAAGCAGAACGGTTCTGGTCCAGTTAGTGGAGTGTTCGCTCCTTTCCTAGCTAGATTATTTGCTTTTTCATTGCCTTCTATCCCTTGGTGAGCAGGCACCCAGTGTAGGAGGACTTTGTTTTCTTTGCCTAATTTATTCAGCTTCTCTATGCATTCTTTGACCAATTTCGAATTGATTGATACTGAGTTGATCGCCTTTAACGCTGCTTGACTATCAGATAAGATGGCTATTTCTTGTTTCCGATAGTTCCTATCTAAGATAAGTTGTGCGCATCTCTTCTTGCCCATATAGTTTCGAGGATACGTTGACCGGTGAACGTTACTTACGTTTTTTAGAGAACGGTTTTCAAGACATGTTAGAAAAGTTAAATTTAGATAGTCGCGCATCAATAGAATGATTCCAACATGACTTTCATTATGACACCCCCCCTTTACAATGAAAGAAATGTTAAACATTATTTATATAATATTTATGTAGACTTAGGGATAGAAAGAGATGGACCAATTGCATGGGCCTCTTCGATTACCTGACCTATCCATTTTACATTTTTTATGCGGTATGGTTAACAACAAGGTTTACAAAAGAACTTATGAACTAAGAGAGGCACTCGAAGAGGCGGTACAGGAGAAGTTTAATTCTGTCGACCGGTCGTTCTGTTGGAATAGCTAGAAATTCAGTTTTAAAAAGATGCATTTATGTACTCAAAACAATGACGGATTTTTTGAACATTTTCTAAAATAACTTAAAGTGTATGTAGTGATATTATTTTTTTAAGTTTTAGTTTGTATAATGTAAATTGTAAAGAGCCGTTGAATAATATATTTTGTCTTTTTATAATTTATAAATCATAACAAAATAAGAACATCGTGCCAACTAAGTGAAATTAGTCAAGAAAGATAAGAATTGGCTATAACTCATTAATTTTTTGAAAAAAAAAAATATATAGCTTATATCGCTGAAAAGCTTAAAAAACGGCGCTTTCTATGAAGTCATGGCCAACTATGGTTTCAATTTAAAAAAACATGTTTGTGTCATATGTCAAAAATTATAGGCTCTAGAAAAAATGGCACTTGGAACATTATTTACTTCAATTCTTCATAATAATATTTTCTTTTAATGGGCCGATTTTGATGATTTTTTAAGCAATTTGTATCTAGATTATTTGACTTTTTATTAGTATCTTTTTCTAAATTAAAAATTATGATTTCCATCTGTCAATTATACAAGAAAAACAAAATTTTAATATTTTGTCGAAAGTTTGAAAAACAAAATTTTAATATTTTGTCGAAAGTTTGAAACACCCTGTAGAGTACGTTAACAAAGCAAGAAATTTAAAAATCATTGTTTTATTATCTAGGTACGTCTTTTTATTCATCTCATTAGCTTTATTTTTATTGGAGATATTCGCTTTGAATAACACAGTTAATGATTTTAACGCAATTTTAGCGTATATTTTGGGTCCTCATCAACACACTTATAAAATAGTGTTTCTTATTTTTGTAATCTCGCTGTCATTGAAAAGTCATATTATTATTGTGTATTGATATTTATTCTGGTAGAGATGGTTTTAAGTTCTAAAGTATCGGTTGTTGTTGTTTTAATTATTGATTATGGTAGAGATCAACTTTTGGACTTAAAACCATATCTGCTAGATTAACTGCCCAACAGAAAATAATAATATAATTTTCAAAGACAGTGACATTACATAAATTATATCCTATATCCACTATTTTATAGATTTGTTGACTATAAGACCATAGATAGAAGAAAATAACTATCTATTACTAGAACCAAAAGCAAAGGCATGGTTTTTAATGTAAAAATACGATAAAATGTTAGTGTTTTCTTCTGCTATCGAATTGTGGTAAAAGCAAATCTCCAAAAAAAATAAATCTATTGCCATGAATCAAAAAATAAATTATCGAGAAAAGATACACTTAGATGATAAAATTATTTTTAAATTCCTTGTTTGATTAACGTACACCATTGTTTCACATTTTCCCAAAATATCAACATTTTGATCCCTCGTATTGACAGATGGCAACTTTCATTTTTAATTTAGAAAGAGACACTAGAAATTCAAATAATTTAGCTACAAATTGCTCAAAAAATTATCAAAATCGGAACACAATATATAAAACTTTAAAATACATGAAAAGTTTTGAAAGATTTCACTTCACATTAGGGGAGCCGGAGGGGGTCAAGACAAATCTCACAACACCCTACCAGAAGGGGGGGAAATGCTCAAAGAAACTCGTCGAGTCCGGCCTTTTTACCTTTTAGAAGACAACTGAAATTCCCCTCAGTAAATTTTAAGACCTTCTAATTATATAAAATACATATTTTTTGTTTTTGAGACCAGGATTTTGTGTACAAACAAACCCGCTACAAAGTCGGTAAAGATCAAAGTGTCTATGTTTTATTCGAATTTTTTACTACAAGTTGTCGGCGCAGTGTGGATGGCGTGTGCTGCCAACAGTAGGAGACCAGTGAAATCACACATGGTTAATAAAACTCATTCGCAGCAACTAAACTTTTGACTTTGTTGTACTTTTATGCGTGCGGTGTGGACAATTTGTCTCAAGTTTGTCTTGTCAGAATTCCCCATTTTTTGTCGCAAAATTTGTCTTGTTTTTGTCTCAAAATCGAAAAAATTATTTTTTGTCGCCTTGGTCTGGACCCCGGCATAAGGAAGAACTTTTGTTTAAAGTAATTCTAATGTTATATGATGAAGAATCAAATATATAGAGCAAATTTATATTTAAAACTCTTTGAATAAATTAGGGCTTTACTAACCTAATTCGGACTGAGAGCTTTCTAACTTAGCTTCGATTCTTTCCCTATCATTTTGCACTCTTTCCAATCTAGCTGTCAATTTTTCCACTTCACTGTTCAAGGCGTGTATTTTCATCTTGTATTCTGCCAATTCTCTCTCATGCAATTCTCTTTCTTCTTGCTTTTCTTGTTCTGCTCTATCCCTATATAAGAAAAAAAATTGTTTCTAGAATCTTTACAATAAAAAATGTTATAGCTACTGTTCATTTTAAAACATAGTAGTGTAATAACTAAAGCAAATGTAAATGTTATTATATACTTTTGATTTCCAATTTTAAGAAATTAATTTGGAGAAAAACTTATATAGTAACATAATATTATACAGGCTGTTTTTCTAAAGTGGTTCACCACTATAACTTTTTCATTTTTTCAGATAAAAAAAAAACAAATTTAGAGTGTTAGTATATGACACGAATTGGCATTGATATACCTATTCACTACTACAATTTTTGATTTGTAAATGGTACCCTCTGAATTTTTTTAAGTTATTTAATAGAAAATGACATTCTGAACAGAATGATCATAATATGTCAACTTTTGACATTTTCAATTAAAAAAAAAATAAATTTTGAATTTAAATCTAGTACCGTGTGATCGAATAAAAACGGCGTCAGCGATGGCTATGAAATGAAGGTCGCTGTCATTTTATATGTAAAATTATATTGGAAATGTCATCGATCGTCATTTCCAAGCCAACTGGACGCCATTTTTTTTCGATCATACGGTATCATGCCTGTGTTAAAACCATTAATTTTTAATCAAGGAGCTTTGGAAACATATACTTCATTGTGTAATGTTTTTCGTATCTTCTCCTGGCCTGTAAAAAGATCGTATTTTTAATCATAACTCGATAATTTTTTAATGGAACGGGTGTGGCTTATTATCATATTTTGAAAAAGCATTTTTCTACGAATATTTTGAATGTGATATTTTGAATATGATGATTGTGAGAATAATGATTCAGTATCAAAACTAAAATAATTTCGGACTTCCATTGTCCTTATTTATTATTTTTTATTAGATTAACAAAACGTCAGAAGGATGACTAAGCGTTATCAAGTGTAAACTAAACTAATCCCTAAAACTACTGAGCTTTTATCCCACAGCCAGACATTGAAGAAGTTGGGTTTTGTCAACCGAAGGTTATTCACATAGAATTAGAGGTGGGAATTCTAGTTCCTTGGGAGGAACTAGTTTCTTAGTTCTAGTTCCTCCAGAGGAATAGTTCCTTGAACTAGGTCTTTAGTTCACAATAGTTCCCGACTAACATTGACATCCCCCTTGCTTGCTAATGCGTTTCGTTGTCAGTCAGAACTATTCACAGTATGATCTGTATAATTTTTATAATGTACGAAGATATAACGAGACGTGTAATTGTGTATGTTAAAAACATATAGGTAAGTTTTATAGCAGATAAAAAAAATTAAAAAAACTCAAATGAGAATTTAAAAAACTATATCACAAATCAATTGGAGCAAATATTACAAAAAATTTACGAAAAATTGCATTTTTCCTCACTTCAAGTTTTTTGTTTTTGTCTAAAAATTCAGAATATCTACTTACTAAGATATTTCTTAATTTTAGGGACCTAAAGTGAAACATTCCCATAAAATATTTAGAAAACAAACTAAAAATCAAAAACAGTATCCACAATTTTCTGTGGTAATTACGCCGCGCCGGCTGCGGCAATAGACAAGGCCGAATCCATCGTCGTCGCCTTGTATTATATCTCGGATCTGCCGACTGAGTATATTCCCGTGAACTAGTCTTTTAATAGTTCCTCTATCTCCGGATCCGATAACATACAGCTCGCACTCCCCATGTCTGCCTAGCATCAATCGCGCTGGCTGATCCATACGTAAACTAGTCTTTTATTTAGTTCCTCTAGTTCCTTTAGGTCCGGATCCGATAACATACGGCATAAGGCTGGCACTCCCCACTCCTGCCTAGCATCGATCGCGCTGGCCCGATCCGTTCGTACGTAAACTAGTCTTTTATTTAGTTTAGTTCCTCTAGGTCCGGATCCGATAACGTACGTCTGGCACTCCCCACTCCTCCCTGCCATCGGGCTACGCGCGCTAGCTGATCCGTCGCATATTATTCTATATCGGACACGGTCTCGATCCCGGAATAGGTCCTGAGGAACTAGTCCTTTGAGAAACCAGGAACTAGTTCCTTTCATTCCGGGGTCGGAATAGTTCATTGGAACTAGTTCGTTCACGAACTACACACCTCTACTTAGAATGCCTAGATTGGTACGTTTTATCAGTGGTTGCCATATCGTAGATATTTCCGTACAAGCATTGCTAAAAAAGTTGTTATTGTTTGCAATAAAGACGAATAATTTGGTGCCACTCTAGATTGAACTTTAAAATACTATTTTTTACGCGAAAATGTCAAAAGTTGAGATATGTTATGTCATTCTATTCAGAATGCCATTTTCTATAAAATGAAGTAAAAAAAAATACTGAGGGTACAATTTGAAAATCAAAAGTTGCAGTAATTTTAATATTTTTATTTTTAAAGTTTTTATCAACACTACGAAATGCGTTTTTGTAATATAAAACTTTTCGATTAGGAAAAAGGATAAAGTTTGAGAAATAGCATTTAACATTGACATAATCATTGGTTTGCAACTTAAGGTATATTGGCACTAGTGGTTGGCAATTGCCGGGTTTTGCATTGTTACCTGTTCAGTATTAAGTGTATTAAATTAAAAATAGATGCAATTTTTCTTAAATTACTTAAAATCCGCCTGTTTAAAATAGTTCAAATTTGGCATGTGTATTTCTTATATACAGACCTTAAAAACATATTAGTGGCTTCTCTGTAAAACCAACAGGTGCGCCAATATTTAGACCGGTCAAAATTTGCATGGGATTTATTATATTTAAGGAATATCATTAAGACTCAATTTAATTACGTATCTTAACCAATCAAGCCAATTGTAATATTTATTACACTTATAATGTGGTCATATGCGAGATATTGCGTCAAATGAAAAAATACATGTTATTTCAGTTATTATACCTTTGTTCTCTTAACTGTAACATCTGTTTCTCCTTATCGCCAATGGCTTCCTCCAAGGTACTTAATGCACCTTCGGAAGAACAGTGATGAGCTTGCATGGCGGACAGTCTTGCTCTTGCCATATCTACTTGGTTGTCTTTTTCCTTGAGGAGATCTTCCAGATTCTCCACCTAATCATTTCCGTAAATTTTTGTTTAGAACTATAAATTGAATAAAGATGATTTAAAACAATTTAAAATCTCTCAGCACGGATTATTGATTTTGATAATAAGTTGATTATTGGCAAAAACGCAACAATTATTTCATTAGAAATTTGACATATTAGATTCAAATCACTGTTAAAAAGCTATTGCAGGCGAGTTAGTTAAGTTAATTAGAATAAAAATTGGTAAGGGATAAAGGGAGTGGAATTATACAAGGTGCTACAAATTTCGGGGTACCAGCATTCGTAGGTATCTCGGAAACTGTAATAGATACGAAGATGGTTAAATTGGGGCAAATTTGTGCCTTTGGATGTTCGCCAACATGCCATCAAAAGTATTAAAAATTTCAAGGATTGTTGAGTTATTTGGAAAAACAGATTTTTTGGAAAATTAATTTTATTTTGTCCTGTCGTTACTTTTTTAAAAATCCAAAAACTAATTGCACATTCTATTCTCATAGCTACTTTATCACAGCTACCTGATAATATTTTTAAATTCTCAAATTAACTGATAATTTGTGAGATACATGGGCCAACTTAATTTTTTTAAATACGGATCTACATTTTTTATTTTTTTTTGAAAAAATTCGGTCTCCTGAGTACAACGATATGCCACACTTATTTGTTTTTTGTTAGGTACTTTAACAACAATAAAACTATTTAATTATTATTTAAATTATTATTTAAAATAATTTAAAGTCCGATACTTTTTTTTAACATTGCAACATGATTGCAACAATATTGATGAGCGCTAATTAAAAATGAATAAGGAAAATCGAGCCAATTGAAAGATTCAAATGAATAATATCCAGATCAGCAATATAAAGATAACATATTTTTTTTAACTTTTTTTATTATGAATTTTACATCTTAATGTACGGTCTAATAATATGCACAATATTAATAGTAATTATTATAAATAAATCAACTTCAACAGACTAGTTCTAATGTTCTGCATCTTCGAAAGGATTACCAACCTCCCTATTGCACAAATTTATTTTTCGTTCAATTTTATGTATAGCCCTTTCACAACATCTTTTTTAACTTTATTTTATTATGATTATATTTATATTATTTTTTATTACTTTATTGTATTTGATTTTCCGTATTTGTATTTGATTTCCATATGTTTTACCGCACGTCATTGTTAAGTTTTAATAAAGCTCATCAATATTGTAACGATGAAGACAGAGCCTGACTTAGTGGACATTAGTTTAAATAAATTGTGTTTAAATGCCCAAAACAAAAAAAAATATTAAGTGTAGCATATTAGTACTCAGAAGAACGAATTTTTTCAAAACCTGAAATAAAAAATGTAGGTCCGTATTTGAAAAAAATTAAGTTGGCCTATGTATCTCACAAATTGTCAGCTAATTTGAAAATCTGAAAATACTCTCAGATAGCCGTGATAAAGTGGCTATGAGAATGTGTAATTAGTTTTTGATTTTCTGAAAAGTAACGGCAGGAAAAAATAATTTTTCCAATAACTCAGCAATTCTTGAAATTTTTCAAACTTTTTTGATGGCATCTTGGTGAACATCCCAAGGCGCAACTTTTCTCCAATTCAATCATATTTGTATCTATTACGGTTACTGAGATAAATGATGGTCCAGAACGGGAGAAGAGGCTGAGAAAATTTTGACAGGACGGACCATTCAAAAAGATGATACACCTGACGAATATTACCATTCATTCGCATTGTAGCCATTCGTACCTCTAACATTTCCACTATTCGCACTCTTTCCCTGGATTTTTTTCCCAATAACAAGGGGACGTCCTCTGCCGGAAATATTGCGAACTGTGAGGCCTATTGTGTTTGTCCCCTTTCTATATCTGCACCCTTTCTCCTATCCCTCTGCCATGCACTAACTTATGCAGGCCCTTGATAGGATGGGAGCATAACTCCTCCGGTTCTAGCCTCCCAAATAAAAAGTGTCGCTTGCTATCCAAAGCCTCGCAGTGACATACTATGGGCTCCGCTGTTTCAGGATCTTTACCGCAGAGTCTACAGCAAAAACTTCCTTAATACAGGTTGAGTTTGTTCAGGTAACACTTGACAGCCATGTATCCTGTCAAGAGGCCTGTTGTAATCCGCACTTTATTCCTGCTAAGCATTAGCAGTTCTGTTGCGGTTTTAGAGCTAGGCCCTTGGATAAAGGCCTTGCTATGCCTGTGCCCCTGTCTGTTACTCCAGTGGACATTCTGTTTATCCCTTATCCAGAGTTTTAGTGCGTTACGGGCCATACATTTGGGTATTCCCAGTACTGGCTCTGGACCAAAATAGGATGCCGATCCTTGTCTAGCTAGCTTATCGGCTTTTTCAATGCCTTGGATGCCGCTGTGGCCGGGAACCCAGAATAATTAAATTCTGTTTAATTCTGTTCCTTCGGGCCAGGGCTGCCAGTTCACCTAGGTATTTCCAGACGAGTCTCGGCGATACCTTTGGGCTCATAAACGCTCCAAGTGCCCCTGAGTATCTGAGCATATATTGATGGGCTTATCTGAATAAGCTCGTCTATTATTTTCTCTGGCATATTGTAGAATGGCGAGAATAGCCATTCTGTCTAGAATACGGTTGAGTATTTACCCAAGGAAAAGGATAAACTTACCATTTGGTCTCTTCCTAAATACTCCAGCTCCTGTTCCTTCAGCGGTCTTTGACCCGTCTGTGTTAGTCCATCCTGAAGGAATGTTATATCTGTCCACATTCCTCGATCCATTTTGTTCACTTCGAATGGTTTGTGGTAGTTATAAAGAAGTCATTTGGTCCGATCTCATTCTCCATGCCCTGGCTTGATCTCTTTCCTCTTCCAATACGTCCATATTGCAACGTTTTCATTTTGCGACTCGCATTTTTCTTTGATCTCCTCATTCATTTTTACTGACAGAAGCTGGACAGCCTTCATTTGCGCCCCCCATTAGCTGCGAATTCACACCCGAGAAAAATTTTCTCCTGAATGGGGACGAATATGAATGAATGGTAACATTCTTCAGGTGTATCTTCGGCTCAATATTCAGAATCCTTAAGAACGCTTTAATGCTTCTTGAAGAACACTTTAATGCTATTATTTATACTATATGCCGGATTAGTCTAGAGTCTAGACTGATATGACTATGTAGAAAATGAAACTGGTTGATCCAGGTGTATCTATAGTAATGGAAAGTGGAGGACTATGAAGTACGTCATATGTACTTGCTTGAATAGAAACAAGTAAAATATTGGATTATTTTATAAAGCTGAGCACGACATAATGACCCTGGATATACCATCCCATGTAAATTTTGAAAATGTGAAATATTATCTCCCCAGATAATTTTATACAAAAGCTGCATTAGACTTATTTGGAGACGCGTTAAAGTTGTACTTTCGTCTAAAATTTTGTTTCATTTGGAATTGGCATTTACATGTTATTTGCAAAAATCTACTTTCAAATTATTAAAATTTTATAATACGGCCTATAGAAAACTACAATTGAAATACCAGCAAAGCGGTGATTTTGTCATTGTTAAATTCGATGTCACATTTTGTTTACAAGAATTTGAAGGTGCCAAATAGAGTTACGATGGTTAAATGGAATTTTGCTGGAAATCGTATCTCTGCTGTGTTAGATATTATGTTTGCAGCTCAGTCTCCGGGCAGACGTTACCGAATTATTAACAGTTCTAAGAATAATTACACGGCATTAAGCAAATGTAAGTGTGAAGATAAAAAGTAATGAGCGGGAGGAAAGCAATGATTGGAATATTTTTCTTCATTTTGAAGAAAATTTAAAACATTAGCTCCCGTCTGCTGTGAGAGGCAGTAGGAAAAGAACACATTTATTCTTGGGACACTTATGAAGAAACTGGGAGGGCTTTAGAAGAAGTCGTCTGTGAAGACCAGGAGACCTGGATTCCAGTAGATGGTTATCCTGCACCACGTACAATTATAGAATATTTACATATTTATTAATAAATAAATTAGTTGTAATTGAGTAATGGATAGTAAACAAATCATATACCGCGAATACTATTTTCAACTCAACTAATTCTTTTGTAAATGATCATTCAAATTTAGAAAACAAAAATTACTAGCCTTTCAAAACCATAAATTCTTGCAAACAAAATGTGATATTGAATTTGACAATGCCAAAATTTTAATTATGCATATAATTATGCTGGTATTTTAATTGTAGCTTTCTCTGGGATGTATTAAAATTTTAGTAATTTGGAGGAGATTTTTGCAAATAACATTTAAATGCCTGTTCCAAATAAAACGAAATTCTAAACGAAAGTAAAACTTCAACGTCTCTTCAAAATAGTCTAATACAACTTTTGTATAAAATAATCTGGGGAGATAATATTTGACCTTTTCAGAATTTACATGAAGTCCCGTGTTTCGATGCACCACGCGGAATATCACTTTTAAATATATTAAATTATATAACGGTTGAGGGTTGAGTATTGTATTTGTTTAAAATGTGTGTCTGTTAATAAAGCACAATAAAAAAGTCTTTCCAGACAGATATTTGTATTAGTGAAGAATTAAAACAAGCACAATACTGGAGTAAAGAAGTTTAAATAAGGTCAGTATAATAGCATAGTACAATCGCTATTAGATTGGGCGTTTTCCTCAAGGAAGTATTGACTACACTTATTTGCTGAATAATTACATGAGATACTATTATTGATATGAGGTACAGGAACATATTCTGAAACTATTTTAATACTTTGAATAAACAGATTCCCTAGAATACTTAACAGTTAGAAAATTCAATCGAAAATAAACTTGGAAAATCTTGCAAAATCATTTGTGATATTACTTATCTACTGAGAACTTTGATGAAGGGATTCTGTCGATTTTTATGTATTTCCATTTTATGTTGTCTGTTTTAATCGTAGAGCACATGGAAAGTGCTGTTGTTATTAGTACGTGTATTATTATTAGTTATTTTTAGATATGTTTCATTCAATATTAACTATGTAATGAGAAATAAGTTAGTTTTTCTCTGCAAAGCCATTCTTAGAATCAAATATAACTACTTACTTTTCTTTCACTTTATAAAACATCAAGAAATATGATATTGTTGAAAAAATACGATCAAGAAAAACATATGTTTTCTTTCTATTATCGACCAAAATCCACTTTTAATCATTTTAACACAATAATATTTTTGACATGATCGTAAAACGGAGACAATCTTTATGCTTTAAGATTAAAACATATTCGTATACCGGGTGCGTCTTAAAAGTGGCTCACCCCTATAACTTTTTTATTTTTCCAGATACAAAAACGCGAATTGGTATATTAGTATATTACATAAATTAGGATTGATTGACGTATTCAATTGTTTTTGGTCTCTTCCTGTTCCACCGAAAATGGCTACCACTTTTGATTTTGATAAATGGCCCCTTGGTATATTTTTACTTTATTCGATAGAAAATTACTCACTGAATAGAATGACATATCATATATCAACTTTTGAAATTTTTTCTTAAAAAAAATCGTATTTTAAATTTCAATATAGAGTGCCAACTGTGTTAAAACACTAATTTTTAATCAAGGAGCCTTGGAAAAATAGATTTAATCGTCTCAAATCTATTTTTCCAAGAAATAAAAAATAGATCGATCGTCTAATGTTTTTCGTGTCTTGTTCTGGCTGTTTAAAAAGATGACCAACTCGTGTTTTTAATCATATCTCATTTTTTCAAATGGAACGGGGGTGGCTCATTAGCATATTTAGAAAAAGCATCTTTTTACGAATAATTTGATACCACACACTTGGTATTTCGAGCCAAATTGTCGTTATGAAATGCATATTACAATTTCAAATAAACCATATGCAAAAATGTAAAAAGTTGACATATGATATGTCATTCTATTAGGAGTGTCATTTCCTATCAAATAAAGTAAAAAAATTCCGAGTGTCATTTAAAAATCAAAAGTTGTCGTCATTTCCGGTGAAACAGGAAGTGACCAACGACAATTAAATACGTCAATCAATACTAATTTATGTCAAATACTAACATACCAAATCTCCTTTTATATCTGAAAAAATAAAAAAGTTATAGGGGTGAGTCACTTTTGAGACACACTCGGTATACATCGTATTGAATATATTTATAAAAACCAAAAATAAAGCAAAATGCAAATTTACCCGCACCGATTTTCTTAAATTTAACTCCAGGTTTATGTAAAATTTCATTTAATTCCGTATTATTCTTATTTATATATTAAATTTTTCAATAAAGTTATTAGAATAATAATATGTCCAAAGTCCAATACCGCTACAATTCTTGTGACTTTTATATTATTTGTCTAATTTAGTTATTAGGTCAATCAACTGAAACAGGCAATTGGTATGACACATGGTTGGCATCAAAGACAGGTATTTGTCTACAGAGGAGACGTGTGCTACAGGCTACAGATCTATAAATTAATGTGCAATAATTATATTAAGCTTTTAGTTGTATACAAAGTATATTAACGGCGTAAATATGACTTTATTTCCGTAAAAAAAATCTTAGATAAATTCTATATTTAACCAAATAGGGAAAAATGGTGAAACCAAAAACTGAGAGTCAAAATCCCCGTAATACTGTATATCTTTGCTATAACTCTGAAATATCATAACATCACAGATTATTAGAAAACTACAAAATTATGTATTATTTAGGCTATATTCCGTATCTTGGTTAGGGTTTTCTATTCTTTTTTTTATATTTTGCATACAATTTTTTCCTATAACACGGTTCATGAAAACTTGCAGTCACTATTTATGTGAAATTTTTCTGATATTCTTCGGGAACCGCGCTCGTTACCGGAGTTTATCAACCTGGTTAACCTGGTTTGATAAACCAGGTTAAACCTAACTTAACGGAATACAGCATAAATTGTATTCAGTTTTGTTCAAAAACTAAACATATATTTGCATCTACAAAAGCATAACAGTGAACAGAAGTTTAAAGGAAAAATATCACACTTAAACAGATATTACCTTTCTTTGCAAGACGTTGATTTTCCTGTCCTTTATATCCATATGTTCCCTCATCTCCGCTATCTCCGCTCCAGCTCTGCCCCTTTCCTGTTGATGTTGCTGCTGCTTCTTCTCGATCAACCGATTCTTCTCGTCCAGTCTAGCCCGCAGCTCCTCTACATCGGCTTGAAGCATGTTATAGTGCTCTTCCTTCGCACACAGAGATTCTTTCAACACCGCAATGTGTCTTTGGTAGTCTTGGTGTTGTTCTTCCAGGGTCTTCATCTTCGCTCCCATGGCCAATATCTCCTGGTCTCGTCTCTGAATCTCGACGCGGAACTCGTCCAGCTGCGACACACAGGATCGGATGCATGCATTGACCATGCGGGGGGTCAGCGGTTCGTCACTTTGTGACGCATGCGAACCGACGGCGGTGGTAAAACTGAGCTCGGCCCCATCACCCAGCGGTGCCCGGAGTGTCCTTACAGCTAGTTACAGTCTACCAATCACGGACCCATCCTTGCCGATTTGCACATCGTTCAACAGAAAACTTACTTGGCGACGTGGAGCGCTCAGAGCGGTGACGATCTCCTCGCTGGAGGGGCGACGAGTGGCGGCGGGAGGGTTAAGGGACTCCAGAAGGTGCACCTCGCGCTCCAGAGTAGCGATCCGCGCGTCCTTGGTGTCCAGCAGGACCTTGATCGTGCTGCTGGAGGGCGAGGGCACTAGCTCCAGTTGGGTTTGGAGCGTGCGCAGGGTCTCGTTGGCCGCCTGCAGCTCCTGCAAGACCAGCACCAGAGCGTGTGATGATCGGACGGAGTGCAGCTTTACCACCGGCTACCGACTAGGGGGGCGCACCGTACGCTATAGTGGTCGGAACGGGATATTGGACGCAATCATCGTTGTCTGGATTTAGGTGTTTTTTTTTACCGAAATTATAGTTAAATTACAGGAATATTTTTTTTTGATTAGGCACATGCATCGATTTACTTTGAATACTTTATATCATGTAATTTTCTATGATACGGTAATCGCAAAACAATTTCCAATGCATGTGATCAACTTTGAGTAACAAGCGATAGCGACAGTGCTGCCAGATTGTAATGGATTTATCTTGGATTTATCTTAATTCAAAATTGACAAACAATATATTTATTATATAATTTTTTAAACATTTTTATTTTTAATTTATTAACTAATGTTTTAGTAATTTATTGATTTATTTGTTTTATATCTTATTTTACTTATTACATATTGACAAAAACTAATCCACTATGAATATTATTGTAAGCGTTATTATGGGCTATTTATTTATTTATTGATGTACATCTTACAACGCCATAAGTGGTAATAACAAGTAAGAGGGTGTTATTAACAAATTAATAATCACAGAATTTAATAAAAACTAACGTAGATAACTTTGAAAGTGGTATAATGTGCTTATCAATCAAACTTACTTCTCTGACTGCAGTGAAGGGTAATAACGAACCTTTATTGTCACGTTCTCGTTCAAAATAGTTTATCAGGTAAGCTACAAGCTCTTTGCTTCGACTGTTTAAATGCTTCGGCATATTTTCAACACACAATTTCTAGAAATGCAATACAAAAACTTGAAAATTTAGTTCTTAAAAGAACTGTTCGTGCTAAAAGTACAATTTGAAAATTACTATGAAAATAGGCAAAAAAAACGAGAATTACTCACATACGGCGCAATGGGACCAACATACCGATAATAAAATTCGGTTTAAACTAATTTTTGCAGCTTTTTTTTGCATCTTAAATTATACAACAAATTTAAACATTTTTGCCAAAATTTCATTTAGTCAGGTTTTCAATAGACTTTAATGATGTCAATGTCGATATGACTGATGACGTGCATCGGAAAATGTTTTGCGATTCCCGTATGTTTTCCTATTGGATTTTTCGAACCTCTTACACATATATTTAGTGATTTTAGAAACTTCAAGTAAACCTGTATAATCAAATGTATTAATACTTTTGATAGAAACTTAATTCTTACCAGCTATAAAAACTTTCAATGTACATATAGTAATCGATTTATCAGCTTTGTGAAAATAAAATTAATATTTCAGGAATTTATTCCAGCGTCTCTTTTGAATTTGGTTTTAATCATAGGTTAGAAATAAGAAAAAATCTAATTGATAGATAAACATTGTACATTGCTTAGCACATCATCTTTATATAATTATTCAAAAATATTTGATAACTTCCCTTGACAATTGCAAACAAGAAATGCTACTGTAGGTATATTATGTGTGCCTTTAATTATAAATAAAATTATATAAGTATTCTTGCCACTTAACTGCTGTTATAGAAATTTAATTCCACGCTGTGTTTGTCAAAATGTGGATCAACCTGCTCTCACTACCGGTTTCGGAGCCCTACTCCATCATCAGGTGACCTTGGGCGGATCCACAAAATGACAACCACAGCGCAGAGATAGTTAATTCCGACTGTCGGAAAGTGTCGGTTGTAGTAAGTCCCGAACGGGAGATAGCGGCCTGCGTGCAATGGTAGTACTTTCGTACCACCGAGGCGCAATTATCGATAGTAAAAGGATGGTAAAAGACTTTTTTTCAGGCAAGCCAAATTATAAAATAGAAAACACAGCGTAGAATTAAATTTCTATAACAGCCGTTAAGTGGCAAGAATCCTTATATAATTTTATTATATACCTATACTGCAAGAAATTTGTTTTCTATTTTATAATTTGGTTTGCCTGAAAAAAAGCCTTTTAGTTGCCGATAGTTGCGCCTCGGTGGTACGAAAGTACTACCATTGCACGCAGGCCGCTATCTCCCGTTCGGGACTTAATATCTAACCGACACTTTCCGACAAGTCTTAATATTACAAGAATTAACTATCTCTGCGCTGTGGTTGTCATTTTGTGGATCTGCTCAAGCTCACCTGATCATGGAGTAGGGCTCCGGTACCGGTAGTGAGAGCAGGTTGATCCACATTATGACAAACACAGCGTAGAATTAAATTTCTATAACAGTAGTTAAGTGGCAAGAATCCTTATATAATTTTACATATACTGCAAGAAATTTGTTTTCTATTTTGTAATTATAAATGACTTTATTGTCCTAACATTTATTAAAAATTGAGCTAAATTATATTAATATTTTTGAATTATACAAAAGATTAGATATACCTAAATAAAATAATTTAGATTTAATGTTAGAATTATGGCCATTTTAAATAATTGGTACTTTTCTATTTTTAGCATATATTTGCCTTGTTTCTTTGTAGTAAATTGATAATTATAGTAAAAGAAGAAAAATACTCTTATTAAATTAACTAAAACATATTACATTTTGAAATATTGCTTTTTTAGTTACATCTATTCGCTTTCAAATTTTATTTTAAAAAAATATTCATTAAATTAAAAAAATATACCATATGTAAAAATTATATGAAAAAAAAAACGGCGCCAAGTTAGCATGAGAATGAGGATCAATGACGTTTGCAATATCAACTTATACGTAAAATGACAACGACCATTTCCAAGCCAACTTTGATCACGTCTTTTTATCATATCGTATACATTTTGTTATTATTTCAGATAATATTTATTTTAATTTGGTAACTACCAAATTCAACACTAAAGATTGATATTAAAATTATTATACTTTAATAATTTAGTAATATACTGTTTATATTAAACAATAACATAAAATGCAGTATAATACTTCTAATAAAACGTGTAATATACAATGCTAAAAAATTAAAAAGCAATATTTAAAAAAACTGATTTATTCAGATTAAATAAAAAGTCTTTTTAACTACAAAAATACTACAAAAAAATTAAGGCAAATAACTACTAAATCATAATTTACTTGTACCTGACTTCCCTTTGTTTAAATTAAAAAAATAAGCAATGGTATTTTCTTTAGACACCTTTTTGCCGAGATAATTTAAAAATACATTAACTCGAGTATAATTTAATTAAAACAGCTAATTACATGATGATAACATCAAACATGCTATATGATTGGTTCTTGATCATGTGCCAGATGATTGTGAATATCACGTTACGACCACTTCACACACATACAAAATTTACTCACTACCACCACAATCACAATTTACTTTCTACTTGGTTTTGGGACGTAGTGTATTCTATTATGGTAGTCACTGGCAGTGCAGGTAGATATGAATATGTATTAAAATCTAGGCTACACTTTGTGTATAACCATGTAAGCATCGGCAGATAATTAAAACTAAATTATTTATACGAAACTAAGTGTTTATAAAGTCATATCAACTTAGACAAAAATTACGTTAATCGAGTTTTATATCAGTTTAGAATAATAACTTAGTTTTATAGATCTGCTGAAAATACCAATATAGTATGCAAACTGGACGTTAATTTCTTTATTAAGTTGGTTAATATAACAAAAGCTATAATATAATGTTTTGCATTCTTAGCAATTCCAACGTAAATTCATGTTAAATAAAATAAGAAGAAATAGTGTTTAAATTCTACTTATACAGGGTGTTCCTTAATGGCTTGCATAAATATTTAAGGGCGTGATTTTTGGACCCATTTTATGGACCCATTATTTTTAGACCCATTTGTACGTCCTAAACATCTTCAGTTTTGAGATACAGCTTCAAAAATTTCAAAATACTGACTCTTCCTTCTTTATTCATATTTGAATCCGTTTGCTTAATCCGCAAGCACATATGTGCTATTCCCGAAAGGCCTCCTCACAACTATCCACTTAGGAATGCGGAGCACGATCTTTATCTGCCAACCTCGAGCTCAGAACTAGTTAAAGGCTCAATACTGTACAATGCCAAAAAATGTATAATTATCTGCCTTTTTATATGAAGTCGCTTTCATTCTTTCTCGCAAAGCTCTGAAAAAAACTGCGGTAAACTACCTTTTTGTTGATATTTAATCTTGAACAATTTTAAATTTTAAAATTTTGATCATCTCACACGCTGGTTAAAAATCTAGTATTTAATGACAACTCTTATAATTGATTATAACCATTTACAATTAAACAAAACAATGCAAACCCGTCTTGAAATAAATAAAATTAATTGTAGATAAAAATAGGCATTCGTGTCGATTCGAATATTTTTTGTTAGGCAAATTTGTATATCTGTAAACCTAACTTCTGACAAGTAGTTTCCGTTTGGGATTAACGCAAAAGTGTACGAAAATTACTATTTTATTTTGTAGATTTTCTTGCAGTAGCGAAATACCCATATAGGATTATTTGGAGAAAATAGGTATCTTGATGCATAGAAGACGAGTATTAAAATTCATAAGATATCTATAATAACGTCAGAGTTATTATGAAAAAAAAAATAGAAAATGTTACCACTCTGTATCTCAAAAGTTAACACGTTTAAGACACACATTTGCTGTCCTCCATTCGCGAATTTCAAGTTTCAGAGCTTTACGCCCTGGGCTACTCGAGAACGCTTGTGAAAGGAGATGTGCGCGATAGCCTGGTGCCTCCATATGGCGCAATTTTGAACTTTATGACTCAATTGAATGAGGCGAGTGTATCGCGTTCTTGAACAGTTCAGAGCTGCACAACTGCGTGATTGGAGGACAATAATTCATATGAAGTTTTTTTCCTTGGAATAGGTCCAGAAATCACCTCCTTAAATATTAGCATGTTTCTAAAGAACACCCTGTATATTCAGTTAATACATTTTTCAATGTGTAAACTTATTTAAAAATAGCTGCTAGTTTCGGGGTTTAAGCGTTATCAACATGTCAGTAAATGATACCAAAAAAGGTTATTGATATGTTTAATTTTTAAATTTATATCTAATGAAATTGTGGATTATGGATTATAAAATATAAGCTAAATCGGTTTTAGAATTTTAAACATAAAACATGAAATTCTATGTATTTTAAGAATCTTCATATTCAAAAATATAATCGAAAAAAATAATTCAAAGAAACACATATTAAAGTTTTAAAGCTAATATCTCAAAAGAGAGTCTCTAAAGATCTCTTTATTTTAGTCTGTTCCATGCCTTTTGATAAATAGTTTCAAGTTAATATAAATTTATCCTGCATTTGCCAGCAACCACCAATACACTTTATACTAAATATGCACCTGTTTCTGTGCCATCGCCTGCATCTGCTGGAACATGGCCCGCTCTTCCTCTTTACCTGGAACAGAAGCGACATCACGCGGAATTAGTCCTAAACCACAACAATTCGTCCGCTACAGGAAACTGTGCCAAAGCTTCACCACAGAGAACCGTACAGAGGCAACCAGAATACACCGGTTCGATTCCAAAGGTATTTATTAAGTTAATCATAATTTGTTTGGCCACGATAGTCGTTTCTTCGGAGATTAATGGTTTTTAGTAGATATTTATCGATATTAAGTTCGAGAACGATTGGGGTCTGTTTAGCGTCTGTGGCACAAAAACAACAACAGTGATGATGATGCGGCAAAGATGGATTTGATGAATTGATGCTGTAACTGAACAGAATGATCCATGGCGCTGGATGATGAGCTGGTAGTTTTTTTCATAGTTTCTAATGGGCTTCAGTGGCAGTTTATACAGTGTATTTTTTTGAAGTATATAATTTAATTTTATTTTCCATGTTATATTTCAAAATTTATTTATTTAATGAAACATTCAGCTTAATAAACAGCCACTAATGACCTGTAATTAGTTCTATCAAAAAATAAATAATTATTCCTTTAATTCTTTGTTTATGGTTACATATTTTATTTAAATTAAAAAATGACAAAAAATCGTTCCTTCGAAAAAGCTACTTTTGAATGGAATTGGAATGAGATCATATATTTCCATTATACAGGGAGTTTTTTTCAATGGTTATGTCTAATATCTTGTAAGCAAATATTATCACACTGAAAACAATATTTACAATTTTTAATAGTATGTCTGACTGCAAAGCGAGAATATTTCCAGGTTAGGATTTTAATCGGTGCGATCGATTTATTTATTTAAATAAAAATATAAATTTATATGAAAAACGAGTATCGATTCACCTGAAGAAAGTCATGGAGAATGCCATCTTGAGTATTGAGTATACAGGGTCGGTGTTATGAATGGAAACGGTTGATTATTAGGTAAAATATAGGAGGTACCGCAAAAAGTTAAATACAAAAGTAATAGGATTTTTAAATATCTATTAGCGAGTAATAAATTTAAGTATACAGGGTGGGTCATAAAGTCGTCACACATAAAGTTTAATTTTTTTTTAAATAGAACCCCCTGTATATTATTACATATTTCAATTCTTTCTTCAATTCTAATTAAAAACCTTAATCACACAATGTACCTCAAACCAACCGTTTTCGAGTTATTGACTCTTGAATATATCACTTAAACAATTTGATTTCATTAATTTCGATATGTTCAGTTTCATTGAATGATGCCATTCTGCCAAAACTGTGATACTGTTGTAATGAGTTTTTAAATGCCTATTAGCTACTAGTAAATTTGAGTATAAGGGTCGGTCATAAAGTTGTGGCACATCAAACTTTTTTTTATTTTTTTTTTAAATGAATCCCCTGTATATTATTTCATATTTCAATACTTTCTTCAATTTTAAGCAGTAATCGTAATACACAATGTACATAAATTGAAGAATTGAAATGTTAAACGAAGATTTTGTAATTTCCAGACTTCATATAATCTCATTTTATACATCTATAAATGCTAACTTGAGAAGTAATGTCAAATATTATTAAGTATCACAGTTTGCACAGAATGGCATCGTTAAATGAAACTGGACATATGGAAATTAATTAAATCAAATTGTTTTAGTGATATTTTCAAAAGTCAATAACTCGAAAACGGTTGGTTTGAGGTACATTGTATGTATTTCAATTTTTGCTTGAAATTGAAGGAAGAGTTGATATACAGTAAGTTCTATTTAAAAAAAAATAATTTTCATGTGCCACTACTTTATGACCGACCCGGTATACTTAAATTTATTACTTGCTAATAGATATTTAAAAATCATAACTTTTGTATGTAACTTTTTGCGGTACCTCCTATATTTTACCTAATAATCGACCGTTTCAATACATAACCCTTTGCTTTACCCTGTATATGTCTAACACATCTCAGCAACATTTTACTTAATGAATTAATCATTCACTTTCGTTTTCATATCCATTTTTTATTTGTCACTATTTATTAATAATGAATAAAATAATTATAGATACTAATATCTCTCTTTACCTTTTATAAACGGAATTTTTGATATTCGGAATGATTAAGTTTATTTCTCATTACTAATATTAAATCCATTCAAAAGATACAAATTTAAAAATAATTACGGTTTGTTCGTGACTCTGTATTTTTATAATCATTAGGACATTTCTGTTCGACATACTAATGGATATTTTCTCTTTAATAAAACATCGAATCATATTTATTTGTGGATAGAACGAAAATCGAGGGTAATATGAGTAATTTCAAATAACTTGTGCGATGTTTCAGTTTGTATAGATTTTAAAAGAAAAATTGTTTTACAAAATTAACATACGGGGTGGCGCACCTCATTCGCCTCGGTTGATTATACGAAAACGGAAAAATGTAGAAACAAAATATTTTATGGGTATATGTGGGAAGGTAATGTGCATAATTTAAAATTATTTTGAAATGTACAGGGTGTGTCAGAACTAAGATCCATACCAAAGTTATATTTTTTCTTTACACACACACACACCAGATATTTTATTTTATTTTTGGATTCTTGGGCATAAAATAAGGCATTTATTAAAAAGGTTTAATATGTTTAAATGCTTTGGTTTTTGAGATATTTAAAGATTTTTAAATATGCATGCTGTAATAAAAAAGTTTGTCAACACCCTGTACATTAATTTTCAGAGTTAATTCTTGTGCTCACTTTGCAGCCAGAGAAATAAACTTTACTAAAAAACTTTATTGCTTTCTAAAATGTATACAGGGGTATCAAAATTGCTGGTCTATTTTAAATAGTTATTTTACATAAAAACTTCGTTATTTCAAATGCAACACTATGTATTTTTTTAAATAAGTCGAAGCAGATTTAAATGCTTTTTCAAACTATATTAGGGTTTCCTATACCTATCTATCCCAGATTTTGACTAAAAAGCAATTTTTCAATAAAATGGCAATCAAGTAGGCTGGGTCGCCATGGCAATTTGCTAGTGACACTTAGTAGCTATTTTGAAAATCGACATTTGTTTATGGACTTTATTTAAATTTATAACAGTTTACTTTTATTTAATTTACCTACAATAGTTTAATAAGTAAGTATTTATTATTTTATCAAGAAAAATAAAGAAGTAGTTCTTTTTGATTTATATTACGATGAAGTTGTAGTTATATGGGATTTTCTATAAAAGAACCAATTAAAGCAAATTCATTTTCTTCACTTCCAATGAGAGGTTTCTGCCTAATAGGTTTTTCATATACCACACTATCAGCTCTGCGAAATAGAAAATGTAGTTTTTCAAGGAACGCTTGTCAAGAAAATTCCTATTTGTATATATTTGAGCATAAACCCTTCAGGCCATATAAAATATGTGTCCTCACAAAATGTTTGTGTGTTATCACAAAATAAAATCATTAGTAAACATATCCATTCCTTCCGCCAGCAGATACTGCTTTATTTTTCTTGATAAAATAATAAATACTTACTTATTAACTTTATTGTAAGTAAGTTAAATAAAAATACCCTGTTATATAAATTTAAATAAAGTCCATAAACTAATATCGATTTTGAAAATAACTACTAAGTGTCACTAGAAAACTGCCATGGCGACACCAGCTATCTTGATTACAATTTTATTGAAAAATCGCTTTTTATTCAAAATCTGAGCCAGGTAGGCATAGAAAACCAAAACCAAAAAGTTTTTGTGCAAAATAAATACTTAAAGTAGACCAGCAATTTTTGATACCCCTGTATACATTTTAGGAAGCAATACAGTTTTTTAGTAAAGTTTATTCCTCTGGCCCATAGACTTAAAATAAAATATAGACTACACTATGCACATCTCAACGCGTCACTTTACATCTCAACGCGGTCAAACAATCTTTTTTGTACACATGTTTACTTTTGGGTACAGTCGACCCAGCCTTCCTCATCCAGCCTATGTTGTCACGTCTTTAATATTATCAATATTTTTGTTCTTGTTATACACATATATTGAGATATTAATACTACATTTTAATAAAGTAGGTTTTAAGATTCCAGAGATGTATTAAATAGTCCTTATACTACTAAATTATAAGTCGGATACTATTTAAAAAGGATAAGTTCTTTACAATATGGCAACACCGATTAGAGGCGAGGTCGCCTATTCATTCATTTATTACCTTGTAGTACGTGTCGCACATGTGCGGTAAAGCTGTGTTGCCGCTATCTCCCAGGCTGTATTAACGCATTTTCTTAGCTTGTAGTCCTTAAGTGTTTATTTTATTTATTTTTTCTGTTCAAGAACTATAAAATATGGTTCGCCAGTGCCAAATGTGCAAGAAATTTGACTTAAATAATCCATTTAAGTCTTGAAACGACTTTCGACCGATAGGCAACTCTCAATTTACCCATTGGGAGTCAGTGGCGTTGTTGTAGAAAGGCGCTTATTTAGATAATATTTTAGTAAAATGTATAATCTGAATTTTTTCTCTTACATAATCATTTATATAAAGGTTTTTGTAACAAAATCATAATTATTATAACCCTTTAATAATTAATAATATTTTTATTAAAAATATATTCCGGCTTATTCTAAAATTATCTTCAGAATCTAAAATAACATACAAGAATTTTAAACATTATGAAACAATATTTTTTAATATACCGGGTTCGTCTCAAAAGTGGCTCACCCTAGTTATTATTTTTTCAGATAAAAAAAACAGATTTGTGTGTTAGTAGGCATATTGACATAAATTAGGATTGATTGACTTATTCAGTTGTTTTTGGTCTCTTCCTGTTTCACCGGAAATGATTACATCTTTTGATTTTTAAAGGCACCCTCGGTATATTGCTACATTATTCGATAAAAAATGACACTCTGAATAGAATGACATATCATGTCAACTTTTGACATTGTCGCTTAGAAACAAATCGTATTTTAAATTTCAATCCAGGGTGCCATGGTGTTGTTAAAAACACTAAGTTTTAATCAAGGAGCCTTGGAAAAATAGTTTTGATCGTCTAATAGGTTTCGTGTCTTGTCTACGCCGCGCCGGTTAAAAGATGTACAAATCGTATTTTTAATCATGTGTCAATTTTTTCAAATTGAACAAGGGTGACTCATTAGCATATTTGGAAAAAGCATTTTTTATGAATATGTTGATACCAAACACTTGGTATTTCGAGTCAAATTGTCGTTATGAACCGCGTGTTACAATTACAATTAAACCATATGCGAAAATGTCAAAAGTTGACATATGATATGTCATTCTATTCAGAGTGTCATTTTCTATCGAATAAAGTAAAAATATACCGAGCGTGCGATTTAAAAATTAAAAGTTATAGTAATTTCCGGTGAAACAAGAAGTGACCAAAAACAATTAAATGCGTCAATCAATCCTAATTTATGTCATATACTAGCATACTAAATCTTGTTTTTTTATTTGTAAAAATAAAAAAAAATATGGGGATGAGCCACTTTTGGGACGCACCCGGTATAATAAAGACAGTACCGAGTTAAATAAATGTAGTTTTCATTTTATCCACTTCCTATTACCTTCCTTGCTTTAATGGAACAGATTTATGTTTTCTCTAATTTACATAAATAAGACATCATTTTTAACCAGAAGAAAAAATTACAACAATCATAATTTTTTTCTCTCCTGTCGCCGATTCTATTATATCTGTAGAATAGATCCTGTTTTGATTAATATTAGGGGTTGTAAATGTTTGACTAAAATTAATATTTTTTTTTAATAATTTCAAAAATTACGTAATATCGATTATAAAATTTCTTCTATAACATGTATTTTATTATTTTTATCCTTTTTGGACTCTAAGACGTTTTTTCTAAACTTTTATTTAAAAAAACCTCTCCTAAATCTTAATAAAATAAAAAAGTTTAAATACGATATATTTTTAATTTAATTATAGCTTCATTAAAATAAAAAAATTACCCGGCTATGATACGGAGAGTTTAGGTGTACTTGAGAAACGAAAGACAGTGTTGCGTTTCTCGTCAGAGTCGTCGGGGAACGACCGTTACGACAGAGACAACCTATTTATCGCTCGTGTCGCACTCGTTATAACCTAAAACAATAACAAGACATTGTCTGACCGCATGTTCCAGCTATTTATGAATGAGATGCTCAGTCTATATTTTATTTTAAGTCTATGCTCTGGCCTAAAACTCAGCACAAGAATTAATTCTGAAAAGTAATGTACAAGGTGTTGCCAAACTTTTTTATTATGGCATGCATATTTAAATATCTTTAAATATCTCAAAAACCAAAGCTTTTAAACATATTAAATCCTTATAATAAATGCCTTATTTTATGTCCAAGAATACAACGGATGTTCCATAAGAAAAAATATAACTTTGGTATAGATCTTAGTTTTGACACACCCTGTACATTTCAAAATAATTTTAAATTATGCACATTACCTTCCCACATATTCCCAAGAAATATTTTGTTTCTACATCTTTTCGTTTTCGTGTAATCAACCGAGGCGAATGAGGTGCCCCACCCTGTATACACATAAAAAATTTTAAACATCTTATGATTATTATTTCGCATTTTTACATATCTGTTTTTAATAATTGAATTTAAAAAAATTAACAAGTATAACAAAAAGTTGACGAACAGTATCCAATATTTAAAAATAATATACATTTTCATTGCAGTTTTTAAATTATTGAAGGTATTAAATAATTTTTGAATATGTAAAAGTATTCTTTAATCTTCTAAATCAACAAGTTCTCTGAAAACCGTGAAAGTACATCAAGGGAATACAACATTTTTCATTTTTGGATGATATATTCATAGCAAGGCTTGAAGTGGAGCCAAAAAAGTATATTAATATATTCCCAAGAGCATAGCTTAGGTATGGTAATAATATACATAATTACGGTTTTTAATTCAAATTGGTATACTTTACATATACCGGGTGCGTCTCAAAAGTGGCTCATCTCTATAGGTAACTTTTTATTTTTTCAGATAAAAAAAAACGAGTCTTGGTATGTTAGTATATGACATAAATAAGGATTGATTGACGTATTCAACTGTTTTTGTTCACTTCCTGTTTCACCGGAAGTGACTACAAATTTCGATTTTTAAATCACATTCTCGGATTTTTTTTACCTCATTTGATACAAAATGATACTCTGAATAGAATGACATAATATATGTCAACTTTTGACATTTTCGCATATGGTTTATTTGAAATTGTAACATGCAGATCATAAGGACAATTTCACTCGAAATACCAAGTGTGTGGTATCAAATTATTCGTAAAAAATGCATTTCCAAATATGCTAATGAGCCACCCTTGTTCCATTTGAAAAAATTGAGATATGGTTAAAATACAGTTTGGTCATCTTTTAACCGGTCAGGACAAGACACGAAAAACATTAGACAATCAAATATATTTTTCCAAGGCTTCTTGATTAAAAAATAGTGTTTTAACACAGCCATGGCACTCTAGAGTAAAATTTAAAATACGATTTTTTTGAAAGCAAAAATGTCAAAAGTTGACATATGATGTCATTCTATTCGAAGTGTCATTTTATATCGAATAAAGTGAAAATATACTGAGGGTGTCATTTAAAAATCAAAAGTTGTAGTGATTTCCGGTGAAACAGGAAATGACCAAAAACAATTGAATACGTCAATCAATGCTAATTTATGTAATATACTAACATACCAAATCTTGTTTTTTTTTATCTGAAAAAATAAAAAAGTCATAAAAGTGAACTTTTGAGATGCACCTGGTATACCTTTATTTCAAAATGTATTACTCTTTTTTTTTAAGAAAATAAGACATTTAGATATGTATATGCCTAATGATTCATTTACATTACTGCTAAAAATAAAATATCTAGCTTTATGTTATAGTTTTATAAGTACATCCAAGGGCTAGCTATTAAGATCCATAACTTCCATAAGATCCATATTAAGATTCCATTACTAGCTATTGAGAAAGTTTTTTTTCTTTTTAGTCCCATTTATAATCTAAAAGAAATTCTTTGGCTCTCAATGTGGGATGGAAAATAATTTTTACTGATTAGATTACAGAGCCCGAACGATTTTCACGTTTTTCCATTTTTTTAATCATCTATTATTAGTAAGCACATTTAAAGAAAGATTCAATATGATAAAAACAGGTACAAAGTAAACAATATCACATTCTGTTAAATGAAATTACTCATTACCAGAAATTATATTTTATAGTTTCATTTTAATATCATGTAACCTATGGAGAAAATATTGTGACAATATTCTGGAATAAAATTTATTTGCTCCTCTTCGTATCCCATACGTAAAATGAATTAATAGTAATGCCTCGTGAAAGATAGCAAAGAAAAAAATGTGAGAAAAGACGAAAACTAAAAAGAAGAATGTAATAGTGAACGGGTGCGAGGACAAAGCTTAATAACACTCAAGTTTGAATAGAAACTAGTAGATACTAAACATGTAGCAGGCAAACAGTACAGACTTACCCATGCCTTTGTTCTGTAACATCTCCAGCAGCTTTTTTATGCTCTCGTCTCTCGCTTGAAGTGTCTGCTTTTGCGTTTCTATACGAAGTTCCAGTTCCTGCAAAGAGATAACACGTAGGATATTCTTAGTTTTTTTTTGAAAATCGTCTTAATTAACTTGGTCAAGAAGTTTTTGTTTTTGTCTGGGTTAGACCAGTACATATATTTAAAAATTGAAGAATGGTCATTCAACTTAATCCTGCAGTATTAAAATAATACTACAATATACAGGGTTGTTCACCACATACGACACGAGTATTGTAGCTAAACGATTAGATTTTTACAAATTGTAAGTTTTGGGTTCGTTGAAAGACTATTAGGCTACAATTTAAAAATAATTTTACAAGATACAGAGTGTCCCCAATAAATAAAAAATATAAAAGTTGAATTTTTTAAATGGAATCCCTGTATATTATTACATTTTTCGTTTCTAGGGTTAAAATAATGGCAAATTTGATTAAGGTTCACCGCTTTTAAAATATTCACGTTTTTGTCAAAATACAGTAATGCTTTATTTCTCTAGGCGTATTTCAGTTTTTAAAACCAAATACTGTACTGTAGTTTTTCTATTTACCAAATTTTGTGTTGCAATAATAAAAACTACACTACCTTATACAGAGTGTCTAAAAATTTATTTTAAATAATTACTAGCTTTAAACTGCAATAACTTCTTTAACTTAAATGGAACATACTGTATATTTTATGAGAATCAGATACACAATTTAATTGTCTATCAAATTGTATTATACCATTTTTTACCAGTCTCTTCAATTTTTCGTAGAAAATGCGTTTTCTTATAATTTAGACCTAATTTATGAATATAGCCATGGAATATTGACACTTTAGACTATTTTTAAAGATTTAACAAATTTTTGCAGAGTACATTTTAGTAGTATACTAATATTGTCGATATAGTTAGTTTATTTTATTAAAAAATTGAAAAATAGCTGTTTAAATATTTATTAAAGAGGACCAATTACTATGATTCCAGTATTCAAACTACATTAATTGACAGTTTGCGTTGATTAATAATAACTGCTCCAAATACAAAAAACTGAATTTTGTGTGTTTATTAGACAGTGTGGTGAAAAGTAACACCTTAAAAGTTTTATTTAATTTTTTGGCGAATGCTTATTTAGAACAACAAAGACATTCATTTTCATAACTTATTATTATATTTTTTTCTGATTCAAATTCACATTTATTTGGAATAATTTAATTAACACAATTAAGTATTTAATTAATTAATATTTGGGTGGAAATAATGGTGGTATTTTTAATTAATGGTATACCCTTTTACAAAGATTTAAATAGATTTCTTTTTGCAAACAAATGGGCTAGTAATGTTATAGTTTTTAGCACCTGTACATTTGTTGCTTTAAAAAACTCAAAATGTCGATATTCCATGGGTATATTGATAAATAAGTCTAAATTATAAGAAAATTTATTTTCTACGAGAACTTGAAAAGATAGGTAAAAAATGGTTTAATCCAGTTTGATAGACAATTAAATTGTGCATCTGATTCTCCTAAAATATACAGAGTATTCCATTTAAATTAAACAAGTTTTTGCCGTTTAAAGCCAGAAATTGTTTAAAATAAATTTTTAGACATTCTGTACGAGGTATTTTTATTATTGCAACACAATACCTGATCAACAAATAAACTTGAGTAAATATTTAGTATTAAAAACTTTGATCCCTTGGAGAAATGAAGTATTAAAATTTTTACTGCAATTTCATAAAATTGAAAATATTTCAAAACCGGTAAGGTTTCAGTGTGATAAACCTTAATCAAATTTACCTTTATTTTAATCGTAGAAATTAGAAATGTTATCTCTCCAAAAAAATCCTTTATGAGTATTTCGCCACTGCACTGCAAGAAAAATCTACAAAATAAAATTGTTATTTTTTGTAAACACTTCTGCGTTAAACCTAAACGGACACTGCTTGTCAGAAGTTATGTTTACAGTAATAAAAATTTGCCTAACAAAGAAAAAAATGCTTAACGTTTCGGAAAGCAGAAAGTTTTTTTAAGCAGTGTCCGTTTAGGTTTAACGCAGAAGTGTGTACAAAAAATAACTATTTTATTTCGTAGATTTTTCTTGCAGTGCAGTGGCGAAATACCCATAAAGGATTTTTTGGAGAGATGAATCCGCCACATAGGTATAGACATTTTTTAAAAATGTTATAATATATAATACATGGTGTTCCATTTAAAAAATTGCAATTTTAATATTTTTTATTTATTTGAGACACTTTGTATCTTGTAAAAATATTTTTAAATTGTAGCTCTAATAGTCCTTCAACGAACCCAGAACTTACAATTTGCAAAAATCTAATCGTTTAGCTACAATACTCCGCATCGTATGTGGTGAACAACCCTGTATAATATATAATTTGATTTATTCTACAGAAACAAACAGCAACAAATAAATTTATCGACGGCGTCACGACAAAAGAGCGTAAGCGCCAAAATAACGAAAATGAGATTATGGTTCTAAAATGTAATACTAATAAATGCGCACCTATCTATGAAACGGCATAACCGGCAAAATTTTTTAACGTGAACGTGAAAAAAAAGACAGTGTTAGTTTCTAACCGCCAATATCCCTCCAAAGCAGACTCGACGCGAAAATCAGTAACCGCTGCACCGTTCACACGTGTTGGAAGCTCGCTTACGCCTGGGTTGAAAAAATACCATTTTCCATTCAAAGGTACGTAGAAAAACTTATTAATAAGATAGGTCTTATTCATATTTGGTAGCCTAGATTGTTTTTTGTGCTTCAATCTAATTCAAATAGTAAACACCGACATTTATTTGTTATTGTCGGTTACGCCTTTTCGTATTAATTTATTTGGTTTGCCTAAGCGCCATCAGATTTCAAAAAATTGTCAAATATCTAAATTGTATACAATATTAATTTTCCCGCGGGAAGAAAATCAGAGATTTGGCATTAAAATGTGGAAATCAAGAGGTTGAGGTTGAGAGCAGCACGTTTAGAAGCACCACCTTTTGCCACCAACGAGGAATACGGATCGAGTTTACCCGTGTTTTGTTCAGAATATTAGTTAAATTTAATTTTCCAGTTATTATTTCAACCCTAATGAGTTTGAAAATATTGCAAGTATCAGTTTGAGTATTTTGTACTGTGTTTCTATTAAAAAAATTAAAAAATCCAAGCGACATTTTTAATTTTATTTGTAAAACTCAAAAGGCGTAAGTGCACCTTAACGACAAAAAATGACTATAGAATAATAAGACACAAAAGTCTTAAACGTCTTTCAAAAAGACGTAAACGCCAATCGAGCCTATAGAAAGAAAAGCTTAAGCGCCAAATATTAAAATAATTAATTAACAGTTTAATATTTTATAAGCAAAAAATTCTTGAAAAATGTGCCATATAATACTGTAGCAAAAAATAATTCACAAAAAAAATAAAAAATATAGATTTTAGACGTTTTTTTTCGTCTTCTGAAAAAAATGACGAATGGCGCTTACGCCCTTTTGTCGTGACGCCGTCGATATGTACAGACGTCCTATTTTGGTTGAAATCATACGGTATCTCCGTTATTAGTAAAGATAGGAGGATGCAGTTTGCACAAACATTTCCCCCTTGTTTGTTAAAGGAAGATGCTATAAACAAAATTTTCATAGCCCTCTACGTTTCTGAGCTAGAGGGTCTTTTCGAAAATTTTGCAATTTGGGACAGTATCCCCGTATCTCTGTTATTGTGAACGGTGTCGAGAAGGTGAAAACTGACAAAATTGTTTTATTAGTAGGCCGTGATAGATAACAAAAAAATCAAAATGGTATTTACTAAAATAGTCATACACATATTAAATTTTTATTTGGGAGTGAAATATTTTTCTTTTAAACTGTTACCACTCTGAACAGGTATTTCTTCTTTTTTTTTATAACGGGATTTATTATAACGGGATGGGTTTGCCAATAGCTTGCCGGATAGCATTTTCCAGGTCTTCGGCATTGTTGTAGTTGCCACGATATATTTCTTATATCAAAAATTCCTAAATATAGAAATCGAGAACGGACAAATCCGTGAATCTTGTGACGAACAGGTCCCCATGAATTAGAGCTTTTTTAATTTTTACAATGAACCCCATAGTCTATTGAATAGTTTAAGAAAAAATGTTAAAAAATAATGTAAATGAACCACGTTTTCTACGAAAAAAATTAATTGAAATTTCGAAATGTTCACTACATTTCAATGCGGAAATTCCCTATTATAACGTTCGTAAAGCGAGTAAAATACAACGTTACGCTTAGAGTTGCCAAACTCACAAAAAAAATAAACAGAATCACAACAAGAAAACGTTGAACCAAAGCCACCAAATTCGTATTAAAAAAGAGAAAAACCGAAAAAAAAGTGAAACCGAAATAATAAAAACACTCTTAGAGCGTATTTTGATTGCTAGGGCTATATTACGACAACTTCAACCTTATTCAGAAGAAAATCATATAAAACAATTTGATTGACAACATTGCAAATTGTATGTGAAGGCTATATCGATCAACTGTCAATAGAAAAAGTTAAATGGCCTGGCTTGGGATGTTATAAATACATTTCCCTTAAATTTTCTCTTAATCTTTATGCTTACAAAGAAGATTTATTAAATTTTTATGCTTAGATTAGGTCAATCCACGTCTATTATAAGATAACAAAGTGCTAATATATGATGTTCTGTAAGAATATGTAACAGTAACATGCTTTTAAAGGATATTACGAATCTGTAAAAATTCTACATGTCTTTTAAAGAAAAACAAATTTATCAAAAAACATTTTTTTTAACAAATGTTAAAAATGTTTAATTAAAATTGACAATCCCAAAATCATAAGTTGACAACTTAAGACATGTTAACATTTGTCTGGATTTGTATTAGGTTACTTTGCGTTTTTTTCAGAATCGATTCTGAACCGTCCTTGAACTGCGCATGCGCTGTAAAGTTCTACGATGGTTAAGAATCAGTAACAGGAAAAACCAGAACTAATCTGTTATGACCTGTTCAGTTTTAATATGAAAATAGATGTTCAAAATTGCTCAAATTTGGCATGTGTATTAAGCATAATATGCAAACCTTTTAAAAACCAAATTATTTAATAGATTTTGATATCGATTCATTTTGAATTCAGAGTTCTAATAGCGCGACCACTGTCGAACACCAACTCAATTCTACTTATTTTTACCAAAAAAACAAGTAGTGTTTCTAACTTAAAAATTTTCAAGCTCTGGGGAAAATTACAACGACTCTTTTATAAATAAACAAATAAAGTATCGCCAGACGTAATTAAATCGTGAAGCTGAACGCATGATGAACACCTTTCCCTAGAACTTTGTAGAAGTACTGACAGGGGTTCTGATTGAGTGACAAATCTGCTATATCCCTTTCCACGTCTCTTAGCAATGTGCGCAATTTCTCGGTTTATTTCGTACGTTTGGCAACGTGTTTACTGTTCTCTCTTTGTTCAGTACATTATACAGGGTGAGTCTTAAATAAGTGCAAATATTTTCAGGGGTGGTATATTTTGACCCCAGGAACACGTCTATGAGTTTTTTTTCGCAAAAAAAAGATGTTGAAAATCTTGCATTTTCTTTTAAATTTCCCTGTATATTTTTCGAAAACTTTTTAGGACTGCCTGTTCACCGCAAATTTTCCCACGGTATAATTTCTTAATCTCTGCTATTACCATAGTTACGGCTTTAAGCTCCGCGCGCACTGAATAGGTATCGGCGAGAGCGAGCGGCGCGACCGACACGACCGGTCGGAAAGTCGATTGTAGCCGCGCACTGGAGTCGCACGATCCGCGGTCGAGAGTACGTCACCAGCATAAATTTGAGCATAGACGAGGAGAAGTTTATTCAAATTTAGTCAAATTCATTCGGCATTTCAAAAAATTATAAAGTATTATTACTATTTATATTTTTATGCAACTTTTTATATTTTATACTTTATGATGGAAATTAATATTATTTAGATCTTAACCAAACACACATTAATATATTTATTTTAGATCTTAACAAACCACATAAAATTAGTGAAATAGAGTGGAAGATGGGGATAAAATATACTACATGACTCTTAGCTTGACCGATTTTAACAAATTTGGTATAATTCAAAAGGGTTTAATTTGTTCTTTAAAAACAAAGCTAGATATGAAAAATAGTCAAATAAAACTTCTATTTTTAGTTTTTTAATCTAAATAAGTGTCATTACAAACATTTATATATAGCTTTTATTTTAAGTTTTTAAAATCTTTGTTTTAAGTCAGTAGTAAATAAAACAGAATTTATAATTATAATAGAATTATTTATTATAATTATAATAGAATTAAAATTAGTCGAAACGTCAATCATTAAACAAAATGTAAACACAAGTTTCGTTTTATTCACTACTGACTTAAAACCAAGATTTTAAAAATTTAAAGTCATAAATAAAAAAGTCAAAGAAAATTGAAAAAATAAAAAATATAAATAGTTTTTATAGTACCGTATTATCGAAAAGGAACGGCATCAGCGATGACCATGAAATGAAGGTCGGTGCCATTTTATATGTAAATTTATATAGGAAATGTCATCAATCGTCATTTCACATCCAACTGGACGCCGTTTTTTTCTATCATACGGTAGATATATATACAAATATTTTATTCAAACATAAATATTATTTTCTCTATTTGTACATTTAAGGAGCGATCAACATAGTAACATTGGATGACTGATATTTATCAGCTGTTATTACTAACGTCAAAACAAACCAAAATTAAATAATATGATAAGTTTTTTGACGATATTTAAATTCGATTTTCAAAATAATGTGAGATAATCAAAACGAGATGAGAAATAAATGGGTTTAATCGGAAGGTTTTCTAATTCAGTTATTGAATAAGTGTAGTAAACAATATAGGTTACGTGCTTGTAAGAAATTTTTATCAGAAACCGCATATTAAGTATGATATGGTCTCGTACACTTTCGATTAATAATTCATCGGATATATTTAATGTAAAACCGCTCCACTATAAACAATCGCTCGGCGTAGACTATTCGCCCCTTCCCATGCATTCTCTGATTTTGCCTGATGGCGCGAGTAACGCCGATAGCTCGAAGCGCACCGAGCGCACCAATCTGATGCGGTGCGCGGGCTTACATTTATTTCAACGCAAACTGAAAATTACGTGCCGCTCGCTCTTGATGATACCTATTCAGTGCGCGCGGAGCTTACTCTATGGTTACGGCACTAAAAGGGATGCAAATACAGAAAAAATCCGGTGGCTCTCAAAATTTTTTTAAAAAAAAATCAATTTTTTTTAATTTTCAAAGTTAAATAATTTGGTTATTTTGGACTTATCTGAAAAATGGTAAAGAGAAAATATGTTTTTTTATCGAGATCTACCAGCCCTGAAAATATTGGCACTTATTTAAGACTCACCCTGTATAAACGCATTGTACTCTTCTTACATACGGAAGTTTCGACCCAAGACTAACTTTTGCCAGCCCTTAGTATATAATAGCTTCAAGCTTAGTATATAATAGCTTCTTCTTCTTTATAATGGCTCAAGGCTCATGGCTCAATAAATATTATGTTATGATATTATGTAATTTATTACCTATTTTAGTAAATCCAAAATTCCTTAGGTTTATTTTTTTTTTAATTTCAATGACACCACTTGCGTAAATAGTAAATTTAAAGTAATTTGATATATATTTTTTTATTTAACACATATTAGTTTTGATTTTATAAAGCTCGCGTAACTCTCTTAATAGCGTTATCCAATCTTGGAAAAAGGATTATGTTAAGTCTGTAGCCAAAGCAAAATAAACAAACAGTAAATAAAGAAACATTTTGCTTGTATATGTTGGGCAAAATCAAATAAATCGATTTGGTTTTAGCCTAGTAGTCTCTGGTTTATTACTTAATTAAACCTAATTAATAAATATTTCTTAATTTGTTATCACATATGGAAACATCTAAACCAATAATTTCGCCACCACATTGATTTTTTATTTTATTTACTTTTAACTACTTGGTTAATAAATTCTTTTATAAATGGATGGTAACTTGTTAAATAAAAAAAATATGTTTATCTCTTTCAAAGTTTAGAAGTATCAAGAAATTTGTCAAATATAAGTAATTAAAATCAACAGTAAAAACAAAATAGTTATATCCTAGATTACAGTTGAGGGTTGGAACCTTTGGTGTTACACAGCAAAATAAAAACACTAAATCACCACAATACACCAAAACACTTTTACTTTTACACTGGACGCGCGTTTCGCTAACCATGTTAGCATCATCAGCAGATGATTATAAACTCAAAAATTCAAAAGTTTATAATCATCTGCTGATGATGCTAACATGGTTAGCGAAACGCGCGTCCAGTGTAAAAGTAAAAGTGTTTTGGTGTATTGTGGTGATTTAGTGTTTTTATTTTGCAGTTATATCCTATGTTTTATTTACTTCCTTTTTTATTATTCTCTAGTTACCTTAATCGTGTCTCTTAAAATTGCTATCTCCCTTTGCAAGTGGTCGTTCTCTTGATATAGGGCCTCCATTTGCTGTTGTATTTCTATACTGGGTCCCCGCATTCTCATTCTTAGCTCTTCTTCCAGTTGCCTCACTAACATAGCTTGTTTCTTGAAAAAGTAACACATAAAGGTAAATTAATGATGTAAAAATATTATATCTCTTATTTTGATAGTATTTATACCGTTTTATACATTCTTGTTAGGTTTACTTTACTTGTGTTAATTTTAAATGTTCTTTCAATTTTTTTTCAATAATAAAAATTGTTAGACGATACTAAACCATTTGGGTGAATATCAAAATTAGTTTTTCCTTTCATTTCTTTCTAACTGTATCACAATTTGTGGTAATTTCAAATTATTTGTAAGGTGAACCAAAACAATTACATGCAGTATTAGAGACTGCAAATTTTTTGGGGTATTCACCATTTTCCACTAATATCTCTTGCTTGTAGCGCTCCACCGTAATCTAAAATTAACTACCCGCCAACCCAACTAAAAAATGCGAGTTAAAAATAGATTGAAGTTCTGATAATGGCGATGATTCTAAAATGGTTGGTGCCTTCTAAAAAAGAAGATTTAAAACATATCTGTCATTTGGGGATTTGTACCCGCTGATTCCATGTTTCTGCTTTCGAACAATGGGCCAACCATTGCTCATTGTTTATATTGACGTAAATAATCTGAGCACATTTTTTCTTTAATTTTGTGCAACCGGAAAACGCAAAAAACTAAGGATCGTAAGAATTGCATCAGATCACTGCCCAGATTGCGGTTCATACAAATGAATCTGTGACCAGCACTGGTATATAAAATTCTAACCAATCGAACGAGTCGTAAAAAAGAACGTAAGAATGGAATCGGATCACAATGCGGTTCAAACAATCGTGATAATTGATTCATTTCTTCAAAAAAAGCCTTATGTGTATTTCGCCATTGTAAAACAGCCGCTACACTATCCCGAAATATTTCAGGAAATATTTCAGGAAATATTTCTGAGAGAAATATTTCGTGGGAAACATTTCGCAAAACATTTCTGGAAATAGTACGTAATAGTAGTGGTTTGTTTATTATATTGTTAGTCTAGATTAACAATAAAACACAAACAACCAATCACGGCTGGTCTTGATCAATTTCAGGAAACGTGGGAACTAATTTTTATAACACGAGCTTATATTTATCGTGCTATTTTGTGAAATAGCACGAGGCAATCAAGGTCAAACGTTGTTTTGACTTCAGAAAAATAAGTAAACATGGAAAAACTTATATGAAAACAGTTACCGATAGTAAATTAAATTGGCTAATCCTTATTCACTAATCGAAATTCACACAAGAATATTTAGTTTTAATCATTGGCTAATATTTTTAATTACAATATAGTAAAAAAATAAAACAGTTACTAACTAGCGGTCTACCATTTATCGGCTTATAATTCACGGTATTGCGCCTCATGAACAAAATATACACAAAATTATTTAAAAAATCGTCTAATTATTTATTATTTCTAGTAACAGTTAACATTTAAGTAAGTAACATTCAAACTGCAGTCTGTAGCAAAGTTTAATTTACTAATTTGGTTTTGTTTTTCTAGTTTTAATTGTTTAAATCCCTGCATAATCAATACTAGTTGAATGGATGTATATCAAACTATGCTGGGTGCTAATAAAAGTATCGTTTACAGATTTCTCTTAAGAACAATAAAAGAACATTGCTTTTAAATAATGTCCGTGGACCATACTTTAATATAATAATAATAATTTTTCCAAGCGGATAATATTGATAATGTTACCAGTATTACTCATCAAGCAATACTACTCTTATATTAACCAATTAAGGCCGTAAACGAACATATCATATACAATTTTATATACTAATTCATTATAATAAAATTAAATCATAAAAATATTGTAATTATATTTCTGCAGTTTAAGTGAAAAGTTTTGTTCCTAAATATCTACTATACATATAATAAACGCGTGTTGAAATATTAATTCTGTGGAATGTGGAATATATATCAATATAACATAAAATGAGATGTAATTAACGAAATATCATCCTAGCAACAGCTATTTTAAAAACGTCTAAGATCACTTATTTCACTGAGATTTATGAAAAAAAATCCTTTGCCTCCCATACAGATACCGCCACGTTTTAGAAATAGCTCAAAACAAAACAAAATTGAACGATGCGACAAAAAACACCAAACAAAAACGCGGTACTTAAAAACTACCGTTAAACGGTAGCCTACTGAAATGCCGTTAATAGATATGACGTCGCTGATGTGATGCACTTGACGGCTTTTTAATGCTTTGGTTAAAATGCCGTCGAACGGTCGCGTACTAAAATGCCGTTAAGCAATTTGTGTTCCGTTTTCCGTTGCCCTTTTGGTATGTTTTTTCGTCGCGTTTGCACTATTATTGTAGTAACAATTTGTGCTAAGTGCTATAAGTTGATTTTAATTAAGGTGTACATCTGGATATTATCGGTTCAGGATGGAGTAAGTGTTTCAGTTAGTGTTTTCTTATTGTTAATTTATCTATAAACATTTTTAGGTTAGTTAGGTACCTAATTATTTTTCATGACTGAAATTAGCATGCTGAAAATTGGGGATAGGTTCAGCTCATTCGCTGACGCAAAGAAAGCGATTGAGGAACTTGGTGAAAATACGTACACAACATTTTGGAAACGAGATGCCCGTACGATTGCAAGCAGTAAAATTGTGAGACCAATAGAAAGCTCTTTGATTTATTATCAACTTCTATATGCATGTAATCACGGTGGAAAGAAGTTTAAGGGCGGTGGGAAAAAAATCGACAGTCTTAGACATTTAAAGAAGATTGCCCAGTACATGTAAGATTCAAAGCATCGTCTGATGGAAAAGCACTCGAGGTAACATCGGTTCAAATTATGCTTCAAATGAAGCACAATCATGTCACTTCGAAGGTAAGTTTACAGATTAGTTGACATATAGTATGCTTTTAGAATTCTTGCTTGAACAGTATTTTATTCATAAAAGATATATTTTGTAGGTTCTACATGCATATAACCCTAGCCAAAGAAAACTTTCCAGTAACATGAAGGAAAGCGTCAAGGATTATTTGAATATGAAGGCCAATAGAAAAATGATACAGCAAAAAGTTCAAGAAAGTACTGGTAAAATTGTTACTTTACAAGATTTAACAAATATGAAGATATCCGATCAATCAAGAAAAGAAAACTTAGATGGCTGCTTAAATATACTTAAAGCTAAATACGGTAAACTAAAATATTTTATTATCGTATTATTAGTCCCAATAACTACTCTGTTTTCAGGTGCCAATGTAGCTGTTTTGCGAGACGAAGACAATAATTTCAGAGGACTTTTCATTCAAAATCCAACCATGAAAAGTACAATGAAGACTTTTCCAGAATTTCTTGCAGTAGATGCTACATATACATTATGATGATGCAGTAGTATTTGAAAGTAAAAATCAGTCTTCTGTGGAACACTCTGAGGTTTGTGACGAGACCGACCTTCAAGACAGAAACAATATGAGTGAAGCGCTCATATTAGATAATAGAAATACATGAACTCTTGGTCAGTCACCTGTGGAAGCACCTGAGTTTTGTAACGAGCTGGTTATAGAGGAGGAAATGACACGAGATGAAGCGCACCAACTTTCCTATATTAGTGATTCAGTTTTAAATGACGACAACAACCAGTCCCATCAAATAGTTGAAGTCAATGATTTCGCTTTGACAACAATTAAGATGCCTATTTCAATAAAAAAACGAGGACGTCCAAAAAGACAGGACTTAACAGTCATAGGACTACCAAAGAAAAAGAAAAGATGCACTGTAGCATTTGCTAAACAATCCTATCATGAAAAACAAAATGTAATCCTGAATTGCTTCGTTAAGAATCGTAACATCGTTAGAGACATCACAAATGGGAAATTTCTTGAAACTGTAGACCTTAAAATGCTCCCTGAAGAAATATCACATGCCGTTCTTAATGAGGCTGTTGATATCCACATGATAAGGTAAGTCTAGCGATACCTAATAATTACCAAATTAATAACTAATAATGTAAATTACAATTTTTAGAAGTTTTTGCACCGAGAAAGCCTTTGAAAAAATAACCAATCTAGTTGAGCAGAAACGACTTCAACAAAGTTGGTTTTGTTCTGTGTGCAGTGAAGACACGCAGAAAAATCATATGTCACTTTGTTGCAGTAGAGATATCCGTTGTGCAGGATTGTAGACATATCCGTTGTGCAGGATTGACTAAGCGACCTAAATCAAAACTGTGGTTTTGCAGAGAATGCTATCTGTAGCATTATTATTTTTAAGTTGACGTAGTATGATTTTTAAATTGTCAGTTTATAATTTGCAATAAAAACCTAAAAAACCAATGTCATATATTACATTTTATCGCAAATATATTTTCAAACCTACAACGGCAACATATACGTCTACCTACATATACACCGTTCCAAGTTAATTTTATTCAGAATAAGCCATGACGGATTTTGGACGACATTACATTACAAATTATTTAGTATTAATCAGTAGCCTACTCTGCATTAACGATTAACGGCATTTTAGTACGCGACCGTTCGACGGCATTTTAACCAAAGCATTAAAAAGCCGTCACATCAACGACGTCATACCTATTAGCATTTCTAACGGCATTTCAGTAGGCTACCGTTTAACGGCAGTTTAAGTACAGCCAAACAAAAATCCCTTCTCGCTATTCTCGTGAATCGTTTTCAGGCGCTTTTAAGAATCGAAAGTTGGTCGAGGCAAAGCAAAGTGGATCAAGATAACTGGAAATAAATCGAAATGCGTACAAAGTTGGTCGAAATGCGACCTTGACATGTTTCGGGTTGTTTCCGGCATAGTGTGTACGCTGTTTAAGAAAATCTACAACATAAAATAGTTATTTTTTGTTGCCGTACATTTCTAACCTCTACAAATGCCTGATCAATACATTTATTTTTATTAGACTGTATCAAAAAAACGTCTTTTATTTTTTGTTTAGAGGCTGTCGCTTCTTTCATAATCATTTTTGCATTGTTAAAATCTACTCTGTGCCCTGTGTCCCATGAATGCTGAGAAATCTTAGATCT